ACACACGTATATAGCAAGGACAGCGTAGCGTACACACTGCAACCTCACGTTCCTCACATACCCACCCGCCCTAGCCCGATTGCTGCCCTAGAGGCCTGTTGCTGCTGCTGATGCTGCTGATGCTGCTGCCCCGCTGCATGCCCAGGATCGGTCCACACTTCCGCCTTATCCCTCAGTCAGTTAGTCGTTTCCTCTTTATCCCCCCTCTCCAACCCAAAACATACCTACAGGTGCTGCACCCTGTGTTGAATCCGCGCCCCACTGCTCTGCTGCGCAGGCCCGCCCGCACTGCCGCTGATCGGCAGCATACCCCAGATGATGCGCCAGGGAGGCCCCTTCTTCTTCCGACAGTGCAGGGAGAAGTACGGACCCATTTTCAAGGTACGTACGGCGAGTGGGTGCGCGCACCGATGTGTTCAAGGTTCGTACGGTGGACAGGAACATACCCGGCTACCTCCCTTCTTCTGATGCGTTGATACCGCAATCTGTAACCCCCTCCTCCTTTACCCTCCGTCCTCCCCTTCCTCTCTCTTCCCTCCCTCCCCCTCCCCCTCCTATCCCTCCCCCCAGGTTGCGCTGGGTCGCTCCTGGGTGGTGGTGGTGGCGGAGCCGGAGCTCATGCGGCAGGTGGGGGTGGGGAGGGGAGCGGTGCTTGCTTGGGGCCACCATGCACGGCCGTCCTTTACAGGGCCTCGTTCCATAGCCCTGACGCCTCCTGGTTATCACCCACCATGTTCATTACTCAACTGCACAGTTTCGTGTACGAACACCCCGCCGCCCTTCTATCCCCCAATTTAACTCCACTCCTCCTGAATCCCCCCCGAACGCACCCCCTCCCTCCCCTCCCCCAGGTCGGCGTCAAGCTGCGCAACCACGTCATGATCGAGCCCAGCCTCATGCGGGGGCACTTCCGACACATGGACAGCGCGGGGCTGTTCCAAGCCAAGTGGGTGCAGGGGGGGGGGGCAAGTGGGTGGGATGAAGAGGAACAAACTAACTAGTAACCGACTTGACAATTGGCTGGGGAGTGAGTTTGCTGGGCAGCGAAGTTGCTAGGCGGGGCCGGGTTGCTGGGGGCTGCTGCTGCACGGTCAGGAACACCCCATGCCCTTTGCGCCCATGTCCGATGCTGCCGCAACCTTTGCATCCATAAATCCCTCGGTCTGCGCTCCGCTCGCTCTCTTGCATTGCGCCCCACCCAGGGACTCCTACTGGCGCCTCGTGCGTTCCTCCTGGCAGCCCGCCTTCTCCCCCGCCAGCCTGGCCGGCTACCTGCCCCGCATGCGCCAGTGCGCGGAGCAGCTGGCGGACAGGATGCTGGCGCGCGCGGAGGCGGCAGCAGGAGCGGGGGGAGGAGGAGGAGGAGGCGCGCGGGTGGACATCTGGAGGGAGCTGGGCAGCATGACACTGCAGGTGGTGGGGTCAACGGCGTACGGGTGAGTTTGAGTTGGGGGATCGGTCCTAACCATCCCGTGCCGAGTGTACAACGGTTCACCTTTCTCCTGCCTGCATTATTGCGCCAAGCTGCTGCCTGCATTTCGCCTGCTTGCTTTGAAAATTAAATTGGGAAAGAAGTAAATCACTCCTTTGCAGTCCTGTATGGGCTTGTATGGGCTTTGCTTTTGTATGTGCCGACCGTTCCTAACAGAACCCCGCTAACCGAATTTGCTGAGCTGCACTGTATGATGAAAACCATTCATGCGACCGCAGAGTGGATTTCCAGACCGTTGGCAACCCGCTGTACGACAACAACGTCCACAAGCAACCCGGCAAGGTGGCGCAGGCGGAGGCTCCCGCAGGACCTTCCCACCATGCTATCGCTGCTGCTGCTGCTGCTGCTGCTGTCCACAGGCACAGCAGTGGCGGTGACACCGGCAAGGTCAGCAGCGGCAGCCGCAGCCGCAGGAGCAGCGGCGGCGGCGGTGGTGGTGGTGACGAGAGCTACGGTCGCCAACTGATGCGCGCGTGCGGCGACGTATTCCGCTACGGCGGCGCCTTCTCTGGCAGCACGTGAGTGTACGGCAGTGTACAGCAAGGGGTTTACAGCTGCTCGGAACGCTGCTCGGTGTGCTCCGACAGGAGCACAGTATATGTGAGATCATATGATTGCGCCTAGGACCTACAAACCCAGAAACCCTCCTTAACATCCCCTCATCACGCAACGACCCCCCCCAGGTACTCCCGCGTGGCTTTGCTGCTCCCCGAGTTGCGCCCGCTGGTCTCCCTGCTGGCCCATGCGCTGCCGGACAAGCCCTTCAGGATCCTGATGGAGGTAGCGATGACCCGTGGGTCGGCCTGGGTCACTACCTTGTGAAACAGGGGTTCCCTTCTTCCTGCTGCCGCTTTTTCCACGCCCTTATTCAACCCCGTCAGTGACACTGTTAGCTTGCCCTTGCACCTTGAGTAATGACCATGTAATGACCATGTACGTGCCGAATGGAGCAACCCGGTGGGGTCCTCCTCCTTTTCCTCCCCCGCACCCTCCCTCCCTCCCTCCCCCACTCCGCCGCAGGCTCGCACCGTACTCCGGGCCGCCAGCCTGGACCTCATCGAGCAGTGGCGGCAGCAGCACCGCCTGCTCAACCAGCAGCAGCCCCAGTCCAACAGAATTCAGCAGAAGGGAGGCAAGCATGAGGACGAAGATGCCCCCACATCCGCTACTGCCGCCCCTGTCACCGCCGCTACGGGCGGCAATGGTGACGTCAACAGCGGCACCCCCAATGCGGCCACCTCCGTCGCCGCCACCACGGGCGGAAGACCGCCGGCGGTTGAGCCTGGCAGCTTCCTGGGCCTGATGTTGTCGGCTCGCGATAGGGCCACTGGCGAGGGCCTTACGGATGACCAAGTGGCCGCGCAGGTGCAGACGTTTATCCTGGCGGGCTACGAAACCACCGCAAACGCGCTGGCCTTTGCAATCTACAACATCGCGAAGCATCCGGAGGGTGAGATGGGTGGAGGGCGGGCTAGGGGTTGACATGCGTGAGGGATGAGGGACGTGAGATGGGTCTTCCTAGTATCGGGTGGTGTCGATGAGGGTAAGGTGAGGTTAAGACTGAGCGTGAGTGGAGGTATGGATGCGGATGGGGGTGGTCCGTATGAGTGAGATGACCCATGGGTCGTCACTGAATACCGGTGCGTGAGTGGGTTCCTGGCTGCTTCCATGTGACGACACAATCCTGACATCACCTTTCCATAATCCTACACAGTTGAACGCAAGCTACTCGAGGAGATCGATTCGGTTCTGGGACCTGACAGGTGAGCCGCTGAGCATGCTGATGGTGCTGACAGGGCCAGGCAGGCGGGCTGTGCTGCTGCTATTGGTGCTGCTGCTAATGGTGCTGCTGCTGATCCTGTGGTTAGACCTCGAGGGGTGTCCCAGTAGCCCGTGCGGTGGCCCTCGTAACCTGCTGCCCGCCGCTCCTAAACTGTACCATGCTAATGATGATTGCGCCCTCCCCCTCCCTGTGATGCCTTATCACACGGTCAGTTCGTTGTTTCCTCTTTACCCCCCCTCCCTCCTGCCCCTATCTCTCCCCCCCATCAGGCCCCCCCAGGAGTCCGACCTGCCGCTGCTGCCGTACACTGAGGCCGTGTTCAATGAGGCCATGCGGCTGTACCCGCCGGCGCATGCGACCACGCGGGTTGTGGGGCAGGAGCCGCTGCAGGTAGGTGATGATAGATGAGGGGGGATGAGGGCATGGAGGCCGCCTTGGCTTCTGGAGCTGATTCATGCCAGATACCGGTACGCAAGGGGATGATCCCTCCTTACCGTAACCCACCTCCCTCCCCCTCACCTCCCCCGGCAGGTGGGCGGCCTCACAGTGCCACCTGACACACCGCTCATCCTGGCCATCTACTCCGCGCACCATGACCCACGGGTCTGGCCCCGACCCGAGGAGTTCATCCCCGAGCGCTTCTTGCCGGTGAGGGGCTGGGAGGAGGGGAGGAGGAAGCGAAGGAGGGAAGGAGGCGGTCAGTTGGAAAGACCCTAATAACCAGCTACGTCGTTTCCATGTTTCCATTCCCAAGCTTCATATTGATACACGCAGCTTGCAGATTGCCCCATAACCCTCCCTGCACCACCACCACCTTCCCCCATCCCCCCTCCCCCTCCCCAGACCTCCCCGCTGCACCCCTCCGTGTGCGCCCGCCTGCCTGCCGCGCACGCCCCGTTCGGATACGGCAGCCGCATGTGCATCGGCTGGAGGTTCGCGGTGTGCGAGGCCAAGGTGGCGCTGGCGGCACTCTTCCAGCGCACCACCTTCGTGCTGGAGCCGGGGCAGGAGCCGCTGCCGATCGCTGCGGCGCTTACGCTGTCACCGCGAGAGGGGCTGTGGGTGGTGCCGGTGCTGCGCGGGAAGTGAAGGGAAACAAACGGGCAGCAGAGAAACAGACCCAAAGAAACTGCCCGTTTCATGAGATGGAAGAGTGCGGAGTGGGGATAAGGCAGGCACAGCAGGCGGGTGGCAGTGTGGGGCCAATTGATGATGCACGGCCTGCGTGGCCTGCCTTGTGCAGGTGGGCAGGTGTTGCGGTGCTGCCGCGAATGGCTGCACCCCGTCGGGGCGAAGTAGATGATTGCAGATGCGGGAGTGTATGTGCAAGCAGGCATCATGAGTACGGCATGTGCCAGTGTTGGTAGGCGAGACACTGAGTGGGGATAGACTAGCTGATGATAAGGACGAGGATGGAAGGAGAGGGCAGTTACTTCTGCCGCTTGTTGAACGAAGTTTACTCTACCAGTTGTTGTACATTATGGTACAGCGGCATGGCGAGAGGTTCCAAGGTGTTGGGACTTTGGGAGACAAGTTGACCCATGGGTCGGTTGCTGTAGCGGACTAGGTTCTTATGATGCTTGTTCCCGTATACGTGTACGGTGTTGACATGTTGCCGAACGTTGCCGGCGTGAATTACTTGGGAGGCACTGGGGGTCGGGTTGCACACTTCTTTGCAGGGCCATTGATGGGATAGGACGACCAACCTGCAGCGTTAGGGGGCCCAGCTGCATGTACAAGTATCCTGGAACTTCAGAGTTCAACACCAACACAGCAGCATGAGGAGATGTTGATGCGACCGGTATGAAACTGTATGAGGCTGTGAACGGCCATTGCAACACAAGTTGTGTGGCGCATGCATGTTCGGGTATCCGTTCCTCGGTGCTGGCCGTGCTGCATAACCACTTCCGGCTGGATTCCCTGTAAGAACAAGCCAAGGTGAGGCACGCGTTACCATACACGCACCAGCTGCACGCCCCTACAGCTACCTCTCCCCCCCAGCGCTCGCTTCCCGCCACAGCTCCCAACCCGCAATCACCGCCACTGCCCCTCTCGCATACCACGACGCTAAGCCTGCGCCCCGTGTGTTCCTCTTATTCCAGCTACATAACCCTGTTCAGGCACCCCGTTCCTGTCCTGCTCACTCGTAGCGAACAACCACATAACCATCACACCCCTTCCCTACAGTCCTACACTACCCTGGCTGCTACCGCTCCTCCCCCTGCTCACTTCCTCTCCTCCGCCTGCTGCTGCTGCTCCCTTCTGCTGATTGCGCTGCTCACTTCCCCTGCCCCTCCTCCGCCTGCTGCGAGGTCACGCTGACGTCCAGCCCCACCGGCCCCGTGCTGTTGAGTGCGGAGGCAACCAGCGACACGGGGGCTGCAGGGAGGGGGGGAGAGAGGGGCAGGAAGGGGAGGGGGGAAGGGGGGAAGGAGGGAGGAGGGGGAGGAGAGAGGGTGTGCAGGGGAAGGGGGGCAGGAAGGTGTGAGTTGCGGTGAGAAGGAAGGCATGTAGGCAGTAGGCACCGCGTAAGGAAGGAAGCGACGGCCGGGTGCGCAAAAGCACCCGGTATCAGGAGAGAAGGCAGGGCTGCTGTGCACCCAGTCCGCCCATGCAGCGCAAACGAAAAACGGACATAAGCAGACAGACAGACAGCATAAGCGGATGTGCGCGCACTGCTTCCTAAAACCCTCAACCCCTAAGATCCTAACCGCCCCCGCTGCAGTAGGGCCAGTTGAACGGATGGGTAGGCGGGGCATGGCCGGTCTGCCACACTCGGGGCGCAGTGCGTCACCCACGTTTGAACGCCCTCATGCGTGCGATGAGGTCGGTCGGGTCGGAGGAGACGATGAGGGTGTTGTGTTGAGAGCGAATGAAACCCTGTGCGCTCACAGAGACAGCGGCAAGGGAGCAGCAGCAGGGGCGAGGCAAGCAGCAGCAGCAGCAGCAGCGGGTTAGGACAAAGGAGCTACAGCAGGCTATCCCATCTCCCCTGCCCTCCCCCCCCCGAAAAACAGGAGCTTAGCGTCTTGTTTGTCATCCTCATTCAACACAGTGGGTATTCTTCTTCCCCCAACCCCCCACCCTCCATCCCCCTGCCGCCTCCTACCCCCATTGCTTTGCCCTAACCTGTGGTTTCCTATGGTTTGGTATGGTCTTTGACCCCCACCCCCCACCCCACCTCCGCCACCGCATGCTTCACAAAGGCCAGCAGCGGGTCGAAGAAGCCGCCCACATTGAGCAGTCCGATGGGCTTGGTGTGGAACCCCAGCTGCTGCCAGGTAACCACCTCCAGCAGCTCCTCCAGCGTGCCGAAACCACCTGGGGGGAGGGAGGGGGGAGGAGGTGATGGGGGTCGAAGACCATACCGAACCATAGGAAACCGCACAGGTTGGGGCAAAACAATGGATGAGGGAGGAAGGAGAAGAGCATGTGGGAGAATGGTGGAGGGGTAAAACAAATATAATGAGACACTGACGATGCAACTGAGGGGTGAGGGAGAATGGTGGAGGGGTGGTGGAGGGGACGGGTGGATCGCCTAGCTTGGAGTGGAGGGGGGTCAAAGAGGAATCAGCCCGCTTGCAGGGTGCAGGAGGGTGCGGGGTTCAAGCAGGTGGTCAGGACTGTGGCGTTGCGTTAGGAAGCCGTAAGTGCAGACTTCCTGTGGTTTGGTGGGGTTGGGGTTTGATGCCCCCCCCTCCCTGGCCTACCCGGCAAGCCGATGAAGCCGTCCGCGTGCTGCGCCATCATGGCCTGGGTGGGGTGGGGGCAGGGGGCAATGAGGTTGCAGGTGATACATGGCGCATGTGCAGAGCGCACCACAACCAATAGCGCAGCCCTTCACCACCCGGCCCCCCACCACCGTTACCGCCCTCACCCCCCCCACCACCACCCGGCCCCCCACCACCGTTACCGCCCTCACCAACCACCCCCACCCCCACCACCCGGCCCACACCTTGCGCGTGTGCATGTCCTCCACGATGTGGGTCCGCCCGATCATGGAGCCGGACACCTGCGAGAGGGAGGGAGGGAGGGAGGAGGGAGGGAGGGAGGGATGGTAAAAAAGAACACCCAATGTGTTGATTGAAGCTGGCACGGTGGGAGGAGGGAGGGAATGAAGGAATGATGCTGTTGTGGGTGGTGGTGGGTGGTGGAGGTGGGTGGTGGAGGTGCTCGGGGAGCGGTGCATTGCAGTGGAGATGGGGGTAAAGAGGAAACAACTAACTGACTGAGGGATAATGCGTCAACATGGGTTGCAACATGTGAGCCAGCCCGACCCGCCCAGCCCGAATGTGGAGAGGGGGGGGTAAGGAAATAGGGCATGCAGGCGAGCAACAGGCTGTGCACACACGCGCTGATTGGACGCAAACAGACTGCTATCAGGCGAAAATGGCTGACCCCCGAAAGCTCCGAAGACCACACGTACACGCACATCACTCCCAACTGCAGTACTGCACCCCTTGCAACCACCTGCGCGCGCGCGGCCCCCCTGTCCCCCCCCCCCCACCTCTCGCGGCGTGAGGGCGCGCGGAATGACGCCCAACACGCCGTCGTCTCCCAGCCCCGCCTGCACCGTACGAGCGATCTCGCCCATAAGGCCCACCGTACCGCCTGGTGGGAGGTGAGAGGTGGGAGGTGGCAGGGAGGGACGCGGACGGGTGCGGGCGGTACGGCAGGGGGGCAGCGGGAGAGGTAGGGGAGAGGCTTCGGGGGGGCAGGGTGTATGGACAGGCATACGGCAATGAGGGTATGCCTGTACCGTATGTAATCATCTTAAGACCCAGATCTGCTACAGGTCCATTCATCCTCGAAAGGCAGAAGCAGCCGCCCCTACGGTATAGAAGCGGCAATCCCTGAGTACCGGTACAGGAAAGAGAAGCAGTAAACTTACCGCCGTACACGAGGCCGATGTTTTCCCGCACCAGCTGCTCGCCGAGGGCCCGAGCGGAGGCCATGTACTTGGGGTCCGAGCCGGGGCTGGCACCGCAAAAAACGCCGAGCTTACGCAGCGTCAACTCGCTTGCAGGGTTGGAATCCGCCATTTCGCTGCTATGTCGTGCGGTTATTGCGTTCGATGGCTTTACGAATAGGACGTGATGGCGCGATCGCGAAAGCAGCGAGCTACCCCGCGCCTGCCAAGACGGTGGATGGAGCGGTTGGGCCAGCTGTCCACCCGGCTTGAGTTGTTAAAGAGCGGCGACCAGTCCGTGTGTGCGTAGGGTCCAGCATCGCAGTTGAAGAGCATTAATGGAGCAAATGGGGAATGGGTACGACACTGATGGAACAAGCCGAGACCTGTAACCGTGACCTGTGCTTCTAGTTGACAGGAGGAAAGGATTGCGCGGCGACAATCGCAATCGCAGAACACATCAGCTACCTGAGTAATGTTATAATTTGGCAATGTATCACCTTCCCGCGCTCGTGTGCTGACTGTTTGCGGGGCTGCAAGTTTGACTTCTCAACAGTATGGATCATAGGCATAACCCGCTAGGGCGGAAGGAAAGTGGCATTGACGATTTTGAGACAGCGACATCCCAAGTACCAAGTGGCCATGCACCCCGACGGACGCGCTTGAGCACGTTAACGCTATTGTCGCTTGCTCTACTGTTTGGTTTTGGTATATGTGTCCTCAGCCTGCATTTTCATAAAATCAGCGACTTGCATGGAAAGGTGGGCTTGGAGTATTTCTGGTTGCTTGTGACCGTCCCTCACCCACAGCCCGTGGGAGTAGGTATTGTGGGCCAGCACGAGTACCAGTCACGAATCGGCATAGCCTGAAACTCGACTTTTCACCTTCCAAAACATACCGACCACTCCGCATCCTGGCTGTTGCTGCCATGCACGTTCAGTCCCAAGCACGTCCTCAAACCTCGATCGCCCTCCCTCCTCACCTCCCTCAAGTAGGTACCAGAAGCTACGCCTAGCGATGGACATGGTAGCCGCGAACGCCAGGGCCTAGCTGTACGGCCTGCAGACCCTGCCAAGCAAGCAGACGGGAAACTCCAGACCAGCCCTGCTGCTCCCAATAACACCGGAGTAGCAGGACTTAATGCCACACAGCAACAACAACAGCAGCAACAACAGCAGCAGCAGCCCAAGGTGGGACAGGAGGCCCAGCAGCAGCAAGGGCTACGAAAAGAGGAGCCGCAGGCGCAAGGCAATGCAATAAAGGCCATTTCACCAGCTGTAGATACAGGGGGGGCGGGAGCGCAAGGGACTCAAACAGGCAGCTCGGGGCAAGCAACTAGCAGCGGCAATCCGGCCAGCAGCAGCAGCGGCAGCAGTAGCGGTAGCGGTAGCGGTAGCGGTAGCGGTAGCGGTAGCGGTAGCGGTAGCAGTACGGCAGCACAAGCGGGGGCATCAGGGGAGGCTTTGGATGACGGGCCCGACTACGAAGATGACGGCAGTACGGGACTGGGTGTAGATGCTGCATGGCTGTACGACAATGGGATGTACGACGATGAAGACGTACCCCAAGCGGAACAGCAGCAGCAGCAGGGGCAACAGCAGCAGCAGGGGCAGCACATGAAGGATACCGCTGCAGCTGCTCCTGCCGTGACCAACAACACAACGGCCACAACCGCAGCCGCCGACCCAGGGGTCGTTCCAGCTGCCGCTGCCACTACCCGCAACGACACCTGCGCCCCCCTCAGTCGCGAGCTGCTGTCCCGGTGGGCTGCCAACGGCACGCTGCTGCTCACCTTCACCAACAGCCGCATGTTCGCGGGGTTCGGGGCCACCTGGCTGCACCACGTGCGCAAGGCGGGAATCACCTACTGGGTGGGTGGGGGTGGGGTGGGGTTAACAGGGATACATGCTCTGGGGTGGGGTTAACAGGGATACATGCTCTGGGGTGGGGTTAACAGGGATACATGCTCTGGGGTGGGGTTAACAGGGATACATGCTCGCCGTTAGGCTGGACTACAGGATTGCGTGCAGACGCTATAATCAAGCTTGTTGGGAGTGGGGGCGGGGGCATCACCTACTGGGTGGGTGGGGGTGGGGTGGGGAAACAAAGTATACCCAAAACCCTATGTGTTCAATGGGAATGGCAAACCAGACGAGACAAGCTCCGGGTGAAGTGGGGGCGGGGAGAAGGGCGAAAGGGGAAACCGACTATCGGTATGTTGACCAGGCAGGCCAACCCGGACAGAAGGGCTGACGAACCCCCGGCAGACGGACCCCACCCACACTTCCAACCAACACGCGCAGGTGATGGGGGCGGGGGCGGTTGCCCTCCTCGCCATGCTACCTACACACACCTACAATTCGTTGAAAACCCATTTTTAAAACACACACACGCCCCCGCCCACTCCCCAACTTCTCCCCCCCCCCATACAACTACAATCATATGCTTACCCAACTATCCAGCCTAATGCGGATTCTGTTTCCAACTTCTCCCCCCCCCGGCGCCATCCTCCCTCCCCCCCCCGCGCCATCCTCCCGCAGGTGATGGCGGTGGCGGATGAGGCCACCGCGGCGCTGGTCCGGCGGCGGGGTGTGGAGCAGTGCTTCCTGGTGCATGAGAACGAGATTGACGACACCAACGCAAGTGAGTGGCCGGTAATGTGAATGCTGGCTGCTGCGGGCGCATGCATGCGGGGGGGCGGGCCACTACCATCCATTCAAGAGAGCTGCTACTGCCATGCACTACTGCTATGGGTGCATAAGAAGAGAGAAAGAGAAAGAGCAGCTGCATCTGCCGCGTCTGTCGGCTTACGGGCCGCTTACCCCTGCCCCCTGCCTCCCCCCGTCCCCCCCCCGCCGCAGCCTTCCAGTGGGGTAGCACCAGCTGGCGGCTGCACACGTGGCAAAAGGTGCTGACGGTGCGGCACGTGCACCACCTGGGCTTCCACGTCATCCACTCCGACATGGACGTGGTGTGGCTCCGAAACCCGCTGGAGCACTTTTTGGTGTGAGTGTGATCTGGCTGGCGGGGAGGAAAAGAGGTTGAAGAGGAAGAACTCTAGGTGGTAACCTAGGGTTAGGGGAGTGGGAGGGGTCGTGGGGTGGGGTGGGGTGGGTTGTGCAGGGTTGGAAGAACAAAGGTGGTGGAAATGGTGGTACGGCATGATGTGGCTGCCTACTCCTAAGCCCTCCCTTTCCCGCTCATCCTTGTCTTGCCTCCCTCCCTCACGCTCATCCGGTTTTGGTATACCGTATCGCTTGACCCCCTCCCTCCCCCCCCCCGCAGCAAGTACCCGGACCCCGACTACTGGGTGTCCATGGACCCCATCACCACCTCCAACCCGCTGGGGGACGAGGGGCCGGAGCTGGGGGTCACGGTGCACCACTACATGAACACGGGTGGGGGGGGGCGGGTGGGGGGGAGGGGGAGGGGGGGGGGAGGGGGTTCAATACACAACAACACGGGTGGGGTTGGGGCCGGGCGGGGGTGGGTGCGAGGGTTCATCGGACAACAACACGGGCGGGGAAGGGGGTCACGGTGCACCACTACATGAACACGGGTGGGGCTGGGGGGGCGGGCGGGATGGGGATCAGCACACGATAACACGGGTGGGTGGGGGGGGCGGGCGGGGGGGGTGACGTGCGTTTATGAAGGGTAGTCGATGCCAAGGATGCGTTGCTTGGTAAGGAGGGCAGCAGGGCCAGGAAGGCAGGGGGTTGGGAGTCGCGAGGCAGCTGGTAGGGAGGAGAAAGCAATCCGGTATGCAGATGTGGCCCTGCCGAACTTCCTGCCCTCTGGTTTCCTCCATCCCCCCCAGTTCCTGCACTTCTCATTTACTATCCCCCCCGGCCCACCGCCCGCCGCTTACCTTTCCATTTACTCCCTCCCCCCCCCCTCAGGTGTGTACTTCCTGCGTCAGACCCCTGGCGGCCGCGCGCTGATCGACACCTGGTACGACATCCGTCGGGAGATGCAGGGCCGCGGCTTCCACGACCAGGACGGACTCTACAAGCACCTGGGCAGGAACAAGGAGGTGAGGGGTGTGGAGGAGAGGGGGAGGGGAGGGGGAGGGGAGGAGAGGGGGAGGGGAGGGGGTGAGAGGGGGCTAGTTCCAGGCCGCGCATGGAAACTGATCGTGACCGGGATGTGATGGGTGTTGTTGCGAGCGGGATGCTCGGCGTGCATGCATGCGTGCAGGGGGGACATGGTTGGAGCTGGCCGCACCACCCTCTCCCCTCCCCTCCCCTCCCTCATGGGGTCGTCTCTTCCCCCCTCCTTAATTACGGTTTGCACTTGAAGTGCTGCTACGCGCGCCCAACACGTTTGGCTATACGCAATCCTATACTCCCGCCTAATGCGGAATTTGTATCCCTGTTACCTCCCCTCCCTCCCCTCTCAGGACATTGACCGCTCCAAGCGCCTGAGTCGCGTGCTGGACGGGCGCACCGCGCTGGCGCAGCTGCCCGCATCGCTCTTCCAGAACGGCTACTCCCACTGCATTAACCAAGTACACAAGGTAGGAGCGGGGGTTGAGGGAGGGGGTCGGAAGGGGTGTCGGAGGGGGGTCGGAGGGGGTGTCGGAGGATGGAACCCATACACAAGGTTGGAGGGGGAAAAAGTATATAAGAAATGCGAACAACTAAAGTCCCAATCCCATATCCCGACTCATGCAGTGAGTGCATTCGGAGACACTATTCTAAAGACACGCATCTCAAACTACTTACCGAAGCGTTGCTTACCGTAAACCGAGACGAGGGGGGAAAAATTATATGCAGTGAGGGAGGGGGGCGTTAGTGGCAATAGGGGGGAGGGGAGGGATGGGGGAAGCAACGCCGGCCTCTAGCCCCCTCATGGGCCCTCCTCCTCATCCATTCTTCCCGCTACGCCTCTGATGCGGCCCCCCTCAATCCTTCCGGTGCCCACCCCCCGTTCCCGTTCCCGCAGGTCCACCATCTGACCCCCTTCGAGGTGCACTTCGTGTGGGTGTGGGGCGGCAATGTGGGCAAGATAACACGCATGCGAGAACAGAGGTACGCGGGGGGTCAAAGAGTATCCCGAACCATAAGGAATCCACAAGTGGGGGCAAAACAATCGTTAGAAAACAGTAGGGTGCCATAAAACAAAGTGGTGAGCATTCCCTACCGATACCGAGTCGACGGTGGCGATGAACTGTCGACCCTCCAGCGAGCGGGCTGAACAGAGCAAACTGTTGTAGTTGTCTAGTGCTATTGTCTTGATGTCACAAACCGGTCACCAAGGCCCCAGTTGTGCTCGTGCATGACAAAGAGGCAGGGCCTATAGATGAAGCCGAGCGCCAAGGAAGCCACCATGGAAGCCGCCACGAGAGCGCCAGACGTGCGATAGGGAAAGGCAACACGAGGAGTCAGGTACAAAGTTAACGGGAGTAAAACATGAGAGGGAAACAAAAAATGCATGTGTGAATGCGGAAGGGGCCTTGGTGACGAGGGGTAGGTGTTAAGCGTGAGAGGGAGTAAACTACATAAAGCACTAAAGCCAAGCAAAGGGAAGGGGCGATAAAAGAATGGGAGGCGACAAGGGGCGATAAAAGAATGGGAGGCGACAAGCATGACGTACGACAGGGGATGGATGATGTACGGCAGATGGAAGACAAAAGGACAACAGGGGCAAGGGGCAAATGTGCAGAAAAGCAAGGGAGGAGGAGGTGGAGTGCGGCTTGTGCTGGGGGGGGGGGGAGGAGGTGGCGGGCGTCAATGATACCGGTACATCAAACCATGGGAAACCACAAGTATTAGGGCCAAACAATGGGGGATAAAGACCATACCGAACCATAGGAAACCACAGGTTGGGAGTTGCATGCATGCATGGTTGTGGATCCGGCCGAAACACACAGCTGTTTGATGTGAGTGTGCGTGTGTGTGTTTGATGTGCTTGATGCCGTACGGTGCTCATCTGCTGACGAGTTATGCTGCTGCCGTGCATGCAGGTACTACATTGATCCGCCGCCATACTATTCGGAGCCGCTGTTCTTGTCGTACGATGTACTGCCGATTGAGGTACGGTACGCATGCGGGGTTGCAGAGGGAGTGTGCGCGTGTGTCGTGCGTAGAGGTCGGTCGGGCGAGGGGTGCACAATGGGAATACGGACAGAGTGGCAAGAGTGGCGGGTTCGTTCGGAACGATAGTGTTGTGGTGGTGTGTGCAGATAAGAGCTGCACATGCTAGTGTTACGCACATGCTAGTGTTACGCACATGCTAGTGTTACGCACGTATCCCTCCTCCTCCTCACCCGCACCCCCCACCCCTCATCACGCCCCTTCCCACACATCACCCCCCCTGCAGGACCCTCCCGGCTACAACGACTGGAATGACACTGAGGTGCGCTTCACAGCCCCGGCAGCAGCAACCTAGCAACCCTTGCAGCAGCACTCTTGCAGCATCGCTTACCGCTTACCACCGCTACTAGCACCAGCAGCAGCCGCAGCAGCAGCACAAGCAGCCTAGCCCGCATGCCTTCTTTCCACGCCCCACCAGCCTCCCGCTTGCCCAACTTGCCTTGCACTATAGGCATAGGTATAGCTATAGCAGCGCTACCGGTACCAGTCCTTGGCTGCTGCGCTTCGCTGCCCTGCCCCCTGCGCCCTGATGCGCATGGTTGTGCTCCTCCTCCTCCTCTCCTCCTCTCCTCCCCCTCTCCTCCTCCTCTCCTCCTCCTCTCCTCCTCCTCCTCCTCTCCTCCTCTCCTCCTCGGCCCCCCCAACACATTGGGTATTCTTCTTTTCCCCAACCGCCCCCCCCAACCCTTCCTCCCCCCCCCTGCAGGCCATGGTCCAGGTGCACCTGTCCGCCCTGTCCAGCCAGCTGACCGACTCCTGGCACGGACTGGCGCTGGCGGCGCTGCTGAACCGCACCGTGGTGCTGCCGAAGGTGTGGGGGAGGGGGGGGTAATAATAAGGAAACTGACGAATGCCGGTGATTCCAAGCACCAATAACGAAACTGACGAACGATGCGGGAGGGGGAGGGGCGGAGCAGGGAGGGAGGGGCTGTCACCGGTAAGGGATACATAGTCCGCTAGCCTGGATGGTTGGGTTGGCGTTTAACTGTAGTTGTTACAGGGAGGAGGGAGGAGGGACCGGGAGGAGGAGGAAGAAGGACGGAGAGGCGCTTTTGGCCTTAAAGGAGGCGGAGCATGTTGTACAGCAGAGGAAAGTTCGCCTCCTACTTCTGCCTCCCAGATTCAACTTTCCATTTCCCTTCTCCTCACCCTTCCGGCCCCCAACCCACATCCCCTTCCCTTCCCCCTCCCTTCCCCACATCCCACCCGCTTCTCTCCCCCCCCTCCCCCCCCAGATGAAGTGCTTCTGCATCCAGAACTGGTTCGAGAACCCGCAGTGCCGCCTGCCCGGCGAGCTGCTCACCCGCTTCCCGCTGTCGCCCGCCTGCCCCGCCGACTTTGTGTTTAACATGGACAAGCTGGCGGAGCTGCAGCTGCCGAGTGGTGGTGGGGGCGGTGGGGGCAGCAGGGCGCTGGAGTGGCGGGAGTTCAGCTTCCTGGACAATGAGAGGACGCCGGCGAGCGTCAAGGTGGGTGTGGATTACCGGTGTGGATTACCGGTGTGGATTACCGGTGTGGATTACCGGTGTGGATTACCGGTACTAGCTATTGCACACAGCAAGGTTCGCCTTCGGCGTTTTCGTTCGGGCGCATAAAGAGGATGGGATGGGGTGTTCTGGGCCGCAGTTGGGGATGGGGTTAGTGGAGGCGTGGGGTGTGGGAGGGTGTGGGAAGTTAGGGATCGGGCGCGGGGTGGTGGGAGGGAAGCAGTTGGGTGTGGGTGTGACGCAGATGGATGTGCGGCTTGTGCATGGCGGGGATATTGTACTGGCGCTTCTCAAAAAGGTGTGCGGGCTGCGGGCTTGGGACTGTGTCGTGTGTCGTGTGTTCCCCCAGAGGAAGCCGTCCTCGTTGCCTCAGCGGGTCCTCAGCGGCTGCCCTTTCCAAACCGACCCACATGGCCTATATAACGCTATACCGGTAAGCTATAACCCACATCGCCACATGCCCCCAACCGCCACCCCACCCCCAACCCGCAGGATCGTCCCCTGGTGGTCACCGCCAAGCCCGGCGCCACCTCCGCAGCCCTGGACGCCCCCTCCAACACCCTCACCATCCCACCTGGGCTGCTCTCCGACCAGCTCCTAGCCACCCTGCAACCCTTCCTATCCCCCTCCTCCCCCTCCTCCTCCTCCTCCCCCTCATCGTCACCCCCATCTCAGCCCAAGCGTGTGCATTTCAGCAACCCGCGGCTGGCTTTCGCCGGCTGGAGTGACCCACGGGTCGCGGCCGAGTATGACGCTCGCTTGGAGGGGCTGGCGGTGCGTTGGTGTTGCCGGCCTGACAAGGTGGCGGCGCAACACAACGTGACGGTGCACCACCAGCTGCAGCTCAAGCCGGCTTCCCAACAGGAGGAGCTCCGGCGGGAGGAACAGCTGCAGCAGCTGAGGCAGCAGCAGCAGCAAGGGGGCAAGCCGCAGCGGTAGGCGGCGCAGCAGCAGCAGCAGGCAGGAGCGAGCGGAGGTGACTCTCCGGGGGTGCTACCTAACTTCGTAATGCTGCAACCTGCCTAATGCTGCCTATTGCATAACGCTAGCTAACTAATTAGGCGCTCCTTACGGGGGCTCTTGTAACGAATGGGATCTGTAAATAACGAGTGAGGCTGGTACGGTGATTGCGTACGGTGTACGGGGGGGGGAGGAGGGGGGTAAGTAAAGTGGATTGCGGTGGGGTTATACTGCGGGGTATGTGCCCTTAATCACGCTCTCTAACAGGTGTGGTGCTCGTGTGCGTGATGGCTTTGGAAGTGGCTCGGCAGCTGCCTCTGCCTCCGGCCGGCGACATCCCGAATGGAGTGCTCAACGATGACGTGATTTGATGGGGAACATGATGGGGAGGCCTCCTGTGGTGATCATCCTACTGTGCGCGTGCGAGGGTATTGCGGTTATGTGGTGGGCTGATCATTGCTCAACATAAGAGTAGGCGCGCGTCATAATGTGCAAGGAAGACGAAACAGGCGCGTTTGGGTAGAGTGTAAGAACTGGTACTTGTTGCGTTTGGGGGGGTCGAGGTCCGTGGGGTTTTGAGTTTGGTTAGGGTTGGAGGGCAACTGGGAGGCCTCGACACAGGCGAACGAGGTGTATATGACCGCGTGTGGATCGGGCGCCGGTTTGTGTATTCAGGTGCAGTCAAGCGTCGACCTTAAGTAAGGTAGGGTCGGATTCAGGCTAGGGGCAACCGTGAGGAGAACGGAGGAGCTTAGCAAAAATGGGTACCTGTAAGGCTGTCGGGAACCTAGAGAGGTACTAAGAAGCACGGACAAAACGCCCTTGTGACGCATCCTTTCGAGATCATCTCACTCTGCGCTGCACTTATTTCGTACTTGACAGCAATGGTCCGCGGGTCTCTAATCATCGCTTCCTAACAGAGCGAAGCGCTCAGAATCCAAGCCTTTCCAGGGAAAGAGGATTCGTTACACGGGCATTGACATACTTTGTGTGTAGGCCGGCCGCTGGGCCGCGCTGTAACCTAGACCAGGCGGCTGCGCTGCCTGCTGGCCAGCAGTTGTTCCTGAATCTTTCACAGCCAGGCTGCGACCCAGCACAGAGCAGGTTAGTCCTCTTGCTTGTACAGAAATTGTTGTAACGGCGGACGTTGGGCTTGCATCAGAACCTCCCGCCGAAAACGGCCCTGGTTAGAATCAATGTTTGGCTTTTCCTAGACATGTTCTCCCATACTTACTTTCCGCTAAGATAGCTTTTTTAAACTGACGCTTTTCAGGAGCCAAAAGCGTGACTTCCACTGCCATCCATCCTGCAACCTCCGTCCTCGGGGTAGACTCAGTTCACAGAGCAGTTGCTTTTTACATAAAATGGTGCCTTGGTCATAGTTGGTGACCAACCACAGACCGTGCAGGGCTGCAAACTGCGCGTTCGCCATGGCGGACATGGGTCGACACGGACCAGAGCATCCGACGCACCTTCACACAGCGTTTGAGGATCCTGAGGCACAGGCAACTACGGACGTTGATGCCCGAGCGAACGGTGTCGACGTGGACGCTCCCTTGCGTCATGACTTTGACCAGCCACGCATCCTTTCCCACAGCCAGACTTCCCTCACGGACAACACCACAGCCGCTTCAGCAGCACCTTTACCTCGACATCTGCATCACGATATAACCTTCCCTCAGCGCCAGCACTCCCAACCCCTTACCTCCGCCTCCCATCATCACCACCATCGCCATCCCCAGCCATCCCGACATGGCGGCACCACGCCCCCACGCCCACATCCCTCTCGCCGCAGCGGCCCTTCCTCCCCCTACCGCCCACCCTCCCGCTCCCACTCCGCGCGCCTCTCCACCTGCTCCTCCCCATCCACCATCAGCGTGCGCCGCGGCCCCAGCCGCGGCCTCTACACCTCCCCTCAAGGCACCCTAGACGGCGCCACCCTGGCCGCCGCCGTTGCCGCGGCTCCCATCAACCGCGCACCCTCCCACCGCTCGCCGCCCACCTCAGCCTACCGCGGCGCTGGCGGCGGCGGCGGCGGCCTCCGTCGCAACGAAAGCAGCAACACCCTTCTCAACAACATCCATCCAGACATCCTAGATGACCTCCGGGCGCTAGACGACTTGGAAGGCGGCTCACTGCTGCGGCCGCTGCTGGCGCAGGAGGGTGGTGGAGACGGCGGCGGCGAGGGGGGTGGCGGCGGCGACGGCGATGGTGGAGGGGGTGGTGGAGGGGATGGTGGCGGAGGAGATGGCGGCGGCGGGGGGCATGTGGATGAGGCGGAGACGTATGAGGTGAAGGAGCTGCTGGAGGCTAAGCCGCGGGACGTGCTGCAGTTCATTGAGGAGGAGGGTGAGAGGGAGCGGGGGAGGGGGGGAAAGGAGGGGGAAAATTAATGAGAAGTGAAGAGGAATGGGAGGAGGGAGGAGAGCTAGAGTGGAAGGGAGGAAGGGAGGGCGAGGGCCTCACACTACAGGACCCAGATCAAGGTGCTAGTGCGCACTTCTATCCGCTGTTCTCCTCCTCTCTTCGCCGTCACAGACATAAGCACATTACGCCTCCCTTCTCCTCCTCCTCCTTTCCCCCCACCTCCTCCTTCCCTCCTCCTCCTTCCCTTCTCCTCCTTCCCTACTCCTCCTTTCTCCGCCCCAAAAGGCGTTGTGAAGCTGGACGAGTGGGAGGCTGCTGACGGGCTGGTGCTGCGTGCGTTCGGCGGGGAGCCCTTCCTGGTGCTGGGGCACGAGCACGCGGAGCCGCCCGAGCTGCGGGACATGTGGATGGAGCGGCTGGGGGAGGGCGGCAGGGTGCAGGTGAGGGGGGGGGGAGCGGCTGGGGGAGGGGGGCAGGGTGCAGGTGAGGGGGGGGGGAGCGGCTAGTGGAGGGGGGCAGGGTGCAGGTGAGGGAGGGGGGGGGAGCGGCTGGTGGAGGGGGGCAGGGTGCAGGTGAGGGGGGGGGGAGCGGCTGGGGGAGGGGGGCAGGGTGCAGGTGAGGGAGGGGGGGGGAGCGGCTGGTGGAGGGGGGCAGGGTGCAGGTGAGGGAGGGGGGGGGAGCGGCTGGTGGAGGGGGGCAGGGTGCAGGTGAGCGAGGGGGGGAGCGGCTGGGGGAGGGGGGCAGGGTGCAGGTGAGCGAGGGGGGGAGCGGCTGGTGGAGGGGGGCAGGGTGCAGGTGAGGGAGGGGGGGGGAGCGGCTGGTGGAGGGGGGCAGGGTGCAGGTGAGGGAGGGGGGGGGAGCGGCTGGTGGAGGGGGGCAGGGTGCAGGTGAGCGAGGGGGGGAGCGGCTGGTGGAGGGGGGCAGGGTGCAGGTGAGGGAGGGGGGGGGAGCGGCTGGTGGAGGGGGGCAGGGTGCAGGTGAGCGAGGGGGGGAGCGGCTGGTGGAGGGGGGCAGGGTGCAGGTGAGGGAGGGGGGGGGAGCGGCTGGTGGAGGGGGGCAGGGTGCAGGTGAGGGAGGGGGGGGAGCGGCTGGTGGAGGGGAGCAGGGTGCAGGTGAGCGAGGGGGGGAGCGGCTGGGGGAGGGGGGCAGGGTGCAGGTGAGGGAGGGGGGGGGAGCGGCTGGGGGAGGGGGGCAGGGTGCAGGTGAGGGAGGGGGGGGGAGCGGCTGGTGGAGGGGGGCAGGGTGCAGGTGAGCGAGGGGGGGAGCGGCTGGGGGAGGGGGGCAGGGTGCAGGTGAAGGAGGGGGGCGGCGTTCTAGCAAACCCACGGGGGCCTGCTCCGCGGGGGCCTGCTTCTGCACAGCTGTACCAGCATCCTACGAATCTAGCTCTTTGCCTAGGTCCCTTACCACACACGCTCTCCCACCCAACCCCCTTCCCCCTCCCTCCCCTTCCCTAATTGTGGTTTTGTCTATCTCTTTCACATTTCCAGCCCCCTCCCTGTGTTCCTGTGTGTCGGAATATGGCATTGGGACTTCAGTTGCTGCACTTCCCATCTTCCATCTATCGTTTTTTACCCCCTCCCTTACCCCCCTTCCCCTTTCCCTCCCCCTCTTCCCAGGGCACCGGCTGGACCTCCACCCTCTCCGTGGAGGCCCATGTGGTGAACCTGTACGACGCGGCGGGGCCCGGACCCGCGGGTCTGCTGCGGCCGCTGCTGGCGCGGCTGCGGGTGCACGGCTGCCCGCCCACCGTGTTCGCGCTACCAGCGGTGCAGGTGGGGGCCGTGGGGGGGGGGGGGGAGGGAGGAGGGAAGGTGGGGGGCAGGGGCGTTAGGAGGGGATCCTCTCTGTCATGTACATTTCCCCCGCGCCAGCAGCCTCCCATTTGCCATTTTCATTCACAGCACATTGGGTCTTCCTCTTCCCCCTCTCCCTCTCTCCTCACACTCCCTCTCCCTCCTTCTCCCTTACCCCCCCACTCCCCCCCCCGCAGGCCGTCATCGCTCACAAGTGGAACAGCTGGGCTCGCCACTTCCTGATGGCCGAGTTCGTCTTCTACGCGCTGTGGCTGGCAGCCTTCTCAGCCTTCTCACTGCTGCTGGAGGACGGAGCCGACCCGGTGCATGCAGCGGCGGCAGGAGGTGGAGGTGGTGGTGGAGGCGGAGGAGGTTTTCGGTTGTTCAGTAGCGGCGGCGGTGCAGGAGAAGATGACGGCGAGGGCGGCGCCTACGGCGGCGCCGCCTTTTCAATTCCCGTCATCCGCATGCTGGCGAGTATCGTACAAGCGGTGACGGCGACGCTTCACGCCGCGCCCCCGCTGGCAGGCAGCGACTCCGCAACCGCCGCAACCGTCAGCAGCAGCATCAGCGGGGCCATCAGCACCCCCGACGGGGTGTGCTCCGCTCGTTTCCTGGCGTTTTGGGACTGGGGTGCGCTGGCTGGGTTGCTGCGCAGTCCCCGCGGCCTGGCCCAGCTGGGTGCGAGCACGGCGGCGGTGGGCGCCATGTTGCCGTTCGCGTACATGGAGCTGTGCACGGCGGCGGTGCAGGGGTGGGGCTGGGGGTGGGGCGGGGTGGGGCGGGGTAAAAATAAGGAAAACTGACGAACTGAAGAAAGGGGCTTCTCCATGGGTTGCTATTTGAACCCGGTCCCGGGGCGGGGTGGGGGGGAAGGGGGGTGGATAGAGAGGTAACAGCCAACTGACCGTGGGGTTGGGGGTGGAGGTGGAGGGAAGCGTGTCTACCGGTAGCATCTAGCCACTGCCAATTGACCTACACGCCTGCCTCTCACCCCTCTTCCTTTTGGGTTTCTTGCGTCCCAGTTTGTTTAATCCCCTCCCTCTTCCCACCCTCCCCCTTCCCCCCCCCGCAGTCTGGCCTGGGTGAACCTGTTCAACCTGGCTGACGTGGCCTCCTACCTGCTGGCGCTGGCGTTGTGGGCGGTGCATGTGCGGTGCGGCTCCATGCCCGCCAGCAGCTGGTTCAGCGGCGCACTGGCGTTGCAGCACGTGCTGCTGTGGAGCAAGCTGCACTACTACGCGCGGTAGGGGGGGGGAGGGGGGAGGGAGGGGTTAGTTGGTTCAGGAGGGGGGAGGAGAGGGTGAGGATTTGGGTTTGGAGAGCAGAGCTTGGTCGTTAGGATAGCTGTTAGTGCCTTGTTCCGTGGCCTGTGCGGCAGATCCGTACGAGTAGCGAGCTGGAGGGCCCCTGTCGTCACCCCCACACTCCTTTTTATGCACCTTCCCCACCTCATTCCTCCTCATCATCATCATCCCTCTCCCTCCCCTCCCCCCTCTTCCTCCTCCCACACACTGGGTATTCTTCTCCTCCTTCCCCTCCTCCCCCCTCCCCCCAGCGTGCTGACCCCCACTCGCGGCGGCTTTAATGACACCATCCGCATGGTGCTCGCGGAGATCCGCTCCTTCCTGGGCTTCGTGGGGCTCGTCATGATGGGCTTCGCGTTCGCATTCTACTGCCTGTTCAGGCAAGTGGGGGAAGGAGGGGGGAGTAAGGGAGGGGGTGGGAGAGGTGGGGAAAAGGGAAAGAGGATGGAGGGTAGTGTTTGGGGCGGGGTGGTGGTGGTATCGTACCCCTATCACCGCTGTCTACCCTACCCTTGCCACACCCTGTACGTCTCACCCCACTCCTTTGTCCCCCACCCCACCCCACCCAAATGCGTTTCGCCCTAACCTGTGGTTGAGGCATATCCTTGAGCCCCCGCCCCACCCCACCCCTCTTATCATCAATGTTGCACCCCACCCCGCCCCGCCCCACCCCACCCCGTCCCTTGCAGGCAAGACCGGGAGGAGTTCTCCGACTTCTCCACCCTGTGGCACTCCTTCGCCGCCATGTTCGCATACATGCTGCAGATGTTCGACTACTCCGTGCTGTACAAGTGAGCGGGGGGGCGGGGGGCGGGAGAGCGGGAGAGGATGAAAGGGGAGCGGGGTTGGCGGCGTGTATGCAGAAATATGCAAAGTCCAAACTACCGGCGCTGAACGTATATTTCTACATACACCACCATACTCCTCGGCTCCTGGGTGTGTTGCGCCCCGTGGTGTGGGTGCTAACCCGCTCGAGTGAGCACCCGCACCAGCTACACACCCTCGCTGCTGCCGCTTGCGAGTGGCGCTACCGGCCCTGGGCTGCTGGCGGCAGAGGTGCCTGCTGGGTGGGGCAGTCGAGCGTGTTCCTGTACCCTCCCGCCGACATCCGCCGCCGGCAACACTGTCCATGAAGCCCACTTGCCCGTTACCGCACCCTGTCGCCCCTTACCGCACCCTGTCGCCGAAGCCGGCAGCATAGCCAAGGAAAGGCGAGTGCAGGTGCAGCGAGAACTCGTTCGATCCCTTCCCCCCTCACCCTCCCTCCCCCCCGCCCCCCCCTCATGTCCTGCACCGCCTGCCCGGCAGCTCCACGCACCCCATCCTGGCCATGGTGCTGTTCATGTCGTACGAGCTGATGGTGGCGGTGCTGCTGCTCAACATCATGATCGCGCTCATGACGGCCTCCTTCGCGCGCGTGTCGGCGGATGAGGGGCTGCGCTACCTCATCTACAAGGCGGAGGTGGGGGGGAGCGGGGGGGGGGGCAGGGGTTTAGGTAAGCTGAGCCGGCAGCAGGAGGGAGGGAGCCGATCCGCGGAGCAGCGGGATAGCTGCAGGGTAGCTGCAGATCACAGTTGGAACGGGTTGGTTACCCTCCCTCCACCTCCTCCACCTCCTCCGCCGCCGCCAATCCCCCCCCCAGGTTATCGACGAGCTAGAGAGCACCCTGCCAACTCCTACCCCCATTGTTTTACCCTAACTTGTGGTCTCCTATGGTTTGGTCCCATGGTCTTTGAACCCCCCCCAGGTTATCGACGAGCTAGAGAGCACCCTGCCCCGCTGGCTGCTGCGGCCCGCCTGGTACCCCCACTTCGTGCACGTGCTCAAGATCAGTCCGCGCTCCACCTACGAGATCAACCTGAACAGCGTGTGGAGCGGCATCGGCAGCCTGCAGTCGTCGCTCATGAACGCACAGCAGGTGGGGGTGGCGTGGGGGGCGGATGAGGTGTTGGGCAACCCAGTAAAGGGGCGGGGGAGCGAGCTTCCCTGCACCTCAAAACACATGCACATCAGGAAGGAGGGAAGGAGGCCAGGTGTGCAAAGAAGGGGCGAAGGCGCTACCCCACATTCTCTCCCTAGTCCCTCAACCCTACCCTACCCAACCCTACATCTCATCTCATTTCTCCAAAACGCCCCCCCCCGCTCTCCTCCTTCTCCCTCTCCTCCTTCTCCCTCTCCTCCTCCTCCTCCTCCTCCCCGCTACGTTCCAGGAGACCCGGTTGCGTGTTGAGGCGCTGGAGGGCAAGGTGGACATCATCGACCAGAAGCTCTCAGCGGCGGTGCGCCTGCTGGCGTCCAGGCTGCTCACGCACAGGTGAGGAGGGTAATTGGGGGTTCGGGTGAATGGAATGGGTAAAGAAGGAATGGGTAAAGAAGGAATGGGTAAAGAAGGAACAAACGCAAGCCGCCCAACACGTGGTGGGCCCAACTCGTACGATATACCAGTAGTTGTGTTTGGTGTGGGTTGGCGTGCAGTCGCAGGGGCGTGTGTCATAAGAAGCCTTCTTCTTCTTGCATGCATTGCAAGATTGCATGTATGCATGCATGCATAAGCAACGCTATATGCTATATGCTATACGCTGTTCCTCGTACCTGTTCATCGGATCCGGTACCCGTACTTTGATCTCGTGCACGTGCACGTACGATAATAATAACGGTATGTGGGCTTCTGTCGCCCCGCCCGTTGCGACTCCCACAGCGAGCTGGCCGCCGCGCTGTCCATGGAGGATGACGTGGCGGAGGCCGCCAGCGGCAGCAGCGGGGAGCAGGAGCATCTGCTGCGGGATCTCGAACTGTACGGCAGCGGCGGGGAGGAGGGAGATCCGGATCCAGAGGCTTGGCGGGATGCCGAGCTGGATCCGCGGCGGGACGAGCAGGAGGTACCCGAGGTGGAGGAGGAGGAGGGGTTGGAGGGCGGAGGGGGCGAGGAGGAGGGGCTGCTACGGGTAGCAGGAGGGAGGAGGAGTGGGAGTGGGCTGGGGGCGGCAGGTGCAGCGGTGTTGCCGCTGCCGCCGGGTGTTAAGCAGGGACTGAGGGGACGCGGAGGAGGAGGAGGAGGAGGAGGAGGAGGAGGAGGGAGCTTGAGGGGTACCGGGCAGCACCCTCGAGGCCGGGAGCAGCAGCCCCCCCACATGCGGTCCCAGCCGCCGTCCGCCGCCTACAGGCATCACCACCCCTCCTCCGCACACCCCTCGGCGGCCGGCCACATGAGCCATGCGGCCTCCGCCTACCCCCTCAGTCGCACCTCCACCTCCACCCACCATCACCACCACCACCACCCTCCCTCCTCACACCACCACCACCACGACAGTCACCACCACCACCACAGCAGGCACCTGCACCAGCAGCACTCCTCCTCCCATGCTGGACATTACGGCCATGGTCATGTGACCCATGGGTCAGCCTCCGCAGCCGTGTCGTCGTACCTGCCGAGTCGCGAGCCGTCGGCGTCGTACATGGGTAGCCCTCGCGTCCCCCGGGTTCCGCTGCCGCCCATGCATTCCCAGCCCCCGCCACAGCAACACCAGCAACACCAACAGCAGCAGCTGCACCAGCAACGGTCTACCGCGCCGCCCAGTGCCGCTCGCTTGCATGCGTTTTACAGCCATGGCCACGGTCAGAACTACCATCAGCATCACCAGCAGCAGCAGCTACATCAGCAGCAAACGTACGACGGGGCAGATCGCTTGCCGTACGGTTACCGCAGCTCGCCGACGCCGCCGCCGGATGATGGCGACGATGTAGACGAGGAAGGAGGTTACGGTGGCGGAGCTCGGGTTCTTCCTCCAGAGGTGGAGGAGTACTACCGGCAAAAGGACCGCAGCCGAGGCGACTCCGTACGGCCTCTCACTGCGCTGCCAGCGGCGGCGGCGGCGGCAATTGAAAGCGGCGGCGGCAGCGGCGATCGAGAGGCCGGCTGGTGGGGTCCCCGTCTTGGCGGCGGCACCGGCGACGGCGCCGCCGGCAGCCAGCGGCGGTCGGGCGACAGCAGTACGACATCTGACGTCATGCCGGCAGCAGCTGACGGCCCTGCCGTACATCCCGAGGATGCTGTGGCGCTGGACATGAGGTCAGCGGAGGAACGAAGTACGGCACTGCTGCCGCCGCCGTTATCTCAGCGGGGATATGCGCCGATAGGGGCGACGGGGGCGGCGGCGTTGTCGTACGATGACGGAGGCGGCTCCGCGGCGGCGTCGCCACACGTGCCGCGAGGGGGTGGCGGCAGCGGCAGCGGCAGGTCTTCTTTCCCCTATCCGTACGTATCACAGTACGGCGGTGGCGGTAGCGGCAGATCTAGCGGCGGCGGCGGTGCTGGCGGCGGCGGCGGCGGCGGCGGTGCTGGCGGCGGTCCGACGATGGCGTCCATAGCGGAGCACGGCTCTCCCAGCCTGTGTGGCAGCATGGGGCCGGATGCGGCGGAGGGAGGCAGCGTCATGGGGGACGGGGCGCCGGGTCAGGCCTCATCGGAGGATGCTGGGTCAATGCGGGCGCGCGGAGATGAAGGGGGTTGGTTGGGTTAGGGCTCTGCGGGTGGGTGGTTGGAAGTTGGTTGGCGGGGGGGGGGGGGTCAAGTGATGTGTACTGACTTGTGGAGGTAGAGAGGGTGGGAGTGGTGGGAGTTCAGCGGGAGGGAGGGTGGCGGTAATACAGGGGAAGGAGGTTGGGAGGAGGGGTTTGCATGCGTGGTGGTGAGTTGGAGGTGAAGGCTGATAGGTTGCGGCAGTGCCAGATCTTCGAGTTGGGCGTGTGTTAAGAAAACTGGCCGCGAGTAGGAACGTACTGGGATGTCGGAAGATGAAGTCCCGGCGGGCGTGTGTACATGTGCCTTTATTGTGGGCCTTAACCGCGTTAGAGGGTGTTGAGGAGGTTGTTTAGACGATTAAGTGTGTTACGGTCCCGCAAGGCATATTGGAGTACTAGGAATCCTGATCATACACCTGCAAGGTTTGTAGGAAATGAGTATTGAATTCATTGAATGATGCCTGTTGTTGTTTCCTTTTTGCCGTTTTGCCCACCTGCGTCCCTTTTGACATGCGTCCTGTCAACCTCCATCTCGTCTCTTTCCTGGGGTTTGGCAGGTCCCAGGCAGGTCCCTAGCATACCATAGCTTTCGACGGGGCGGGATGTAGGATGAGTGCACAGTAGCTGACATCACGAAGGGACCGAGAGAACTGCTCGGTGGGAATGGTGAGGGCATTGAAACCCTTTCTGGATTTGTCCTGTTGCTCGTGCTGTGGTTGAGCAGCTTGAAGTATCGTTGGGTGTCGCGGTTCCTCGGGCTGCCTTGTGGTTGGCATTGCCTCCTTCGGGCGTGCAACAGTGCGTTTGGGATGTTGTCGTTTTGGCTGCTTTGTCCGCTATGGAGGAGGGTCGGCGGTTGTTACGGGCTCGTGTGCGTGAGTCTGGTTCTGCGGGTGTTGTGTCTGGGCTTGCTGATGTGGTGGCCCTGTCTGCTGTTTCCTGGTTCTGGGGTCAGCTTCGGAGTTTTGCTTGTTTGGGTGTTCCCCGTCGGGGATGGGCTGGGGTTGGCCCTTCTCATCCTTTCTTACGTAATGTTGGCGGGCGGCTTTCTGCGTGCCGTTGAGCGTCCTGTTTTGGCCCTGTCTTTGGGGTGGTGTGTTCGTGGCTTCTGGTTTGGGTTGTCTTTTGCCCTAATGGTGGTTTGTCGAGGTTTGCTGAGGGGCCGTTTCTTGGCTTCTACCCTCTTGCTTGCCTCTTGTGGATTCTTTTAGGGCTATGTCTCCCATCTTGTTGGCCCGTTGTGGTACTGTTTTTACGGTTTGTTCCGTTTCTTTTGCAATGTAGGGTTGGGTTCATCACCCGTGTTCCCTTTTAGGGCACCATTGTAACGGTCATTCATTCATTGAAACCCGTTGTTGGCCGCGCTACGCCTTTGGCAGGTGGGGTAGGTGGGTAGTCAGTAAAGAAGAGTTAGCGAAGAAGATTTTGTGCTGTGCTTTTGTCAGCTCAGCGTGTAGCCGTTCCTTCGACCTAACCCATTGTCATACATGGATTACCGCTATAGTGTTCACGCCGTAGGTGCTTATGCTTTTGTACTGTCTTACTCAGTGACTTTGCGAAACAAACCTTGGTTCAGTGTGCCTCTGCATGCTTGCAAGGAAAGGAGGAAGGTAGCAGGGCACACCGTTGTTGTGTATGTGTGTGCGTTCAGGAAGGCAGCGTGAAATGTGTAGCGATCTGTCAGGAATCTCAAATTCATGGGTACTGTTGCGTGCTTGGGTTCCTTGGCGTTGGGTAAGGGAGGGTCACCTGCAGACTGAATGCATGTGCAGCCGTGTTCCTACTGAACGTGTTGCTCGCGTTTGAAAAACTGTGGGGGATTAGTTGCCGTGTCGGGTCGCCGGAATGAAAGGATCCTCAGGAGCCACCGGCGTGATGGAGGTTGTCATGTCACGCTCGGCCGAGGGGGACGAGGAGGTCAAACTTGAGGAACCTCCTAGCCTGTACATTCCGTTCCCACCAGAAAGGGGGCTGGTGGAAAGAGGTTACTCCATGTGGTTCCAGAAAAGTCCTGGACCCTGGTCAGTAAGCGAAAAGCGAACCCGCTTCCAGCAACGAACTCCCCGTAGTTTAGGCTTATCTACTGTATTGTATGGGTTTGGTGTTCTTGAAGAATTCGGGTCCCCAGCGGATTGTACGTGTATAACAGTACTCGTTGGAAGACAGCCGGACGACATGTGCGAACATCAGGAAAATGAGCGCCAAGGTTGCAGTGATTTGCTGTTAATAAGTCGTCTTCCTCAGGCTCATCCATCGATTCCATACTTGTAGGCTGTGAACTATTGCCTTTCCTTTTGCCAATTATCCACCTCAGATGGTGGTGGCTGTTGTTGGTGCATCGACATATCTTACGATGATGATGAATCTATAAGGAGCTTCTTCTATGTCGAAGCGGGTGCGGCATGACTACTTCGCCGGCGGGCGCCAGGGACCAAAGCGGGCCAGGGCCGCCGGTAAGCCAACAGCTATGTTCTGCGGCCTGCGCATTACAGCTCTATGCCGTCGGAAATACTTGTCGTGTTTCCAACGGGAGCCCCTTCTCACCATTTTGTGCAAATTGCATTTATGAACCCTGCAGGTAGCCAAGAAACGAGCAATATACTTGATCATGAGAGGGAGGATGTCCTGCCGTCTGCTCATACCAACCGGGGCGTGTCTCCTGCAGCGGCCCGCGCCAACCAAGACATGGATCCAACATCCCACAACCCCAACAACAACAACCCACGGCCAGACGCTCTCCTTGCAACAGCTAGCCATGCACACACAGGGAGTCAGGATCCCTCACACGTCAGCGATTCCTTGCTTTCGGGGCGTGGCCTAACCGCAGATGGCACCGCAAATGGTAGAGGTGGCCTTCATGGCAGCGACGCCCAGGCCGCCCCTCACGCCAGCGGTGGCTCAGAAGACGGCCGCGATCTGGGTCAGGGCGGCAACAGCTTCACAAGCAAAGACGCAAGCGACAGCAGCGATGGCAGGACGGACAGAAGCAGTGGAGACACCGCTGCAGGCGACCCCGGCAGCGGCAGTGCTGAGGGTGCAACCGACCCCGTTGACCAAGGTGTCGACCATGCAGGGGATGCTACCAACCGCGATCAGGGCGGGGATCCTGCAACCAGCGGCGGCCGCGACGGTGACAGCGATGGTGGGGGGAAGGGGAATGAGAACCCCCATGATGATGGCGATGGCAGTGGCGGCGGCGAGGAGGCGGACGAAAGCGAGGGCGGCGGTGCCCCTGGTGGCTCGGGAATGGTGAGGGAGCCGGGAGAAAGAGGAGGAGGGGGAGGGGCAGCACGCCCAAGCAAGCGGCGGCGTACTGAGGCGCACCCGGCTCGGCAGCCGCCGCCGCAGCAGCAGCAGCCCGCTTGCCAGTCATCGCCGCAGCGGGAGGAGGATGAGGAGGAGGAGCAAGGGCAGCAGGCGGGAGAGGAAGAACAAGAGCAGGGGGAGCAAGCGCAAGCTCGGAGGGGTGCTGGGCTGGGGGCGCTGAGGAGGAATACGGGAAGACCCCGACGCGCGTCGGCAGCTGCAATGTCGACAGCTGCAGCGGCAGCAGCAGCAGAGGAGGAGGAGGAGGCGGGAGAGAAAGAGGTACCGAGGAGGAGGAACGCACCCAGGAAGGGAAGGCCCCGACGCGCGTCGGCAGCTGCAATGTCGACAGCTGCAGCGGCAGCAGCAGCAGAGGAGGAGGAGGAGGACGAGGAGGAGGTACCGAGGAGGAGGAACGCACCCAGGAAGGGAAGGCCCCGACGTGCGTCGGCAGCGGCAGAGGAGGACGAGGGCGAGGAGGAAGAGGAGGAGGAGGAGGAGGAAGAGGAGGAAGAGGTACCGAGGAGGAGGAGGCGGAGGAACAGCACTCCCGCACCCAGGAAGGGAAGGCCCCGACGCGCGTCGGCAGCTGCAGCGGCGGCACCGGCAGAGGAGGAAGAGGCGGCGGAAGAAGAGGTACCGAGGAGGAGGAGGCGAAGGAACAGCACTCCCGCACCCAGGAAGGGAAGGCCCCGACGCGCGTCGGCAGCTGCAGCGGCGGCACCGGCAGAGGAGGAAGAGGCGGCGGAAGAAGAGGTACCGAGGAGGCGGAGGAATAGCACTCCCGCACCCAGGACGGGAAGGCCCCGACGCGCGTCGGCAGCTGCAGCGGCGGCACCGGCAGAGGAGGAAGAGGCGGCGGAAGAAGAGGTACCGAGGAGGAGGAGGCGGAGGAACAGCACTCCCGCACCCCAGAGGGGAAGGCCCCAAGGCGCACCAGTAGCTGGAGCGGCAGAGAAGGAGAAGCGGCAGCAGGCCAGGTTAGCGCTGGCGGTGGTTTCGGAGCGGCTACAGCCCCAGTCGTTCGCTGCAACGTACTTTCGCCGTACATTGGAATCTGCGCCGTACTGCCGGCCGTATTGTCCGGGGGACTGGTGGCGCGCGGAGGTGGCCTTGCTGCAGGTTTTTGCCAATGCACGCAGGGGGCCAACCTTTCGTCACCGGTTTAAGGTAAGGGACATCGTTGGGTGGTGGTGGTGACGGTGCGTGCGTCTGTGTGTTGGGACAGGGTCAGAGAGATATATACCAAAATAGCAGCTCACCATGTGTCATGCCGCTAGGGTGTCTCCAGAACCCTTTTACGTCCCTCTCTGAATGTGTTCATGTGGTGGGTGTGGCCACTAAGGAAGGGCTTGCGCTTTTGCACATCGCTGGATGAAAAAGCTGGATGGCTGCATCCAAGGCGGCGAGACAAGTCGAGATGCACCCCTCCAAGCCAAGATTGCTAACCTCAGCGCCAACCATATACGCGCCCCACAGAGGCCTACCCTAGCCCCTCCTACCTCGCCTAACCTTGTTGTCTCACCGCCTACGCTCACCCGACCTGAACTCTCACATCACCCTAACACACCCAACCCAACCCAACCCAGCCTCGCTAACCGAACTCTTCCAAAACCTGTCCTCGGCCCCTCCGCTCCTTCCTTGCTCCTCCCCGCTCCTCCTCTGCCCCTCCCCAGGAAGCGCTCCTCCGCATGGCCAGCACCGCCGCTGCTGCACGGCTGGCCTACCCGGTGGGGCTGATGCTGCGGGGGCCCACACCGCCGCTCGCGTTGGCGCCGGTGGTGACGGCGGTGGCTCCCAGCATCGCTGCGACCTCCTCCTCGCGTGTTGACGAATTCGCGTCAGATGGCTTCACTCTGGACGGCTTGAGAGAGGTGCCGGTGCTGGCTCCCACTGTCGCAGCAGCAGCCGCTGCAGCGGCGGAGGTGGCGGGGGCAGCGGCAGCCGGCGGAGCTGCTGCTGCTGCTGCAGCTGACGGGAACGCTGGCAATGTGGACAGTGCAGGCGGAGCCTACGGACGTGGAGATGAAGACCCAGGTGCGGCGGGAAGGACAACGGCAGCGGCAACCTCCGCTTCTCTGGCGAGGGCGACGGCTTCTCGGACCGGCAATCCACGCTGTCCGGTGCCGCTGTGGGCTGCATGTCTGCCGGCGGCGGTGGCGTGTACGACAACAACAGCATCATCAACGACGGCGGCGGTGGCAGCGGCGTCAGATCTGCCTATCGTACCGCCGCTGCGTGTGTGTCGTACTCCGGAGGCGGCGGCGGAGGCGGTGGATCTGACGTTGTTGGCGTTACGAGGCCCTTTTGGCACGCCGTTGAACAGCGTGGGAGGACTGGGGGCGTATGGCAGGGACTTGGAGCTGCTGCTGCCCGTGAGAGGTGGGTGACCGGACGGAGGAATGATGGTTTATGTTGGTTACCAGCTTGCATGAACTGAGAGTTGTAAACCGCTGCACCTGCTGCGGCTCCTCCATTGTTTAAAGCACCAGGGTGTACACTGCTTCACATCCTGCGTGCCTTCAACTGCGTCCCTTTTAGCCATGCGCTTGATGGTTTCTCCGCAGCTTCTTTACCGCTCCACTCTTTTCCCTCTTCCCTAATTCCGGCTGCCACTGTTACCTTCGGTGACGACCCCCCCCCCGCAGGTCCCGATCTGCGCAATCGCCTTGCCGCCATTCGCCACTCCCTGGCCCCCACCGCCACCACCGCAGCCGCCGGGCCGCTCGCTCTCAGCTACCCGGAAGCAGGCATGCTGCGCATTCGGTTGGGCTGCGGCGCCTGCGCGGCCTGCACCGACCCATGGGCCACCTCGCCCTGCTTGCGGCCACTTTCCCTGGCGTATGAAGCTTTCCTCCTCCGTTTCATTTACTATGAGGTGGAGGTGAAGGCTCGGGCAGCGCTCCGCTGGGCGCTTGGGTGGGACCCCGTTGCGGCGCATGCGGCTGCCGCGAGGGCTGCGCTGGGGCTGGGACTTGACAGCGGCAGGCGAGGTGGCGGCGGCGGCGGTGGCGGCGGCGGCGGTGGCGGTGGCAGAGCAGGCAACGGCCGCGGCCGCAAGGTGGCGCCTGCCGGCGGCGGGGAAGCCGGGGGGGTGCATGATGGGCCGGAGTTGGAATTGGATGGCGAGGAGGAGGAGGAGGAGGAGGAGCAGGAGGAGGAGGGGGAGGAAGAGGAGGCGGGGGATGGTGGCGCGGACAGCGACTCATCACTCGACAACGCACCCCTGGCGAAGCGACAGCGCGTGCACCGAAGACGTGCCCGTGCAGTCTCTTCCGCGCAGCGTCGATGGTCAGCCCGGCGTTCCAGGATCGCCACCTTTATTGGAGCGGAGGACGGCAGCGTGCTGCTGCCCCCGGCCCCGCCTGGTGATGGCGCTGCCGCTGGTAGCGGGGGTGGCAAGGGCGGCGGGGGCGGGGCCCCTGCGCGCAAGGGACGTCCATGTCGGATGGTCGCAACTACGCCCGCGGATGGTTTGGCGGTGGATGGTCAAGGTAACGCCGAGTACCTTTCGGCGAGCCACACGAGTTTTTTTACGCTGGTAAGTAGATGTCCTGGTGCAAGCTGCGGGCTGAGGTCGGCCACACTGCTGCATAGCTTGCTTTGAGTAACCTGTGATTTGTGTCACAGCGGGCAGCATGGGGTGTGCCGGTGGTATGCCGTTTCATGCCGTCCCTTTCGTGCGTGTTCCGAATACCCAAACCCAAACCCCCTCCCCTTCCCCCGCCCACCCCACCTCCTCCCCCTGCCCCATACACACACACGCACAGGTCCTGCGCGCACGACACGCAGAGCTCAAGGCGAGCGAGCAAATCGAGCTGAGGCGCGCATTGTACCGCTGCAGTCGTGCCAAGCCGTACGAACAGTACGGTGATCGCATGGCGACACAGGTGTCCGCGTACCCTTTCGAGCATTTCGCCTACTCCTGCAACGCCCCGGCGGTGGCTAGCGCCGGGGGCCGCCGTCTGCCGGGCTGGCGTGGACTGATCGGCCCGGGCCCGCGAGACGCCGTGCGAATTGTAGCCAAGGCGGCGTTCGTTGAGCAACCGATGGTTCAATTGATGACGGCGCATGCAGCGTCCGTGGCGGGTAAGGAGGGGAGTGTAGGGGGTTGAAACAGAAGGAGACGTTCAGGAATACGCTTCGTTGGGAGGGTGTTTGAGTGCACATCCTCCCACCCACCTTTGAGCACTCGCGGCCGGTTTTCTAAACACACAGCCGCGTCCCGCTCTCCTCCTTTACCCGCTCCCCCCCCCCCGCCCTCCCCCGCCCCATCCAGGTTCCCCTGTTGTGGCGCTGCTCCCGCCGCTCTACTCGCAGCACCCCGCCTGCCCCTGGTGCGGCTCAGCGGGACACACCCGCCGCTTCCTCTGCCCCCTCCGCCGTCTGTGCGCGCCCGCGCTAGGGCTCGGGGGCCCCCTCGCGCTGCAGCTGAACCCGCATCAGCCGTGCAACAACACTTCTCCGTCGCCGGCGCCAGCGGCGGGTGCGGCAACAGTGGAAGCAGCAGCAGCAGCAGCAGCAGCAGTGGAGCCGGCGCCGCAGGTGCATGTGAATCCCGACGCCGCCGAGGTGGTGCCGGCACCTCAACGCACGATCTTGCCTGCGGGTCTGCCTCGCGCCGCGCACCACTACAGCAGCGTGCTGGGGGGCGGCGAGGTAGAGCCCGTAGTGGAGGGCCCCAAGCAGCTAGATGTGGTGTACAGGCTGAGGACTCTGGCGAAGGAGGAGGCCACGCTCGGGGAGGAGGTGCCGGAGGGCACACTGCCGTGGCAGGCGCAAGGTAAGGGCCTCTGGTGTGGTGGTGGTGGTGGGGGGGGGAAGCCGGCGGTGGTGGTGGTGCGGCCTTTGGCAGCTGCTTCTGATATCATGAGAACGGGGTAGGGGGAGCAGACAAGGAGGGCGCTGTGGGCTTGGTGGGGTGTCGTGGTCGTGCGGGGGCACTTACATGCCAGCCAGCGCCCTTACCGGTACGGTATTGGAACCCATACAATCATGCAGTACCCGTACCTTCTAGGTTCGGGAGCCTTGAAACCCCTGCATGCCGCTGCACGACATGCTCCTACGCCCATGCCCCCCCCTCTCGCCCCCCAGGCGGCCGCCCTGCCCCCGCCTGGCTGGCCTCCCTGGACCGGGCCACGCGGGACCTGATGGCCGCACTGCACGAGGCGCAACCCTGGGCGAACGGACTGCAACCCGTACGGCGTCGTCGTACAGCGGTGCCTGGTAGCGGCGGCAGCGGCAGCGGTGGGCCAGCTGCCGGACAGCAGCAGCAGCAGCAGGGCCCCGGCAGCGGGACCACAGGTGCCCGGGGGGCTGCGGCGGCGGCGGAGGGTGCGGCGCCGGCTGAGGCAGGGGCTGGGGTTTTGGAGCGGGAGAGGTTGTTGGAGGAGTTTCAGGCGACTCCGGAGCCGCTGAGCGATGAGACGCTGCTTGCACTGGCGTTGCTGGTGCAGGAGGCGGCAAGAGTGGGAGGAAGGGGAAGGGTGGGGAAGAGGAAGGAGGTGGTGGGGAAGAGGAAGGAGGTGGTGGGGAAGAGGAAGGAGGTGGCGGGGAAGAGGAAGGAGGTGGTGGGGAGATCAGGTGGGGTGAATATGCCCTCGGCGGGCGGGGAGTAGCCATATGGATGTAACCGGCGGGGGATGGCGGGAAGCGGTTGTAAGGGTTAGGTGCAGTTGGCACGCGAACTGGAGTCGGCTGGACGGCCTATCCAGTTGGTAGTTTCGGTTGACAGTTAGTAGTAGCTGTAGGCGTAACCCACGGCAGGAGGGAGCTAGCAGGGGGCAGTTAAGCACCGATGAGCGTGATACAGCTGGAGTGGATTCTTTCGAGTGGTTCTTAGAAGTATAAATAGATACCGGTAGACAGCAGGTGGAATGTGAGTTATTACCTTAAGGTGACATGCGCCCCTACGCGACGCAGGAGGATCTTGCAGGGTTGCGTCTTGCTTCCATGAGCGGTTTGCTGTTACAGCCGGCCGCAATGCCCTGTACGGGTTCGGTAGAGGCAGTACTGCGAACCCTGTGTGTCTTTATTTGCGTGGCTGCTTGGCAGGGTGTCTAGAAACATGGTAGTCGGGGTTGGGATCCATGCCCACCGGTAATGGTTCCTGGTGAACAAGCAAGTGCACGCGAGACCTTGCAGATGAGCACGGAGCGAACAACTGTGGGTTCGTCCATGTACACTTGCGAGTTGTGAGAGGAACTCATGCTCGCGCCAAGGTCAGTGCCGGTTTAGCGGCCAGTTGGTTCAACACATGCGACGCATGGGTTGTGGATAGGAGCTACGGCGCCTTGCTGGCTGCATCCATGAGCCTCCTCCGCAACCTCCCATGTAGCTCCTTCTACGCACTCCTCGGATGTTTCATGTCCCTGCTCATGTATGATGTGGTCTGCCACATCACATTCACTCCTACCGCTAAGGCTGGGGACCCAAAGCTCGTAACAACATTGCATGTTGGGGTTCTAGGGCTCCCCTAGCCGTCACCTACACGCCTGGTACGGGCCTCATACGTCATACCGTACTACCGGTAGTTTGCATTAACGCTCCACCTGACCCACATAGCCTAGACCGTATCTCCAGATTCTCCACTGATCCCTGGCTACTAAAAGCCCGCACAACAAAGTCGCTTTTGCTCCACCGCCTGCGACCGGTATCTAATCCTAACCACCTAGTGTCCTTGGCCGCCCCTAGCTGGCTCGTACGGACACGCAATGTACACGCGTCCAGGCTGTAACTGTACCCGCCTCCCGTCATGCGCGCCCGCCCCGCCCCCACCTGCACTTTCCCCACTCCCCAGCCCCTCACGGCGGGGCGTCCACCAGCATATCCTCCATCTCCACCCCGACATCCGCCGGGTCCCCTAGCCCGCCCACATCGCCGTCCCCCATGCCAAGTCCCAGCCCCAGCCCGCCCAAGCCGTCATCGTCGCCAGGCCCCCCCAGCACCCCCGCCGCGTCCGGCTCCCCTAGCCCCTCTAGCTGCACATCGCCCCCCTCCCCATCCATGCCGCCGCTGGGCCCGGCCTCCCCAGGCTCCGGAACCTCTTCCGCTGCTGCTGCCGCGGTTTGCTTGGCGGCGCTGCGGGGGGGCTCTGCGGCGCCCTTGCGCTTCTTGGAGGGCCGGTTCTTGTTGCGTTCTTTGACGGCCTCTTTGAAGACTGTGGCAGGGGCAGGGGCAACAGAGGTGTAAGGGGGCTTTTGCGTGCATGCAGAAGCAGCGGATGCTAAGGTATGTTGCGGAGGACCTAACTGTGCCCTTAGCTATTAAGTATTTAGGTTGGCTGCCACACAACTGACTCCTTGGTATAGCTGCCGACAGCTTTCTGGCCAACCATTGTATGGGTTCACAGCTTGCGGCTAGGATTTGGCATCTCCACGTACCTTCAAGCTGCTCCCTCAGCGGCGCTACAAGCTCCTGGAAGTCCAGGTCCTGGAGCGCGTTGAAGACGTCATCAGCGTTGACCGTGGAACTGCAGGGCAGGTGGAGTGTTTTGTGGGTCATGAAGGGGTCTGACTCATCCAATAGCCCCATGGGCAGGGAGGGGCTCTGAACCCGCTCGCTGGCATGCCGCAGGTTCCATGCTTTTGACTGTTTGTGCCTACCTCCCCCTTCCCGACCCCCCAGCGCCACGCCCTTCAGTGGAATGTTAGGGTTCTTACCGTCGCTTCTCTTGACAGATATCGTTTGCTGTGGATGCAATGAGGCTAATGAAGACCTTGGTGCTTTCTGAAAGAGCCGTAAGAGCATCCTTGCTAATCCCAAACTCTTTGCTTTCATCGCCAGACAGCGCTGCAAGCTTCGCCTTTACGATTCGCTTAACGAGCGCTCTCGGTAGGTCCACATCGGACTCTGCTTTTTCCGCGACAGCATTTTGGGCATCCATTAAACTGCAAAAGAGGTTTGATATGTCGTTCTCGACTGTGTTACTGTAGAAAGGTAAGAAGTCAGGTTTCAAACGGATGTAAGGCAACTATGAATGCTGAATTCCTGCAGCAAGAATGATTGGAAGAAAACGCTGATCTATAGCTGCTGTGGCTTGTCAAGCTTTGGGCCCTTGATGGCGCCAAAACGACGACTGTACAACAAGGCTAACGACCCCTTCCGGGAAGAGTCTTCCCGTGCACCACTTCAACCAGTGGTTAGCATCGGCTTCCTAGCTTAATTGGTAAAGCTGAGATGCTTTTATGGGCATCCTACACCTGTACGAAGTACGTGACTAACGCTGCAATTTCCAACAGCTTGCAATGATAACACATCCCATCTTAATACATGAGTTGTGAAGGATGCGCACTGCAATGCCTTGTAACAGGCCTTCAGGAGCCGTGTAGGCATAGGATCTGTAGGCCCCCAATGCTACGTGTTACAAAGTAGTGTCTTTTCATATCGTACGGACACTTGTGGCACCCACAGCCCGTGTCACAGGCAAGCGTCGCATATGCAAATTCATGAACAAAAGTGAACCCAGAACGGCTTCTTGAGCATTAGCCAGTAGTGTTCAATGGGTAATGAAGCGCGTGTCCGCTGTTGCAGTTTAAGTACCAAACGCTGCTATGCGACATACTCCCCCCATGCATGCATCCCCATCTAGCGTACAAGTAAACCCGTCCCGTACCTAGCAGTTACAAACGTCGTGCCCGGCCATACTAAGTCCAGCCACGAACAAGCCCTGCAACCCTGCTCCTAAGCCTCGTCCATTTAGCGGTCCCCGCAGCCACGGACGCTCAAATCGTTCTCAGACCAGCGACACCAAGCGCACCTTGGTGTCGCACGCCCCGAACACCTGCAACCACCTTACCCAGCCCACTACCACTAACGTAACCAGCAGACATAACCGATGCACACGTCGTGGTTCCATAGGTCTAACACCCTTGGGGGCTGCCCTTTCCTCCGTCTCCATGCTCCATCGTCAGGCATATCAACCTTCCCTCCGTGCCGCCGTCATCGCAGCCTCGATAAAGTCCGTGTTCCCGTGCGTGTCGCCGCCACTGTCGCCGAAATGGAACCGCTCCAGCCCTCGCCGCAGCACAGCCTCCAGCCCGCTGTCACCGTCGGTGCCGCCCGCGTGCTGCTGCAGATGCCGGCCAAGGCCGCTGGAGCTACTGCCTCCCGCTTGCGAAGAAGAGCCGCTGGCGCTGTTGCCGGCAGCATGGGGGTGCGGCTGCTGTTGCGGCTGCTGCTCTTGCACGGGCCGTAGTTGCGCTCGCTGTTGCCGGATGGCGGCCATGAGCTCGGCGCCTCCGAGGGGCAGCGAGGGTCCCCCGGAAGCGCGCGGAGGCGGCACCTGCGCCTTGTTGGCGGCCTGCTCTAACGGGTCGGAAGGCGGCCTAGCGGCACTGCAGTGGCGGAACAACGGGACGTGGTATTATAATTTAAAACTGGTTCTAATTTAGGAGCAGACAGGGAGAAGAGTTCAAGCCATGTACACTAGCATGTAGGCATCTGCGCTTGGCAACTCATGCCAGGCCCACAACTCACCGCTTAGCGGCCGCAGCAGCCGCCATGGCCGCAATGTCGCCCATGCTGCTGGGACCGGAGGGCGCTCGTGGCGCGCTGGCCGCAGACGGTGCCTGCGGCAAGCTGGCAGCCCGGGGCGCAGTGGCGCCGGATCCAGCCCCAGAAGCAGCAGCTGCTATTGGCGGTGGCGGTGGCGGGGGTGGCGGTGGAGGAGGAGGCGCGGGTGCCGGGGCGCGTGGAGCTGCGGAGAAGAGGGGTGGCGGCGGCGGCGGTGGGGGTGGCGGAGGAGCCGCTGCGACTGGCTGTGGCGCGGGAGCTGGGGCAGCCGCCGACGTCAGGGGCCCCTCCCCGCTGCTCCGAAGTTGCTGCATGACGTGTCGTGCTATGGAGTCCAGGTCGCCGCCGCCCGACACTCCAAGCTGCAGCCGACCAGGGAATAAGATAGAAGGGCATCGTTAGAATGGGCCCTGCACAAAGCGCAACTCCAGATGCCCAAACAAGGTTGCGGTCTGTTCGATTACAGCATGCCCACGCTATGCGAGCAACACTGCGCCTACCTTTAGGATCGCCTTGATCTGTTCTTCAGTCAACCCCGCCGGTGCTAGTTGCGGCGGCCGGGGCGGCTGCTGCTTGCGGCGGTTGGGGTGCAGGAAGGGATGGTCTAGGAGCTCCTGGAGTGAAATGCGGGTCTTGGGGTTCCGGTCCAAGCACCTGCGGCCATGGTACCGTTTGTGAGTCCTAAATCAAGCCACCTTGAAACGCTACGCCCTCTGCACTCGATTCGAAGAAAGCAACAATCAGGCTCCTGACGTTTTGTGGGTTCCCCCTGCCTTACCTCCGAATGGTGTCCACTGCATCAGGCTCGCCGCATTCCGGCATGGGAACCTGGTAGGCTGGATTGCAGATGGCATTCATCTTGGGGATGAACGACAGGTCCGCGAAGGGGGTTCGGCCGTAGATCCTGCAGGTGTGGAGGAACACACTGTTAGCCGCCCCGCAGCACCACCTTTGCAAACAGCTATGTGAGTATCCTCCCGTTGTCGCCACTGACACCTACACCTACATTTGGTACAGGATGCAGCCCAGGCTCCAGACGTCAGACGGGCGGCCAACCTTCAGCGGCGGCCCGCCCAGGGGGTTCTGGCTGCCTCCCTGGATGGCCTCGGGCGACATGTAGTTCAGCGTGCCGACCTGCGACAGCGGGCGTGGGCTCGGATTGTAAGGAGCAAAGGACAGGGCACCGTAAGGATCCCTGTGTTGAGCCCAACAAACCTGCGACTCGCGGTTGATCGACGTGGTGTCGCCCTGAATGGCCTTTGCTATGCCAAAGTCAATGAGCTTCAGCTGCCCCTGCACCAACATAAAGTTGGCGGGCTTTAGGTCCGCATGTACGATCCGCGCGTCGTGGATGCACTTCACCGCCTGCAGCATCTGCTGCCAGTATAGCCGGATGAAGTTTGCATCAATCTCCTGGCAGCCGGGTCCCAAGCTGCCCGCGCCGGAGCTGCTGTTGTTGTCAGCCGAGCCGCTGCCGCCGCCGGCCGCTGCGCGTCGTCGCGCCTCCTCGTGGCTCTGCAGCAGCCGCGCCAGGTCAATGTCGCCGTACTCTAGCACCATGTAGACGAGACCGTCGTCGCGAAACACCTGTGTAGGCATGGCAGGGTCCGCATTAGTCATTACACAGGGGAAATGGAGACAAGGAGGATGTCGATGTTAAGAAAATGGTAATGGGTATAGTGATGGGTGCTAATACAAGAGATGAGGTACTGTGGCAAGTGGCCTATGGATGGATGGAAGGAGGGAGGGGTAAGGCATGTACGCAAGTACTATCGGAATGTGTAGCCAAACACACACCTGCGCATCAATCATTTGGATGATGTTGGGCTTGCCACGCAGCTGACGCAGCAGGCTAATCTCGTCAATGAAGCCTTTCACAGCCTGCAACAATGTTACACCGTTAGTCCACGAGGCCTTAAGCGAGTTCGATGTTGATAGGCAGTGCTATGCAACCGTGCCTTAGCCTATGAGGTTCACAAGAGGATATATCCATCGCTGTTGTCGTACATGCAAACATGGGCTCACCTCTTCATCCTTGTTCTGAAACCGCACACGCTTGAGCGCGTAAATGCCGCGATTGAGGCCGAGCACCTGCATCCAACAAAGGTGTGAAGGGGAGCGTCAGTCGCACAAGTATCGCTGCATACACGGGGGAGTGAGGTCCCTACAACCCAGCAACCCCTGATCCATGGCCCGGATAGCCTTGCCTGGGGCAATTCATGCTACCGGTATCCTAGTGCACTGAAAGTTACCGTCGCAGTAAGTGCCGATAGTTGCTAACCGATCCAACCCACCTTATACACCTTGCTGCTGCCACCCTTGCCGGCCAGGTCCAGCTTCTGATAGCGGATGCCGTGTACATATACGTACATCTCGTTCTCCAAGGGGCGTCCCTGGTGCCCTTCCAGACGCTCAGGCCACTGGAACCCGCCCGTCTGTGGACGAGCAGCTTGCTGGGAGCTGGTGGGTTGGGGCTGCTGCTGCTGGATGGGCGGCTGTTGAGGCTGGGGCGGCCCCTGGTGCGATGACCGCGAAGATGCATGCCCCATTGGTCTGCACGGTACAAGCGACAGCGGGACACGGTTATCGCCAACATCGTATCGTCTTATCAGATGGACGGCGCCTAGGGCAATACAGATACGCCGGTGCCCCAATGCAAACATAGCCAGCTGCGTGCAGTAAGCCTTTGGGCTCTTACCTCAACGGCTCCCGACTGTCTAGCTGGTGCTGTACTGAAGGCGTGCTTGCTGGGACGGGTGGCGGCGGCTTGTACACCTTCGCAGCCGGCACCGATGGCGCCCGGTTCTCGTCCATGGCCATGGGTGCTGAAGACGCCACATGGGGAGCAAGGTTTTCGTCCACGGCCGGTCCCGTCGTTGTGAAAACTCTCGAAGCCGCTGCACCCGCCCACGTTGTTGCCGTCCGTGCCATTGACACTGCAGCCGACTGTGGCGGGGCTGCGCTGCCGACCGCCACTGCGGAAAGCGAAGGCATTGCAGCTAAAAGCCCTTGCTTGTTGCCGGCGCTGCAGCTGGCCGGAGTCTGAGCGACAGCGGTCGACCCGAGGAAGCCCGGTTCATGTGACGGGGCAACGCCCGCGGAGCCTGTCTGCATGCCGTCAAGCCGGGCCGTCGAATCCCCAGCGCGAGGCTGCATCTCGGCGGTGAACGCTGCCTTAACGGCAGCGCTGCGAGCGAGCGCTGCGGAAGCCAGGCCCAAAGAACCCGAACCGGAACCATGGGGCTGATCCTCAGGAGGCGACTGGCGCCGCTTGCCCTCTTCTTGAAGCACAGCCGAAGCCACAAGGCGTACAGGCGACTGCGCTGCATCAGCTGCTGCTCGCCGCTTGCGTGTGATCAACTCGTCAGCCTCCTTAGCCGTCGGCCTCCCGGTAGCCGCATCAAACGCGGATGTGGGGTTGAAGCTAGGCATGGCGCCACTTGCTGCCGCCGCCTGCTCCTGTGGGCGAGATGCTGGACCCACGAAGGCAGCTGCTTCCCCCGTAGTACCAGCTTCGCGCCCAACAGAGGTCGCCGGTTGGGGTCCGCTGCCGCTGCTAGGCATGCTGGTTGTGGCGCTGGCGGGCATGGGCAAGGTGTCGCTACCCGACGGGGGGCTGACTCCCTCCGTAGCCGTGGTGGTACTTGTAAAACGCACCGCTTTGCTCTTCAAGCCGAACCGCCGCAGCCCCAAGCTCATGTTGCCAGTGTTGTTTCCGCCCCCAGTGCTGCCGCTGCTCCCGACCACGCCACCAACTCCACCAAACGCCGCAATGGCTGCTGCCCCAGCTGCCAAGTTAAGCGTAGAGGAAATCCCCGCAGGCATGGTAACAGTCGCTGTGTTGCCGCTGCTGCCGCCTACAGACATTGCGGGCGCTCCGTTACCTAGCGAGTTGTGGGTCCGACCTTCCTCCGCTGCGCGTGCAGAGCGACAGTTTATGGTGTCGTCTTCGGAGCCGTTGCTTAGGCATGATGCCTGGCTCTTGCTAGGCATGAAGCCAATTAGGCTAAGGTCTACCGGTGCAATTGAGGTGCTAGACTTGCTGGCTGAGCTACTGGCTCCGGACAGCTGCGTGTAGGGGGTGGTGGTGGCGCACGTGTCGTTAACCTTCAGATGGGTGCCCGGAGTCGAGGGAGGAAGGCGCCGACTTGCCGTGATGCCATCTGCATTTGGGTGGAGCGACACCGGCCAGGCCGTTGAGGTGAACCAACGCGGGTTCGAATCATGTGCAGGCAGTGACGGGTTCCAACCTGTCAAATATAGCCCCGCACCCGGCGTGTGTGCATGCCGCTTGGTCTAGGTGATCTGGGTTGCACCTTAGCTTTATGCCAAGAAACACGACGAGATCGCATATGCGGTGCCGTATAGCACTAAACGGATAGTGCTATACAAAGACCCAAATGAGCCCTACCTGTCAAGCCGTGACCCGCAGAAGCCATAGACACGTCCTGGAAGTGCACTTTGCGCTCCTGGGTAGTAGCCAAGGGCTCCCCCATAGTTACGTCCGCGGTAGGCGTGGTGCGGGGTAGAGACTGCAGCTGGATTATAAGGTCCTCTAGCATGCTGCAGGGCATTACGGTCCAAGGGATGCCACTCAAGGTCAGATATGAGCAAGCAGGGGTCATGACACAACTGCCCGCGCCTGGCCATGCCTCGAGAGTATGCTGGGTGGCGCAAATGGCGAATGGACAGCAACCCCATGGAGACCTGTTCAGTAAACGGATCAAAACGGGTCCTGCTGTTCGCACCTGCGCGGCTCTGCACGCGCCTTTAGACCCTTTTCAATCACCGATAGAGCCTTGCTGGCGTTCCCCGCCTGGTGCTCCAGCAACGCCCACTCGTAGTAGAGCATAGCGCAGCTGTCGCACAGATGATGGTTTTTCAGCATCTTAAATAGATCTCGGCCCTCATCCTCGTTGCGGTACCTGAGTTACGCGCGCCTAAAGTAAGCCATGGCTGCATGCCGCAGACGGACGATTCCTGGAAGCTCAGTTGATACCATGGCTTACCACTGATGCCTTGCGTTACCAATCAGCAGGTAATTGTATTCGTCTGATGCTGTACCGCGCGCGCGTGGCACAAGGTCGATAGAACGTTGGAAAAGTTGCAACAATCCGGGGTTGCCCTTACTGAAGCGTCCCGCGGCATTTGAGCGCACTATCGCTTCTTCATTCTTCAAAAAATTGGCCCACGCACTGGCTGAGGTCGGGCTAGCTTGGAGCTGGTCAACTAGCCCTCTCCGCTCGGAGAGAAGCGCAGCATCGCCCACGGTGTTCAGTGCTAGGTGACGTTGTAGTTGCACGGCCCAAGAAAGGCTCCCTGTTGTTCTGTCATCGTCGGCTGCTGCTGGTTCTCCTATCGACGACATTGCCAGGGCGCCCGCCCGGACCACAACAAATGCTGGTAAGCTAGGACTAGCCCCTTGGGGCGAACGTAGTTATGGTGCTATCATGGGAAACGTTTCAGACGGGTTGCAGTGCGCCTACAGCCCCGAAAACGTGTTTGCTAGTTTGGCTGTCAAATGCGTCGGATTAGTGTATGGAGCTGAGTATAGAGACGAAAGAGATATATAGTATAAAGTTATAGATTTGTCCTACGTGTCTAAAGCCTGAGACCTGTGAAGCAGAGGGCGATACCTGGGCGGGGCTGGATTCAGGTTGTCGTGCAGTAAGACATGCTCGCCATGACGCAAAGTCTAACCTCCTGATTCTTTTACCCTGTTACAGAATGCACATAGCTAATCGCCTGACACCATAAGAAGAGCACCTTTGACCCTGCTGAATCTGCTCGCTTAACTGAAGGTTAAGCTTTCTTTCGCTTGCCAAATTATCTAAAAGAGTTCTATACATCAACATCAATATATGCCTTCATTCGGCCTAAGATAGCTCTTTTGTACAAGAAATCTTTACTTTTTACGCCCAACCTATACCCGGACGATCACGGATTTGGAGTAATAAACAGCAGCTGGTAAGGCGTGACGGTACATCAGGAGGTGCCGCGGTAGCGGGGCTCCGTACGCCACGGTGCACCCAGCCCACATTCTCCTGCCCTTACAGCGACAACCCATGTAACGCAGCCCCTTAAAACACCCCCGGACTCCTTTGCGCAGAGTCCTGTCGCATCACCATTTACAACGGCAGTCGCCTCGTGCCCGTCGCCTACCACCCAGGGCAGCTAATCATCAACCCATCCACCATCCTGAGCCTCAATCATGAGCAAGCTGCTGGGGCCTAAGCGCGCCGCCGGCGTTGACAACACCGCGCGCCGCACATGGGACAAAGAGGAATTCCGTCAAAAGGCAGAGGAAAAGGAAAAGGCCGCCAAGGCCAAGGCAGGTGATGATGAGGACCGCGAGGAGACGCCAGCCGAGATCCGCCGCCGCAAGCGCCTGGAGCGCGACCCACTTCACCAGGGCCTTATCGTTGAGCGCTCCACCCTGCGCCAGCGCGACTACCAAGTCGACCTAACATCCCGCCTGGGGAAGACCCAAGTCGTGGGCTTCAACACGCCGCTCAACCAGCAAGCCGGCTGGTTCTGCAACGTGTGCAACTGCGTGCTGCGCGACTCACAGAGCTACCTGGACCACATCAACGGCAAGTGGCACAACCGCGCGCTGGGCATGAGCATGAAGGTCGAGAAGTCCACTCTGGAGCAGGTCAAGAACAAGTTTGAGGAGCTGAAGAACCGCAAGAGCCCGCCGCCGGATGAGTACGTGCCTGATGGGTTCGACGCGGCGGCCAGCGCGGAGGCTCGGGAGCGGGAGGAGAAGCGGGAGAAGCGGCGACGCAAGGCGGCGGAGGCGGCAACAGCGGGCGGGGCGGGAGGGTCAGGGGCGGCGGGTGGAGAGGCAGGTGGGGAGGATGCGGATGCGGATATGATGGCGCTTATGGGGTTTGGAGGATTCGGGACGAGCAAGAAATGAGGGCGTAGGGTACCAGGGTAAGGTACGAGGCTCGGGTCGTTGTGGTTGTGGGGTTAGGGGTATGTGATGTGGACGTGGACGTTGGGGTGTACACTGTAAAGGGACTGCATGTGCAGCGGCGTAGGAGGGAGTCTGGTAGGGCGTCTGCTTGTTTGTTCATCCAGATGGCGATGGGATAACTGTTGTACAAAAGACACCACCGATATGTGGGACACGACTTGTACTGTGGTCGTGCAGTTTTATCTCTTTCGCTGTGCGGAGGCGCTAGTGATGATGATCTACGTGTGCTGCAGCAGCTGGCGCTAGGGCGCTCCCGCTGTGCACTGTTCTAGCCATGGCAGTATGCCGACTGGTGGTCAGGCCTGCAATGGTTGTACGGGTATGGAAAGGCCGCAGGCAAGCCGTGCGTGTCCGCGCCATCCGTCTAGTCAGGTGACAAGGTATGGCTGTTGCGCTGGGGCGGTTAAGAAAATTGTAACAGTTGCGGCGCTGCGAGAATGTGGGCTATCATGAGGCGGGCAAGGAGTCAGGCCGGGAGGTTCGTATGTAATGTGGGTAGTCGGGACTTAGCGATTCAGGGATACGCAGGCACGCAACACCAAGCTCAGGAGCTTCAGCCAGGGTGTTGCAAGGAGGTGCGGCTAAGTCCTACGATCCAGAACCAGCTGCAGAATACGTTACACTCATAGCTCAGAGTGTTGCCGAAACAGCGGTTGTCGCTCATGGTTACCGCTGCTTCAGGAAAGCGTAATGATACCGGCCGTCGGCACATGTTTAATCGACCTCGAGAAAAACGGATATGCATTATCTAAGGGAGATGAGAATAAACGCCTTTGGCGCCCTCGCTCACGGGAGGTACTCTTTGACGACAGTCGTACGGAAGCGCGCGGCAGGTTCTGGAGGCAGGGTCATAGTTCATGTCAAGCCTCGTGCGGCGTCTCACGCGTGTCATTCGGAGAGTTGAGTACTTTCTCGGTACCTATTCACGGCGCACCTGAAGAAATGCCGCTCCTTCCCACAGTGTACTGGGCACAGCGCTCGAACAAGCTCTACCTCACGATCGACGTCCAGGACATCAAAGATCAAACGTGTGACCTCCAGGACGATAAGCTTGTGTTCTCCGGTAAAGCAGGCGCTGAGCAGAATGAGTACTCTCTAGATCTCAACTTCTTCGGGGAGGTGGATGCTAAATCGGAGGAAAGCAAAGTTAGCATTACCCCTCGGAATGTGTTCATGATTATCATGAAGAAGGAGGCGGGGCACTGGCCGCGCCTGACCAAGGAGTCTGGCCGGCATCTAACGCACATCAAGTGCGACTGGGACAAGTGGGTTGACGAGGACGAGGAGGATGAGAAGCCCGAGGCCGATTTCGGCGGTAAGCCTGCTAGCGTTTGGCGCTCTTGCATACCATGGCGGCACCCGCGGATTGTGTGTTGCTCGTCACAGATGCACGTTACCATTAACGACAAGAACTGTATGCATATCCGTCCCTTTCCACAATTCCTTAAACCTTGTTTTGCCTCGGCACCTGCCCAAGCCTCCCTGGACGCTGAATTTCCCTCCTGCCGTCCGCGATTCGCAGGCATGGACTTCTCCGGCTTCGGCGGAATGGGCGGCATGGGAGGCATGGGCGGCATGGGTGGCATGATGGGCGGAATGGGAGGCATGGGCGGCATGGGTGGCATGATGGGCGGAATGGGCGGAATGGGAGGCATGGACTTCAGCAACTTGATGGGCGGGGAGGACGACGCGGCGGGAGAGGGCGAGGGTGAGGATGAGGACTCGGACAATGAGGAGCTCCCGGACCTGGTCAAGCCCTGAGCGGGGGAAGGGGAGTGGATGCCGTACGGCTGTACATGCAGTACTTTGGGCGCCGTTAGTGCTGGGGAGTGGTGGGCTGTTGCCTACTTACCAGCAAACGTAGGTCTGGGGACGTCAAGCAGGAAGGCAGGAGGGTGCGGTCTGTATTGAAAACCGTGCGGGAAGAGAGCGGTGCGTTGCGGGAGGAGGGCGTTCGCAATCTTGAGCACGCGACTGAGGGGGCGGGGTTGCGTAGATCTTTATTCTTACTAGCAGTGTTGTTGGGTGGTTGCAGTACACTGTGTGCCCATGCGGCGGCGAGGAAGTAAGGGGCTTCATCGTTGGGGTCTCCCCCGGCGCATCCCGAACCGGACCGGGTTCACGTCAGGCAAACCTCGTTGCTGGCATTGAGTCTCGGGGAGCGTCCCTGCGTCGAGTGAGAGCTTGGCATACGTTGAGAAGTCCAGCGTGTTCGTACGGTGCTTGTTCTTATCCTTCTTGCGGTTCCGGCGCGGCTTTGTTCCCCGGTGTTCAGCTGAGAGTTACAGTAGACGGTCATATGTCCTGCGCATTTCCACTTGTAGTTTTGACAGGAAGGGCTGGTATCTCCTCCGCCCTCCCTTATGCGAGGTACATACTGCTGCTGCGGACTCTGTAAGGACGCTTGACACGAGGATTGTACCGTTTTTGCTCATCCGACAACAGGGTTGGATGCTGTATGCGCTGATTCTTTCCCTTGCATACCCTTTACTCATGCAATAGGACGCATTACAAAGTAACAGCACACGTCACACAACATTGCCGCTACCTGTGTTTAGTTTCCAAGACGTTCCAAGGCCCAGCCTGCTGCAGGCAGTTCCGGTATCCCGCACCCTCACTGTCGGGCGCAAATGCCCTCGCCTTCCATTTCAGGGGCAATCCTTGATTCTTTTCTCAGATTGCACCTGACAATTCGAGGGGCACTCCGAAAGGAGTCATCGCGGGCCAGGGGACTGTACAGCCGCATGTATCGAGCGTCGAGCAAGTCTCCACTTTTTAAAGGCAAGTTGGCAACACACACCGCGCTTGAAACAAAGCACGCCCTTTACAAAGAGCGTGACCCGTGGGTCACATCACTTTTTATCTTCTGCCGGCCTCCTCCTCCCCATCAGAGGACACGTCTCGTCCTGCAAGAATCCGAATGTACCAAGCGAGAAACCTGCAGCTACCTGTGAAACCCTTTTAAACCAACAACTGCAATCGTGCAGAGGCATGCATACAACACCCTCAGAAGCACGATACGACACTCAAAACCAAAACGTGTGCGTACCGATATATGCGTGCTGGAGGCACCCCAGAACAAGGTAGCCACCGTCGTACCGTGTCCCCAGTGCCGTACTACACCTCGTCCCCGTGCCGTACTCCCCCGTGTCGCTGCCTATCACACATCCGCTTTCATAACATAGCGTGAAGCACCCTCCCTCCTCCGCAACCGTTGAACCGCAAACTGCTGCTCTCAGCACAAAGGGAAGCGGAAGTGTTCTAGCAAATCACACAGAGCAGCAAACCCGTTTCCTCCATGCGTGCCTCCCTAGCAAAGCCTGCACGACGCAGAACCCCCCCCTCTCCCTTGACCGCACTCTTGCGCAGTGAGAGCAGCAGCCGCACCGGTAGCAGCGGCCCCTCCTGTTACCCTCTGTTAGCCAGGCTGCTGCGGCCTCGTTCTTTCAAGAGCAAACCGCGAATAGTCCATCAGTGTCGATACGTCACACCACATGCGCCCCCTCATCACACCACATCACACCACACCACCGCCCTACTCCTCGGAGCTGTTGGCCGGCCCCTCCTCCGTGTACGATACCTGCGTGACAGCATCAGGGGGACAATACAGCACCATATTGGGAAGGCAATCGCATCAGGAAAGAAATGGAGTAACCGTACGGTTTGCAGCATGGCATCATTATCACCTCTCTCCCCCACTTCCTCCATCATGGCATCATTATCACCTCTCTCCCCCACTTCCCCCATCATGGCAGACGCAGCACCTCTCTCCCCCACTTGCCCCATCATGGCAGACGCAGCACCTCTCTCCCCCACTTCCCCCATCATGGCAGACGCAGCTCCTTCACCCCTTCCTCCTCCTTCTCCCTCTCCCGCCTCCCCAAACAGGTCCCCAAACAGGGGCCCTCTCCCCACCTCCCCAAACAACGGTTAGGGTCAGTGTTTCCGCGACTCAGTCATCTACCCCCCCCCTCCCCCCACCTTGACCATGGCCGGTCGCAGCAGCTTGCCCCCGATGCTGAAGCCCTTTCGGAACTCATGCAGCACGGTGCCGTCGGGGTGGGTGGCGGAGGGCTCGCGCATGATGGCGTCGTGCAGCGCCGGGTCGAAGGGGGCGCCCAGGGTGGGAACCGCCTCCACACCCAGCGAGCGCATCAGGTCAACCATCTGCTTGTACAGACCCTGGGGGGGGGGAAAGAGGGAGGGGTGCGGAAGGGGTGGGGAAGAGAAGGCGGCAGGGAGGTAAAACACACTGACACGTTGCTGGCCCGTGCTGACACCACCACCCTGTTCCTGCCCCACCAGGCTCCAGGCAGGCGCCCCTCACCGCTCACTCACCTGGTAGGAGTTGTTGATCTTCTGCTCGCCCTCCGTCTCCGCCTTCACCTGGTTGGGGTAGGGGAGGGGGCGGGGAACGGGTTCAATATAGCAGCAGCAGCAGCACTCCTTGGAGATGGTTAGCTGCTTTCTAAGTGAACCTCCCTGTCGTTTCAGTACTCCCACATTCGTAATAGCAGCAGCAGCAGTATCCATCAACTGGTGTCATGGGGGATTAGGACACGCTAGTGGTAACACCGTGGTATGGGTCCTTCATCTACCGTAACCTTTAAGCGTAGTAACTCTCAGGCCCCCAGCCTTCCCGCCACCGCACCTGCGTGCAGTCAGTTTAGTTGTTTCCTCTTTACCACCCCCACCCCACCTGCGTGCGCGCCAGCTCAAAGTTGTCGACCAGCGGCAGCAGCTCCTTCACCACATCGCCCCGCACACTGTCAGTCAGCTGCGCGCTCTCCTCTTTCTGCGCGCACCGAGGGCACACACGCACGCGCGCGGAAGAATAAGTGCCGTACAGTTGTACACAAATGGTGGGATGAGTTATGAGCGGGATGCAGACGGCAGAGGGGCGCACGATGAGAAGAAAGCAACCGTACTGGTATAGCAAGGCGAGGCAGAGTGCCAAAGCGCGGCATGGATTGCAGACTGAGCATTGATAGACCCCACCTAAGCCCTCGTTCAGCACCGGCTGTTTCCCCTTTACAGACGTACCGTGCGGCGTCGGAAGTTATCAAAGTCCGCTTGGAGGCGCAGGTATTGGTCCTTTGCTGATGCCACAGATGCCTCCAGCTGCGCTGCCCGCGACGTGGCTGCTGAGGACTCCTGCTGCAGCCGGGCCATTTCAGCCTCCAGCTCCGCAAGGCACACCGTCTGTGGGCGATGTCACACGTGCAACGGAGAATTGGCCTCAGAGCGTTTCATCGACCACTGAATCGTCGCGAGGCTGGCCGCCGAGTGTTTAGCTTCAAGCAACGACGATTAAATCTAGCCCGGGAAAGGTCAATATAACATGATGTGCACTTGAGTATACGCCCCTTGCGGTCAGCTGCGCGTTCAACCTATTGGAGACAATACGCACCAGGACATTCTTGTCCAGAGTCTCATCCTCCAAGGCCTTTCGTGCCCGATCAAGCGGTGAAAGCGTAACCTCTTCAACGGGAGCAGCAGTTTCCACGGTCGCCTCCTGCTCGACATCGGGCAATGCCACCGTAACGTCGATGGAGGGAATGCTAGGATAACGGCAACAAATGGTGTACCTGTGCCTCAGCTGCTCGTAGAACAACAAGCTGGCGGTGGACGGGGGCGCGAGCAAAATTCACCGGCCTTACGCCCGCCGCACGAGGCTGGGGACCCCTCCTAAGGGTCCCGCAAGATTGACGCGCCGCAGATAGCTGCATTGTACTAGCACCAAGTTGAATTACTCAAGAACCACTTGGAAATGGGTCTTCCTGCGGTCGAGGCGGAAAGTTTCTGGAATGACGTCCACCGTTTGGCCGTACAGCTTGCATCAAATACCCCAAAGCTTTTCCATAGCAACTGATGGCAATTGGTTTAGTAATTCCATAGTGCACTTGGTTACATATTAACGCACAGCTGCCTGCCTTGGTGCCTTCCGTAACATGGCAGTGCAGGAGGGGGCAGGAAGTGTGCCGAACACGGGAACGGCTACAATGAACGACTGCTGGAAAGGGCTGGAATCGTAGCAAACATGGCTACTAGGCAATCCGAGCGAAAGAACCTACAGGGCCTCCACTCCTTGTCCCGGTTCATCAGGTTGGAGTCCCCCTCACATTATTGTATCTTGCGCGGCCTCCTTCTCCGAAGGGAGGTTCCCCACACCCATGAGCGTTTCATAACTGCTTAAGTCTTATCGACACGGCGGCAATTGCACGGTTACGGCCGGCTTAAGGGCTTAAAGGCTAGGTTACCAGGAACCATGGGTAAAGCCTCAGCAAGCCTTCCACCGAGTGCCCTTTCCAGCCACCACCACCAACGTTACGGGAAGCAACCCCGTCGGGCCTGTCACATATCGGACGAATGCCTGCCTGCATGCTCCCACGAAGGTACGGGTACTCCTTCAGTTCACGAAGAAGGAAGCCCAACTTCCTTTGCTCAATGTGTCTGCTGTGTTGGGGCATAACTGGGGTGGCGACCTATGCCGATGCTGCCACACTATAACCCTCTGGACCCCCCCAGCAGGGCGTTTTCTATATCGGCCCTCTTCCCCGCCACCCCCTCGGAAGCTTTTTACATCTTATGACCGCACCACCGCCAGTGCCTGTTACAGCAGATGTTACAGCAGGGGGGCCGGACACTACGGCCAACATTTCAGGTCCCAGCTGCCCTCCTATACACAGTTCCCGACTTCAATTCCGAACCGACTTGGTGACGGACTTGGTTGAAGTCCATCACATGACCCGCCACCGCGAAGCCCCCACCCACCCCCCGCCAAACACCCACATGCTGCGATGTGATGGGTAACAAAGCTGAGTACCTCCCCCCCCGCATTGTTGCACCTCAAGAAACCACCGAAAGCTTGAAAGAAAAATGGCGCTCGCAAGAACCATACCTGAAATGCACACGTCAGCTGACCGTGCTTTGGCTGTCCTCGCTTCCTTCCAAGCAAACAACACACAACACACCAGCAATAGCCGGCGCCCGCGAGACAAGCGCATGCTGACTCCTCCTATTTCCTCTGTCCCCCAAACCACATCGCATCCGGGCTCACAGCAGCTGCAGCGGCGGCCTCAGGGCCACCGTCACCCCCCGCAGCGCCACATACTGCACATCAATGTTGAGCGGCCCGTCCTCCTCCTCCTCCCCAAACTCCCGGGTGCGGTTCTCCGGCGCAATCAGCTTCACCATCACACTGTTTCCGCTCCACACCTGCCGCAGCGGCAACCAAAGGTGCCCCGAGGGCGGCCGGACAGGGCCGGCCGAGGGGGGCGGGTGCCCTGCTGCGGGTGCTGCAGTCCCTGCTTGTCCCTCTCCCTCCCGCTGCCCCTCCTCACCAGCTTGCGCCTGCCGTTCTTGCGGTGCCGGCGCTGGCGCGGGGTTGCCCCGACCCTGCTTCCCGGTGAGTCGCTGCATGCCCTGGAAGGCAGCCGCACTGTCCTCCGCGGGCGGCAGCAGCACCGCCAGCGGCTCCCCTCCTCCACCTGCTCCTCCTGTTCCACCTGCTCCTTCTCCATTGCCACTGGGCCCGGCAGCAGCGACTGACGTCTCCGCCTTTGCCTCTTTCTTCCGCCCTCGGGCCTCCGGCACCTCCACCGCCTCCGCTACCTCCGCCTTCTCCCCCACCGCAGCCTCACCCGCAACCGCATCCGCCGGCTCACCCGCCCCATCACTCGGGGGCCCCCTCCGCCCTCCTCCTCCTCCTCCTCCTCCCCGTCTGCCGCTCTTCCCCTTCTTCTTCCTCGCTGCTGCCGCTGCCCCTCTGGAGGTTGCTGCTGCGGGCGGCAGCAGCGCCATCTCCTGCTGCAGGGCCGTCTGCACCAGCTGGTAGGTGTGCCGCAGCGCCTGCACGCCCGCCGCCTCCGACACGATACCCAGCAGCACCTGGAAGGGCGGGGTGTGTGGGGAAAATATAGACAATTGCATCAACGGAGTCCCAATCACGTGTGGGGGGGAAGAATGACCGGGGAGGGGATAAGTGAGAAGTGAATGAACTGCAAGCCGGGAGGGGGGGAAGACCAAACCAAACCACAGGAAACGGGAGAGGGCAGGATGAGGAGACGGAACAGGCAGTTAGGGAGGCAAACCGAAAGCCAACCGAAACATCCGCAAGGCCGCTCGGCACCCCCTCCCTTCCTCCCTCCCTTCCTCCCACCCCACCCCCGCAGCCCCCTCACCCCTGCCACATGCGGCTGCATGAGGTGGTCCAGCCAGGCCGTCAGCGGCAGCCCCCTCAGCAGCTCCCCGGTCCCGCCTGACACTTCCTCCTCCTCGCTGCCGCCGCCGCCGCCAGCAGCGACAGCGGCGGCATACCCCTCCTTCTCCTCGTCCTCCTCATCTTCATTGGGGCCATCAACATTGGCAGGAGGATCAGGGCCGCCACCTCCGCCTCCTCCGCCACCGCCACCACCACCACCGCCTCCTCCTCTGTTACCGCGGCGGCCTTTCCTTCCACTGCTGCTGGGCCCTGCACCACCACCAGCATCCGCTGACCGCCCCCGCAGCGGCTTCTGCTGCTGGCCGCCTGGCTGCCTGGTCGGCTGGCTGCTGCTGCTAGGACCCGCACCCGCACCCGCACCACCAGCACCCGCGCCGCTGGGCCCAGCTGCCGCCTTCTCCTCCTGCTGCTGCTGTCGCCGGCGCTGCTGCTGCTGCTGCCGAGCCACCCCGCTACCCCCCCTGCGCCGGTCCGCCCCGCCAGACCTCCCTGCGCTTCCCCCACCACCAGCAGCCGGTCCTGATGTCGGCGCTGCCTCCGCCGCTGATGCTGCATGTCCCTCTCCTTCGTCCTCGGAAGACGAGGACGAGACGCAGGAGGGGGACAACGAAGAGGCGGAGGAGGAGGTGGCGGTGCTGGAAGTCAGTCCAAGCCCAGAGGCAGCAGCAGCGGCCCCCTCCTCCTCCGCAATGCCGTACAAGAACTCCAACTCGTCCTCCCACTCGTCCGAGCTGTACATGTCGAATCCCGCGACGTGACCGACAGGGGCACCCACCACAATCCCACCTCCTCCTCCTCCTCCTCCTCCTCCACCGCTACCACCGCCACTGCCACCGCTACCACCACCAGCAGCAGCCCCACCAGCAGCGCCCGCTACTCCCTGCATCACCGCCTCCGCTGCCCCATCCAGGTCTGCGAGCATGTCCACATCTCCCTCTCCGCTGCTAGTCACACTGCCACTGCCGCTGCTACTGCTACCGCCGCTGCCACTGCCGCCTTGCATTTCGTCCCCATCGATCCCATCCTCACTGCTACTGCCATCGTCGTCGTCTCCCCCGGTCGACAACCCGTCGCTGAGGCCGCTATGTGTGACCGCGCCGCTGCCGGTGCTGTCACTGCCAAAGTAACCCCGACCGTACGAATCGCCGGATGCAAGCCCTCCTCCACCAACACCAGCACCACCATTGCCGCCACTGCCACTGCTATCCTCGTCCTCATCGCCGCTGCTGCTACTGCCGCTGCTTAAGCTGCCACCGCTCCCGCTGCTGCCGCTGCTAGTTGTGCTAGCATACATGCTGTCATTCCCCTCTTGGCTTTCCCCGTCCTCACTGCTTCCCTCGCTGCTCACAACAGCTGCTGCTGCTGCTGCCGCCGCCCCTTCCGCACCCTCTCCACCTCCACCCCCACCACCTCCTCCACCCCCACCTCCAGCCCCCCCTGGGACTTGCTGCGGCAGCACGGGAGGCAGCGCCATCTCCTGATCCGCCAGATCTCCCAGCCGCTGATGCGGGAAGAACCGAAACCAAACCACTGGCCAAAACGGTGCAGGAGGAGCCGTCGTACTAGTTGATCCATTTGCCGTACTTGCCGTACCGCCGTTGACATCCTCACCGCCAACTGTCCCCCTGACGCTGGACGTTCCTCCTGCCACCGCACACGTCAATCCCTGAGACTGCTGCTGCTGCTGTTGTTGCTGTTGCAAAGAAGGTGCCTCCAGCTGCTGCTGCTGCTGCTGCGGGGGCGGCCGTTGGAACTCAACCCACTCTCCCGCATCCGCACAACGACCCCGCGCCACCACCGGCGGCAGCAGCCCCGCCGCCGCCGCCGCCTCCACCGCCGCCAGATCCGTGAGCCCAGACATCGCCTGAACGTACGACTGCCGTACCATGCCGGCAAACACCTGCCGTACGACCTCCTGGTCCACACCATTGCCGTACGACGCTGCTGCTTCCGCTTCCGCTTCAGCTGCTGCCTCAAGCACCCCCTCACCCTCATCCTCATCCTCCCCGTCGGCTTGCATGGCATCCGCACCAGCACCATCACCACCACCGCCAGCTTCGTTGCGGCTGCTGCCGACAGCAGCGGCGGTGCCGTTTGCCGCCCCCGCCGCCGCCGCCGCTGGGTGCCTGACCCCCAGGTGTCTCACCGGCTTCATGTGGGTCATGAACACCGCCCCGCATGCGACCGGGCAGGTGAACTCGCCCGCTCGGGACACCGTGATGCCTTCCACCAGGGCTGTGCAGGGGGAGGCAGGGAGGGGGAGTGGGGGGAGGGGGAGGCAGGGAGGGGGAGTGGGGGGAGGGGGAGGCAGGGAGGGGGGGGCAGGGAGGGGGAGTGGGGGGAGGGGGAGGCAGGGAGGGGGAGGCAGGGAGGGGGGGGCAGGGAGGGGGAGTGGGGGGAGGGGGAGTGGGGGGAGGGGGAGGCAGGGAGGGGGAGGCAGGGAGGGGGAGTGGGGGGAGGGGGAGGCAGGGAGGGGGAGGCAGGGAGGGGGAGTGGGGGGAGGGGGAGGCAGGGAGGGGGAGGCAGGGAGGGGGGGGCAGGGAGGGGGAGTGGGGGGAGGGGGAGTGGGGGGAGGGGGAGGCAGGGAGGGGGAGGCAGGGAGGGGGAGTGGGGGGAGGGGGAGGCAGGGAGGGGGAGGCAGGGAGGGGGAGTGGGGGGAGGATGGGGAAAGTAAATGAGGACAGCAACTGGAAGAGGAAGGGGAAGAGGAGGATGGGGGAGAAGGTGAGGAGGAGGGAAAAAGGGGGAGCATGCAGGTAGGAGGGCAGAGGTCGGGGATGGCATGGCGGGGGATGCATGTCATCACCACGGTGGCTGGAGAACACCCACTGCGGGTTACACCTCCACACCGCCCCTCAGCCCCGCCCTCCTCTGCCAAGCCAAGCGGGACCAGCACCAGCCCCTCCCACATCTACAACCCCGCCAAAACACCCTCTCACCATCCCCTCCCTCCCTGGCTTCCCTGTCCTTCTCCCCTCCTCCCCTACACCCTCCCTCCCTCCCCTCCCCTCCCCTCCCTCACCTGTGGTGCTCTCCAGTGCCGCACTGCCCAGGTACTCCCCCGCCCGCCGGTCCCACACCTGCAGCCCCGCCCCCGCCCCCGCCTCCTCCCCGCCCAGCCCCCCTCCTCCTCCCCCCTCCTGCCCTCCCTGCAGCCCAGCCAGAGCCCGGCTGCCCGTCAGACAGCGCTCCAGCTCGATATCCGCAACCATGATGGCCAGGCGGGGAGGCAGTGGGGGGCCGGGCTGGGGGGGAAGAACCACCACCGCTGCTGCGGCTGCTGCTGCTGCTGCCGCCTCCGCCTGCTGCTGCTCCTGCTCTTCTTCTTGCTGCTGGTCCTCTCCCCCCTCCCCCTGCTGTCCCCCCTGCTGCTGTCCCCGCAGGAACTGGTACCACACCACCAGCTCCAGCAGCAGCCGCTCCAGCCCGTGGGTGGACCAGCGCCGCAGCGACTGAACCATGGCCCGACGCAACCGACCCTGCGGACCACCTCCGCCGCCTCTTCCGCCTCCTGCTGCTGCCCTTGCACCTGTCCCTGCTGCCTTCCGCAGGTGCTGCGCCAGGCGCCTGAGGGGCAGGTGGTGCGGCAGCAGGCGGTGCGGGAGCGGGAGCAGGAGGGGCAGCAAAGCAGGACAGCGTCAAAGAGGTGAAAGCGGTGTCTCATGCGGGGCGGCGTTTTCAGCAGAGTCCGCAAGAGACGCCCCTGCGAGAGAGAAGGGGCCCCGGCAGCCAGCACCAGCACCCCCCCTCCCATACCTTTGTGGTTTGGTTTATTCTACCTCCCATACACACACCGGCCCCCACCTTGGGGAACCAGGCGGTGCAGGAACTAGGCACCCAAACCCCAGTTCGCTCCGCACCCCCCTCCCCCCTTCTGTCATCTAGTTTACCACTATCACACCACACATTGGGTATCCTTCTTTCCCCCTCCTCCGTTCCCCTCCGATCCCCTCCTCCCCTCTCCCCCTCCTCCCCCACCTTGGCAGGCGGTGCAGGAAGAGCACCCACGCCACGTCCGCCGCCAGCGATATGAGCGCGGCGCGGTGGGCGGCGGTGACGGGGTCCGGGGAGCGGACCGACTGGGGGGCAGGGAGGGGGGGGGAGGGGGGGTCAGAGACATGCCAAACCCATAGGCTAGGGCAAAGCAATGGGGACAGAGGGAGTATCAGTTGGTTACGAAGCTAAAAGAGGGCTGGTGGCCCCTAGCGATGGGGGAGGGGGTGAAGAAAAGGGGGAAAAGGAGGTGGTGAAACACACACGCAGGCAGCATGCGCGTGAAGGCTCTGATGAGGGCATGAAGGGTGTGCCGGCTGGCGGGAGGTGGGGCTGTGGAATGAGACACCCCGCAGCCCCCCCCCCTCCTCACCGCCCCCCCTCCTCACCGCCAGCAATGCCACGCAGTGCACGTTCCCGGGTGCCCGGCTGCAGTAGATGGACCAGCCGCTGGGCTGGAACAGGTGGCCGGCCTGGGGGGGGGGGGGGAGGGGGGAGAGAGGGAGAGGGCGTGGGTGGGGGAATTACACATACGTGCAGCAACGGAGCGAGGGGGGAGAAAGAGGGGGAGTTGCATGGCATGGGGGAGCAGGAGGGCGCCGCTTTGGAGAGGACGGGGGAGGCGGGAGCCCCTCGGGGAAGCACCTAGTGAGGCCGCCTAAAGAGGACAGAACATCCCCGTTTCCTCTTCACCCAGACCCAGGCCCCCCTCACACCACCACCCCACCCACCCAGAAGGCGGGGTCGTCCTCGTCCATGCCCCCGTCCGTGAACAGCCCCTCCAGCTGCACCGCACCACCACCACCCGCCACCAGCAGCTGCCGCTGCCCCTGCTGCCGCCGCTGCGTAACTGCACCGGCCCTGACAGCAACACGGCCCCTGCTGCTGCCACCTCCCTCCGCAGCAGCAGCAGCAGCAGCGTCACCAGCCGCCCCTGCTGCTGCGCCTCCTTCCCCGCCTCCGCCGCTTGCGCCGCCTTGCATGGCTTGGTGGAGCTGGCGGTACAGGGAGGCCAGCGCGACGTGCTCCGGGGCCTGATGTTTGGGGAATGGAAAGGGAAATGTGGAGGTTGCTGGTGTACTGACTAGGGAAAGAAGCGAAGGCCGACGGGGATCAGGTTAGGGTAGGGGCAGTTGCCAATGGCCGCGGAGTTATTCCCCGGTTAGCAGAAAGATAGTCTTTCCAACGTCCCTCCGCCACAACCCAGGGCCGGTATTGGACCTAAGCTGACCATGAACTGGATCAGCAGCGTACCTTTACGTTTAAGCCGAACTGGCTGGCCAGCAATGGACCCCAGACCGCATTCGTGCGTGTTATGTGGCGGGCTTCACGACATGTGCAAGCAAGGGAAGCCACATCTGTAGCACAATCTAGGCAGCAGGTAATGGCTGTCAATGTGTCGCGGTCCAAACTGTTCCAGCCGGAGCCATAGTCGTCTGGCCCCCGCGCTCGCGTGGCTGCCGACTCCGACATGATAGCTACGAATTAAGGCGCAGTAAAGTGAAATCCTTTACAAAGTACTAGGCTTCTATCAATGCCCAATCCCAGACTCGGGGTGGCGGCACCCTAGTCCCGTTCCACCATGCTCTGCATATTAAGCAAGCTGGGTCAGTCAAGATCCACCGTCTCTATTGTCATCTGTGGCCGCGATGGGCAGACGCGATGCTGGCGACGATGGCTGCCGTGCAGGCGTGCACCCGCGATGGTCCATCGTCCATGCTCGTCGTAACATGGGCAACCAAAGTCTTCACATTCAGTTTTCCTATCTTCAATTCCCCCATAGTATGTTGTCATGTGTGCGACCCATACCTGCACCCGGGAATTGAAGAAGGTTCTGTACCTGAAGCTTTAAGCAAAGGCCCCGCCATACCGGGGTCTTCATCAACAACAACTCGGACAGTATTCACACGTGTGATTAGCAGGCGGATCCTGTGCGTCTTTCAATACCCTGCGGTTGACGAGTCCTTCGCTTGTCCAGACTGTTGCCCCTGACGGGCAGTTGACTAGCTGCAAGGCCAGCCGTGTCAGTAAAGAATGTTCAACAACGGCTATGTGGGGACGGGCGAGGATGTCCAGCGCATCCGGCGCATGGAGAAGCAGCGCGAGGAGCAGAGGAAGAAGTTTGAGGCGATGCAGAAGCAAACAAAGGACCAAGCGGACGCGGCCGGTCTAAGACAGTTCGGAGCTTCCACAGAAGAGGTGCGAGGCTTGGCACTGCACCTCCATCTTGAACCTGGCACGGGCCTTCCCATCCTCTTTTCACTTTCATCACAGCATCGCTCCTACATCCCACATCCCGTTCCCCATCCCCTCCTTCACCCACATCCACGTCCTGCTTGCCACTGCTAACCTCCCCTCCTCCTGCCGGGCCCGCTGCTGGACAGGCTCTCGAGCACGCGTTCAAGAACGAAACAGTGGGTCTGGTCACCAAGGCGGAGTTCATCCAGAAGCGAACCACCCTGCAGGAGCGGTGAGGCGGCGATCCCGGGGCGCGGCTTGCGGTGAATGGGGCTGCTGCTAGAGGGGAAACCATGGGAGGCCGCTGCTAGAGGGGGAAGCACGGGAGCCTGCTGCTAGAGGGGGCACCACGGAAGGCTGCTGCTAGAGGCGAGCCATGCGGGGCTGCTGCAAGAGATGGCTAGAGGGGGTGAATGGCTCGCAGCGCCTGCCATGTTGGCGACCGAGATGGCACGTGCAGCAGAGGGGAGCCACAGAGGGAGCAGCTCGCCCTCCGCCCTGCCCGGGCCAACAGGACGGTTAGCGGGTCTCTGTGTTAGCCAGGAATATCGGCTCAGCATCACCACTAGGGCTCCGTTAACCTCCTCCCTTCATCTCTTCTCCCTTCCCATTGTGGTTTGGTTTATTCTACCCTTCCGTTCCGCTCCCCTTGCCCCACCAGTCTGGAGGAGGAGCACCGGCGGAAGGCGGAGGCGGACGAGGACGCGGCCAGTCGGGAGCGGGAGAAGCGGCGGCGGGAGAAGGAGGCGCGCAAACCCAAGCTGAGCTTCCTTGTAGAGGAGGACGGGGATGGGGAGGCGGAGGAGGAGGTGGGTGGGTGGTGAAGAAGTCCCACCGTGTGATAACTAAAACTGGCCGGGGGTAGGAAGGTACTCTTCACCGTGCGATAAGAAAACCATGTGAGTGTGTGTGACACACACACGCATGCTTCACATGCACGATTTGCACCATTCATGGTTGCCGACCGCAGCAGGGGGGTGGGGTTGGATCGGTGTCAGGGTGCGGTTTGCGGTTGGGGCGGAGGAGGGACGGTGGCGGTGCGGGTGATGGCTGTGGCGTGAGCCAGCATCAGTGTCTCCCACCCCAGTACTCCCCACTCCCCCACTCCTGCCCCCCACAGGATGCCCGCCGGCCCTCCGCGCCCCCGCCCGTCTTCAGGCTCCCAGCCCTAGCCCGCGTGGCTGCAGGCGCCGCCGCAGCAGCAGCCACCACCGCCGCCCCCGCCCCCTCAGCACAGCCATCCACCTCCACCGCCCCATCCCAGCCGCCCCAGCCGCCCCAAGCTGGGTCCGAACCCGTGTTGGCTGCAGGGGGGTCAGCGACGGAGGGTGCTGCGGCGCTTGAGGTCCGCGGCCGCGGGTGCAGCGAGGAACCCGCCAGCAGCAGCGGCAACGGCAGCGGAGATGGGGGCGGTGGGGGTGGGGATGGGGATGGGGGTGGGGATGGTGAGGGCAATGGTGTGTTGGTGTTGGCGTCAGAAGGAGCAGCAGCAGGCGGGGGTGGAGGCGGTGATGACGCGCATGCGGCCAAGAAGCGCAAGTTCGGCAAGCTTGGCAAGGACCCCAGCGTGCCCACGGATTTCCTACCGGACAAGTGAGAGCGGGGGGGAAGGGGGGAAACATTATATAATAAATGCAAACAACTAGAGTCCCAATCCCATAGCCCGACTCATGCAGTGAGGGGGAGGGGGGAGGGGAAGGGGGAGGGGAGGGGAAGAGGGACCGGGGGTAAGATTGAGGAAACTGATGAGGCAACTGACGATTGTATGAGCAGGGGTGGGGTGGGCAGGTAGCAGGAAGGGGTGGGGAGGGAAGTGGGGGCTTGCAGGACGACGGACGCATGTGGCTGGGGGCCGAGTGGCATAATAGGGGGCTGCTGAGGGGAAGCGATGGGAGGCGGGGAGGGGAGCCGTGAGGGCGGATGCACGCAGGTAAAGGGGAGGGCGTAAGGCAGGGGTGTGAGCATACACACGCACTGCTCTCCGCCCACCCTGCCCTCCCCTGTCCCTCCCTGCCCCCGCCCCCTGCCGCCGCCCCCTGCCGCCGCCCCCTGCCGCCCGCCCCTCCAGGGACCGGGAGCGGTTGGAGGCGGAGATGCGCGCCGCACTTCGCAAGGAGTGGCAGCTGGCGCAGGAGGCCATCAAGGGCGAGCCGGTGGCCATCACCTACTCCTACTGGAACGGAACAGGACACCGGTAGGTGGGAGGGAGGGAGGGAGGGAAAGAACAATACTCGGTGTGTTGAATGAGGAAGAGGGGCGGCAAGGGAACCCCGAGGGGCCCCTCGGGGGCCCGAGGGGCTCAGACCCGATGCCGTGGTTTGTACGACAGCCCTGCGCGACGTATGCCCCATACCTTCCTTGCCCTCGCTCTCGCGCTTCCTTCCCTCTTCACCACCCCTCCTTCCTCTCCCCCCCTCCTTCCTCCCCCTCCCCCTCCCCAGTCGCCACATCACGGTCAAGAAGGGCGACTCCATCGGCCTCTTCCTCAAACAGGTGCGGCTTGGGTGTGGGGACTTTGGGTGGGGTGTGGGGACTTGGGACCCTTTGGCTTGCAGGTCTTGAGCCATTCTGGTTCTGGTTCTGGTTAACGTGCGGGCAAACATGTATATTCGGGGGCCTCTCCCTCCACCTCCCCCTTGTCCTTCTCATCATCATCATCATCATCCCCTTCCTCCTCCACCTCCGCCCCCCACCCCCCCACCCCCCCGAGCAGGTGCGCGAGCAGCTGGCGCCCGAGTTCCGGGAGCTGCGGCACGTGGGTGTGGACAACCTGATGTATATCAAGGTAGGGGGGGAGGGGAGAAAGAGGTGGGGGGGGGGGTGAAGGAAGGAGGAGGTGGAGGGGGGGGGGTGAAAGAAGGAGGAGGTGGAGGGGGGTGCGGTCTGCGGTGAAAGAAGGAGGAGGTGGAGGGGGGTGCGGTCTGCGGTGAAAGAAGGAGGAGGTGGAGGGGGGTGATGGGAAAAAGGGAGGTGTGGGTAACCAGCAGCTGAGGGACAGCCTGATGTACATCAAGGTACAGGAGGGGTAGTAAATGAAAAGTGAAGGCGGGGTACAAGAATGAAGAGGCGGGGGGGTGCTATGGGTGACATACGGAGCTATCGGCGGTATCGGTTGTACCGTTGCACCGCACGAGTGAGAATCCACCAACGAAACTGACCCATGGGTCGCTGCTGCCCCCCAACCCGCCCGCCTGCCTATCCATCCCCCCCTCCACCCCCCCACACACACTCAGGAAGATCTCATCATGCCGCACCATCACACCTTCTACGAGCTGATCGTCAACAAGGCTCGCGGCAAGTCGGGGCCGCTGTTCGACTTCGGGGTGCGGGAGGACATCCGTGTGACCAATGACGCATCCCGGGAGAAGCAGGACAGCCACGCGGGCAAGGTAGGGGGAGGGGAAAATAAATGAGAAGTGAAACAACGGAGCCCCAATCCCATATCCCGACTCATGCAGTCAGTGGTAGGGGGGAGGAGGGCAGCAGCGGGAGGGGTGGTGGGTGGGGCTGCAGCCTACCTGTGCCCTATGTCCGATGGAGGTAACAGACGGTAGAGGGGTTGGGAAATGCAGTGCGCCAAAACCCTGGAGTGGATGCCATCTTGCTCCGAAACCTGGCTCACCTGTCCTGCCCTGCCGTACCTGGCTACAGGTGGTGGAGCGGCACTGGTACGACAAGAACAAACACATCTTCCCCGCCAACCGCTGGGAGGTGAGGGGCGGGGGTGGGGGGAGAAGGCGGGGAGGGGGATGGAACGGAGGGGGAGAAGGAGGTAAGGTTTGGTACGCCATATGGCTATACTGGTTTTGTGACTGCCCTCTTATGATGCACCAACTCTGCCCCGAATTACGTAATCCTGACGTGTGCGACGTCTAATACACACTGCAGATTTACGATCCGGAGAAGAAGTACGGCGATTACACAATCTTCGGCTGAAGAGGTGGAAGCTGAGGAGGAGGAGAGCTGGTTTGAAGGGGTGCGATCTGGAATCCGGAATAGCGACAGGCAGAGCAAAGGCGAAGGGCATATGGTGGAAGAGGAAAGGAGTGATGCGCGTTATGCTTGCTGTGTTAACGGGTGCCATAGTGCGAGCACCGCTGATGCTGCTGCCGGGAAAGAAAGGGCGGCACTCAGGACCCCACAGCTCCCCCTGTACGACATTGAGAGCCGCACACTTGCCCGGATGGGTTAATTGGATGGGCAGCCGGGGAGTGGTGTAGCTTGCGGCTGTGTACCGCCTACTGCCTCCTGTCGTATGTGTGTCATCATGGATGCGGTTGTGATGGCTGTGGTAGGGTTGACGTGGCGGGGTTGAATTCTGGAAAGGACAGGCTCCCGCTGCTCGCGTGTCCATGGCGAAAACAAACAGCCGTTTGTCAGGCGACGCACTTGGGTTTTTGCCATGGTATACGCAATGGTAATCTTCCAGTGGCCAGTACTTCAAAGCTGGGTCCTTATGTAAGCAGAGCTTCGTTTGCCCAGGTCCCCCCCCCCCCTCACCGACCAGCGATAACACACCCCTGGCACCCTTTTACAGCGCAATGAAATGGCGTGAGAATGCCCTTCTCCCCCTTTTTTCAGCAGCGCAAGAGGCTGCACTGGTAGCAATACCATATATGGGGATATACAGGGGAAAGAATCTGACAGTATGGATAACAAAACACACCACATGCATCGTATCGTACACATGTGAAACACAACGTATTTCATTTTCCGGCAATGTGTCGTACAAGGCCCCATGGTGCTTAACCGGCGGCACAGCACAGCACAGCATGCACACGTGTTGTGCCCATCCGGGACCCAACATCCTTTCAAAAACTGCAAAAAGGAAGCAAAACACGTACTCCCCACCGCCTACCATGCCTGAAGCGGAACTATGTACAATATACGTAAACATGCATGAACCTGCACATCTTCTTTCCAGGAAACCAGCTGTAGCAATCAAAAAGCGTTCCCAATTAAACTCATCCTACAATCCATGTCAGACACTGAGCAGACGACAACTTGCTGCCACATCCGAACGGGGGGGGGCGCACCTTCTGAAGTGCCTGAAGCGACCTTGAGCAATTATGTGTGCGCAAAAGCAGATTCGGTGAATGTCATTCACGTCCTTCATGTCCTTAACGTATGTGGGTAAGGCACAAAGAAACAACAAACGCGTACCACAAACACCGACGCACTGCACAAGGGAAAGAGAAGAAGAAGCCTGCTTCTCTCTTTCACCTCCTCTCCTATTATACAAAGTAGTAAGGCCAGCAGGCTTCCGCAGCGCAACCGACCCATGGGTCTTGCCCTCCACATGAGGGAAGCGGCGGCCCGGCAAAACGCCTTTCCTCCGCTTATTATGCTTCTATCCTACCTACTAAGCATGCTTCGACAGACTTCAGCCACAGGCTTTCAACCAAAACAGCTTATCGACCTCCGCTACCCGCTGTCTGCAGCTACCGACGCAGAAAAGCATGCATCCTAAAACACACACCTCCATGCCTCTCCCCGCACCTCCTGGCATCCCTAAGAACGCTACCACCGGTACTATACAGTTATTCGGTGCGCACATCTAGTCACAAGTAAAGTACATTCTGCGGTAAAGATACAGGCGCAGCGAAAAAGAAAACGTCTGGTTTGCATATCGCACAATTCATTTACTTGTCCGCCTGCCGGCAGGTGCTATGTGCTACGCTACGTCCCAAACAGCCCACCCGCAGCAGCAAGGGCAGCAGCAGCTAATTTCCGTAAGTAAGGAGCATTGCCAGTAGCCCTGCCGCGGTCCTGCCAGCCACACGCGCAAAACCTCGTATCCGACCCACTGCTACCCTCCTCCGTCTTCTCCCGTTGTACACATCCTGTTGGTCCCTTCTTCCTCGTACAGCTACAGAGACCCCTCTCTGCCGCTGTCCCACCTCCATGTCCTCCTCCTCGGCCGTTTCTTGAAGACAACGATAAGCAGGACCCGGCAACTGCCCTCGCTAACGAACCTAACAGCTAGCCACCACCACAACCCAAGCAACAACTCTCAACACCCCCAACAACCACACATCCCTCTCCCCTCCAGAGACTCAACATCCCTCCGACAACCACCGCCTCCTCTTCTTTTTCCCCTTCCTTCCCCTCACCCTATCTATCCCCCTCACAGATACATCCACGCCTCCCTGCCCCGCCTGCCCGCCCCATCTCCCACCTCCCCTGCTCCCCCTCCTCCTCCCTCTCCCCCCTCCGCCAGCCTCTCCAGCTGCCCCAGCAGCCCCCGGTACCGACCCACCGCCTCCGCCGCCACCGCCGCCACCAGGTGGGGGGGCAGCTGCCGGAAGCCCTCCGAGGCCGACACGGCAGGGTAGTGGTCCAGGATCTGAGGGAGGGAAGGAAGGGAGATACGTGAAAGACCGCACCAAACCATAGCAAAGCAATGGGGGTAGGAGGCGGCATGGGTGAGGTCAGAGAAGGCGGAGGGCGGCGGGATCATGGATGGTTGCTGGGAGCTACGGTGGTTCGTCTGAGCCGCGGGAAAGCAACGACAGCGACTGGTGCACACCACATTGCGCCTCGCCTCCTATCCCCACACCCCGCCCAGCCCCACCCCAGCCCCACCCCAGCCCCACCCCTCCCAGCCCTCTCTTCTCACAAACTGCAGTGCCACGCTCCGCAGCTGGTCCAGCCCGCCCTCATCCGCTAGCGCCAGCAGCGGCCCCGCAGCCGCAACCGCAGCGGCCAACACCGCAGAGGAGGAACGCGGATGGGGGGGTGCAGCACCACCGTCAGTACCAGCAGCAGACTCCTGCTTAAGTTGCGTGCCGCTGCTGCTGCTGCCCCCTGCTGCTCCTTCTTCCTCCCCTCCCGCTGCTGCGGCTGCCTCCGATGCCGCCACCAGTTCCCGCGCTAGCAGCGACTCACACAGCCGCACCAGCCTGGCGGGGGGAGGGAAGCAGGGCGGAGGGGGGGGGATGGGGAGCGGCAGGGTGGAAGGGTGGTGGCAGGATGGGGACTGGGAAGTGGTGCATGGTGGTGCTGCTGAGGTTGCCAATACCGGGTCACGTTCACTCACATCAGGCAGTACAGCTCGTGAAACAGAGTCTGATTCCTGGTCCGGTAGAGCAGGGGGTTTTCTCCTCCCTTTCCCCATGCTCCCCCATGTATTCTTCTTTACCCCCATGCCCCCCAGCTGCCCCCCTCCCCGCCCCACCTGTTGCACCCGTAGTAGATGCCGGCATGGATGAGCTGCGGCATGAGGTGCGAGTCCACTCCGCCCGGGGGCAGGCAGTCCTGCAGGAGAGGGGATAAGAGGTGGGGAGGGGGGAAGAGGTTGGTGGAGGGGGAGAGGGTTTGAGGAGGGGGAGAGGTACGAATGGTAAGGAGGTGTGCGAGGGGGGTACAGGAGAGCGCTGATAGTGGTGCCTGCGTGTCATAGTTGCATGCAACAGCAGCAGTGCTTGAAGCCCCAGCATCACCTCACACCATGCAGAGGGTGTGTTTCTTCCTCTTTTACCACCCCCCTCGCCCCCTCCCGTCCTCCCCCTCTCCTCCCCCCCTCTCCTTATCCCTCAGCCAGTTAGTTCTTTCCTCTTTACCCCCCACTCGCCGCCTACCAGGTACACGTAGTGCAGGAATGCCTCCACCGCCTCCCGCCGCTCCACCGCCTCCGGAACCACGTAGCGGGTGGTGTGGCTGTCCCGCATGCCGCTCAGGAGCTGCGCGCGGAGCAGCTCGCAGCGGGCTGGGGGGAGGGGGGGAGGGGGGGCCGGTGCGGGGAAGGAGATTGGCGAGCGTTAGTAAAAAGGAAACGAGCAGCAACACCAACTCTGTCCATGCGTACTCAGCAACTCGCCGTCTGCACCGTTTGCCCCTCTGCCCCATGCCAAGTTTGATACTGCTCATCTCTCCTCATCTCCCGTCAACCCCAAAACGAGGCGCCCATTCCCACCCTCCACCCCCCCCCTCCCCCGAAGGCATACAGCTCGTCATACAGCTTGTCAGCTCCCTTCTCTTTTCCACCCAAGGCCACCCCCCAACGGCCCCCCACCCACCACCCACCCTGCAGCACCCCCCGGTGTGCCGGCAGGCTCCACCCCCAACCCGCCAGCTGGCAGTCAGGCGGGCCCAGCGCCAGCCACCCGGCGGCCGCCCCAGCCAGGTAGGCGGGCGGGGAGGAGGTGGGCAGGGGGGAGGCGGAGCGGAGGGGGGAGGGGGGGACGGGGGGGAGGGAGGTGGAGCCGGCTGCCTCCACCATGGTTGCTGCTGATGCTGTTGTGAAGGCGGCGGGGGCTGTCGCAGGAGGAGGAGGAGGAGGTGGGGTGGAGGTTGCTGCTGCTACTGCAGCCCCCGCCGCCTCAGCCGCCTGGGAGCCCTGGGAGGCCATCTCGATGGGGCCTGCAGGAAGGGAGGGAGGGGCGGGTGGTGGGTGCAGGGGTAGTAGGATTGGTGCAAGAGAGGAGGGGGTTCAGATAGGCAGGATAGAGGGTAGACAATAGACAGATAGTGGGAAGGCGTGTAGGGGTGACCCATGGGTCGAGGACACTCCTTTCGGGTCATACGCTCCTACCTTCAGCCTGACACTGACACACAAAGCGTGACCGCTACGCCACAATAAGTACCGGTACCGGTAAGAAACGAGTTGGCATTTACTTCCCAACTTCTACCCCCGACCCGCCCTCCGGCTGATTCCTAGCTCCGCTGCACACACCTCCCTCCCTCACCCGCCTCTCCCCTCTCCGCCCTCCCGCTGCTCCCCTCACCCGCCGGCGCCTCCCTCACGCCCGCTCCGCGCCCCTCCTGCACCGCCTCCGCCTCCTTCCCCAACCCCGCCTCCGCGCTCCTCCACAGGGACTCCACCTCGCCCTCACCAGCTGCCGTACCACCACCACCATCTCCTCCTCCTCCTTCCCCTGCCCCTGCTGCCTGAGTAGCATCCACCTCCATACTTCTCCAGCCACCGCCGCCACTCTCTACGTCCCCTCCACCTCCACCTCCACCTCCTCCTCCACCTACCCCACCTCCAGCCATCTCGGATATCTCCATCAACGAGCCACTGACCGCACCCCCACCACCTCCTCCCTTCGCTCCTCCTTCTACCGCCACCGCCGCCGTACCCTCCCCCTCCTCCCCCTCATGCTGCTGCTGCTGCTGCAGGGCCTCCCTGTGCGCGGGCGGGCGGGTGGCGGGGGCCAGGTGGTGCGGGTCCAGCGAGCCTCGACTGCGGGGCCTGGAGGGGGGGGGGGACAAAACATAGGGGGAGGGTGGACGGGAGGGGAAAAATGATATAAGTAAAACAACGAGTCCCAATCCCATATCCCGACTGGATAGGGAGGCGTGGAGAGGGGAACAAATTAAATATGTGAAACAACGAGTCCCAATCCCATATCCCGACTCATGCAGTGAGCGCATTCGGAGACACTATTCTAAAGACACGCATCTCAAATTACTTACCGAAGCGTTGCTTACCGTAAACCGAGACGACTTGAGGAAAAAGCCGCCGTGCGTGGTAACACTAGGGAGACATGCGCCGCGCCGCCGGTCACGAAATGCAAAGCAACACGCATATGGGGTATACGAGCACACATGTTATCGAGACGCGTTACGGGAAACTTACCTGGAGAGGGAAAGGGTAGGTCCTGTGAAGGTAGGATAGGCTCTCCTCATGCCCTCATGAACAAGGCAGGGAGAGAAGCAGCGTATCCGTAAACGTACCCGTACACATACCCGTACACGTACCCGTACAGGTCGGCCATTACGGTTTTCTACACCTCGCTGCCACCGCCGGACTGAATACCCCCCGCTAACCCCCATTCCCACCTGACACCGTTGATGCTGCCGCGTCGGGGGGGCAGCGCCGCCTCCGTCTCCACCTCCTCCCGCCTGCCACCACCTTCCCTCTTCTCCCTCCCCTCCTGCGCCTCCCACTCCACTGCCGCCTCCTCCGCTGCCGCCTCCACTGCCGCCTCTGCCGCCGCCGCCAGCTGCTGAGCCAGCAGCCTGAGGTCCGCCCCGGGTGCTGCCAGGTGCGCCAGGTCGGAGGGGAAGGTGGAGGGGGGCACTGACACACGCCTGCGGAGGGGGGAGAAGGGTAAGAGGTGGAGGGGAAGAGAGATAGGAGGGAGAGACAGGGCGTGTGTGTGCATGGAAAGGAACAATATCGGGAGAGCAAGTAGACAGCAGACCGGGGAGGAATACCCTGCCGCCCAACAAGCATGCCCGGCAGGCAGGGAGGCAGGTGGTGCTGCAACAAACGGCCGCGAATAGCCCCTCATGCGATTTGGGTCAACCTGTTTTTCTGTATGAACGCTTGCATGACAATACAAGAAAGCAGGTTTACCCTCCCCCTCCTCCTCCCTCCCTCCCCCCTCGCCCACCTGGCCGCCTTCGCCCTCTCCGCCTCCATGGCCCGCACCACGTCCACATCCCTCGGCACCTCCAGCTCACTGAAGCTCACCTGAAGACAGGGGTGGGGTGGGGGGCAAAATAATAAAGAGACACTGACGATGCAACTAACGAGCTGTATGACAATGCTTCGCCATAGGGTAGGGGTAATTTGGAAACAGAATCCGAATTAGGCTGGATATTTGGGTTAGCGTATAATTGTAGTTGTTGTATAGTTAGTAGCATCAATCAGTAACAAACCGTATTGTAAGCTCCGTGGCGGCTGGGGTGATCTGAGATCACTCTGCATTGGCGAATAAAAGGCGGCTGCTACTGTGATAACTGGCTCCACTGCGCTAGACCTGATGTCTGTGCTGCAATGCTGTCAGCAGCATAACGTATGTAAGCTCCGCTGCTTAGCTGGGGCTGTCATGCGGCTGTGTGCACCAAAGCATCCCACCCTGCCCGACCCTCGCAAATGACCCATGGGTCTAACAAAGCCCAGCCCATCCACTAGTCCGAACCCTGACTAACCTGCGTAGCAAGGGAAAATTGTGCAGCGAAGACGTACCAAATTACGTACATAGGGTAGGGGGGGGGCACTAGGCGGCACAGCACCTGACAAAGCGGTTTGGGTTGGGAGCAGAGCCAGGCTCCTCACACTCCATAGAGGGGGACGTAGCAGGTGGGCAGGTAGGTCGCAACCCGGCAGCTGATGGTGTGGTGGTCGCTGTGTGGGTGTGTGGGGCACAGGCGGGGCTGCTGCCTGCAGCAGGCCTCACCTGGCTCAGCAGCCGCTGCCGGGTGGAGCCGTCGGGGAGCCTAGGAAGGGGGGGAGGGGGCGAGGAGGAGGGGGAGGGGGAGGAGGGGGAGGAGGAGAGGGGGTGAGGAGGGGGGAAGGGTAGCGTCCTAGTGCTCGGATAGTCTCCCTCATACACAGTCCCCCTTCCCCTCCTTGCTCCCCTCCCACGCCGCACCCTCACCCCCCCAAAGCCCCCCGCCCCCCCTCAGCTGCCCTCACTTGGTGATGAGTCGCAGCTCGTTGGCCACCGGGGCCACCACACGGCCACCCCTGGAGCGCGGAGGGGGGAGTGGGAAAAAAGAAGCCCCAATGTGTTGAATGATGAAAACTAGGTGAATGATGCAAACTAGGTCCGATTTGCAATGAAACCAACACCCTAAACCTTTTACCGCCTCTCCCCCGGCCCCTGTACCTCAAAACCAAAACCCACTTCCTTTCCTCCCAGTTTTTCCCTCACCGCTTCCCCTTCCCCCCTCCCCGCCCTATACACACTCACTCGGGTTTCAGCAGCCCCAACACCCCTCCCAGTCGGCTCTCCGGCATGGCGCCCCCCACGTGTACGGCGTCGTACTGCCCCTCGTGGCGCCGCAGCGGTACGAACACGTTGTGCAGCTCCAGAGCCACCGGAGCAGCAACCTCGGAGAACCTGCGGTGGGGGGGATATGGGCGTGGGCATGGGGTGTGTTGTGTGTGTGGGGGGGGGGAGGGACCCGTGGGTCGGCGGCGGTTTGACCCATAAATCGGTCTGCACTGGCGCAGCCAAACGAACGATAGTTGCACAACATAGCTCTGCCCTATTCTAGTTCATCTTTGTTGTTCACCCAATTCATCCCCCCATCCTCCTCCTCTGGAAACCCGGCTTGCCCACTTCCCCCATGCCGCAACCCATGGTGGTGTAGCCCCGGGTCAGTTTCCCTCACCTGCTCCCCCCCTCCTCCCGCTCTCCCCCGCCCCTCCACCCCCCCCTCACTCGTGGTTGTGCTCCCTCAGTCTCGCCATGTTGCCGCGCGCCAGGCGCAGCGCGGCGTCCCGGATGTCCACCCCCACCACCTCGCCCGAGGAGCCAACCTGTGGAGGGATTAGATACCGTAACTTGAGCCGCAAGGAAACACTGACCGTGAACACAGGAAGACCCGTTAGGAGGGGAGGGGGAGGGGGGGATCGGGTGCGTTGATTAATAACGGTAATGGCAACACCCCACCCCAAGTCCCCCCTACCGTACCCACCAGGTGTGCCGCGTAGGCAGTCACAATGCCGCAGCCGCAACCCACATCCAGCACCCTGCAGCGGGGAGGAAGGGGGGGAGGGAGGCGTGGGAGGAGGAGGCGGGTAAGGAGAGAGAGGAGAGCGTACAGGAGGGGAAGGAAGGCGGGGCCGCAGCCGGGCTTCTTACATGTGTACCTCCCTCTTCACCTCACCCCGTGCATGATACCAGTTCCACTCCTTAAGCTGTTACTCCTAATTTTTCTTTCGGCCCCCAGGCCCCAGCCCCCCCCTCCTCGCCTCATGCCCGGCTGCAGCTGCAGCGCCTCCAGCGCAACAGCCTGCATGCACGCGCGCGGGGGTATAGCGGCGGAAGGTGGGTTATGGGGGGGGGCCGTGGATGTGGGTCGGGCGGTGGGTCGTGGTGTGGGTCGGGAAAAAGATCGTGATGTGGGTGGGGAAAAAGATCGTGATGTGGGTCGGGAGGTTGCGTCAGCACCAACATGGGCCGGGCCTAAAATCACCGCCCCCTCCTGGCCCCTCCTCTTTCCAAACGAAACGGGCCGAACCTAATGTATATCATCGCAAAGCCTCCACAGTTGAGTGAGACACACCCTCCCACCTGCACGTGCGGTGCTGAGATGTTGAACCCCGCCGCCTCCACCCGCACCGGGCGGTCCGCGAGCGCCTCCCCGCGGTGGGCGGGCGGCACGAAGAGGTCGCGGGGGCAGGCAAGCATGGCACGGGAAACGGACTCGCTGCGGGAGGGGGCGCGGATGGAAGGAACGGAAAGGGTGATGAGGTGGAGGTGGGTGCAAGAATATGCATCGGCAGCCGCGACTGTGCCAGCAGCCTGACAGGAGAAAGCAGGCAAGCCCGGGCAAAAGTGAACGGAGAACTAAATCATCTACGGAACCCTTGTTGAAGCGCAAGACAGCATAAAAGCAAGAGCTAGTAGCGAAGTATGCCTGGTCCCAGCCTGCACAACCACCGGCAAGAAGGCCGAGGGCATAAAGTTGTACTGTATATGTTTTCAAGCACTGCGTATGTTTTCAAACAGAGCCCTTGCTAGATTTCTTATACCGATAATCCGCCTGAAAGGAAAGGGAGTATTCCGGTGCAACACCCATGACAGATCGGCCACTGCAACCCGAGCTTTGGAGGTTTCATATAGATGTCCACAGTAAATATATTGTTAGAATAGAAATCTGCAATCGGTGGTTCCAAAGCAGGTGATAGCGCAGGCTGATGGCAGCGACAATGTCGCAAGCCAACCAATGCCAACCTAGTGCATTTTCTACCCAGATGCCAAGCTTAAGAGTCCAAGCCGAATCTCGCATACCTTGTTACGGTGTCGCTGGACTTCAAGTGTGCTACAAGCTCCTCGTTTGTGCGAAACCCAGCGACTTGGTGCCTGTCACCGGCTACGAGCCTCAGAAAGTCAAATAGCGCGATCCTTTCCAGCCTATTACGCCTCGGCATGTCGGCAGGTGGCACTGCGTTCTGCATGTCGTCGTCGTCGTCTGAAGACTCCGAGTCATCCAACTGTGGGATAGGGACATTCTCCTCTTCCATTTTGCTGCAGATGTTTCTCCCTCACCTACGTCTATGTCAAAGATGTGTCATTAGAAGTATGTATCCTTTCCTATACGTTGCTAGCTGTCCTACCTCGTCCTACAGCACAAACGCCGTACGCAAAACATGCTAACCATACCGCGGCGTCCGCGGGTGAGCAAAGATACGCCGATTGTCCTGAGACTTAATTGCCCTCTGGCTAACTATATAATCCCTATAGGAGGTGTACAGTAAGCTGAGCTTCCCTTGAAGCTTTGTTTTGCTCACCTATTTTTTCTGGTCTTTCCAATGCTGCCTACCCCGTCAGTTACGTATTTGTTAAGCTATACTTATGTCTTAGGATAACTACTTGCTTAGGGCCCAACTGCTTCTAGTTTCTTACGTGGGCAGCAGCGTTAGCAGGAATGCCACCAAAAGGCTCGCGGCAGGTGGAGGATGCGGTTGCAGTAGAGGAGATTGTATTTGAGCGGACGGAGCAAGAGGAACAATGCGACCGCATCTTCAAGGACCTAGATAAGGCATTTAAGAAGCTCAATAAGCTGACCAAGCCGGATAAAATACATGGCCAGATCAAGAGCATCGTCGCGAGCTTGAAAGAGGCGAAAGCGTAAGTTTGAGCTTGCGGTCATTCCACATGAAGGTTGCGCCTCTGTTGCTTACCGGCTGCACATGCCCCTCCCTCGCCGTAGACTCATTAAGGACTTTGAGCGGGAGGCTCGTGCGGACAATATGTCCCCTGGAGAACTCGCAGCACGGAAGAAGGTCCTGGTATCCCAGCTGAATGGTTATATCGAGATGAAGAAGGCCTTTGAGCAGGCCGAGGGCAGCAAGGCGGACTTGATGACCGGCGCTCAGGGCGAGGTGGAGCTAGGACTTGAAGGTAGGGCAGGATAGGCTAACGTGGCTACTTACACCCGTCTGCCCATGCTGCCCATCCGGAGCCCCCCCGCCTTCTGGTACTTTATCCATGGTGTCGCCCTCCCACCGGCATGCCCATTTGGATTCGCCGCACCAACCCAGCTCCCTGTCCCCCTCCGTGTCCCCCTTCCGTTGCGGTACAACCCTGCAGGCATGTCCATGCAGGCGCTGATGAACAAGGGGCGAAAGGACATGAAGGAGACGGACGAGGCATTGAATCGTGCGCAGCGGATTGTGGAGGACACTAAGGAAGTGGGCAGGCAGGTGAGTCACGACCCAGGCGCAATCATCCTACCCTGATCGCACCGGGCGGGTGTGCGCTGGCTTAAGGTCTCCAGACCCCATTTGGGTCGGGTCTCCATTGTCATTAGGGCTTTGCTCTCATCTGGGTGGGGCGCTCCCGCGATCTGGGTCGATGTGCGAGCACACGGAGTGGGCGAGTGGGAGTAGAACCGCCCTGTGTACGGTTTTGAGGGAGTAGATGGAGTGGCGATGTCCCCTGCAGCCGCCCCGGTAAATTAGGGTCCCCCCTGTCCCCTCCGCCTCAACATGTTGCTACCTTGCTCCTGGTCTACCCCACCCCACTCCGCCGCGGTTTCCGCTGCGCCTTTTTCTCCTGCTGCAGGTCGCTGCGACGGTTGGCGAGCAGACCAAGAAGATGGAGGACATCATGGACAAGCTCAACGACATGGAGTTCACCATGAAGAAGGCGTCCAAGGTCATCCGCGATATCACGCGGGGGCTCCTCACCGACAAGTAAGCTTAAGGGGCGGCCGAAGGGCAGGGAGCAGAGCGTGAGCATAGCCGGCTTCTGTACGGCACCTCGTCCTCCTTACCTCGGGGATCCCAGCGTGATGTGGGGGTGGGGGTAGGGTGGGGGTGGGGGTGGGCTGTAACGAGGCTGGGAAAGAGGAAGGACGCACTTACCCTGTCCTGCGCGCTCCCATGCGTGGGGTAAGAGGCGATGTGATAGTTACACGAAGCCGCATGGTTACACCGGTGGAATTGATGTGCCGTCCCCCTCGTCTCCTCTCTAAGCCTATCCCCACCGATAGGCTGGGACGGGACGGGCTAGTCTTGGGCTGGGCGGGAGGGGTCGGCAACCGTGATGCACCATCCCATGGTGGAGCCTACATGCCACACGGCTGGTTTCTTCCTCTTTCCCTCACTCCAGGTGCATTGCCTTCCTGCTGCTGCTGGTGGTGGTTGGCGTGGTGGCCATTATCGTGGTCAAGATCATCAAACCCAACCACAAGAAGGTGGTGGAGGGCGCGCAGGCGGCCATTAGCAACATCACGTCCGCCATCAACAGCACTAGCGCCGGCAGCACAGCCATCGGCGCAGTCTCGGGCGCGGCCTCGCAGGCAGCCGACGCGGTGAGCAGCGTCACGGGCCGGCGCCTGCTGCTGGAGAAGGCGTTGCGGCACGTGTTGGAGCTGAACGCGACGTTATAGAGGGTTGCGTGTGGGGCCAGTGGTGTCCCAGCAGTTGGGTCGGGTAGAGGAAGGGTAACCCTTTTAGAGTCTGTGATTTACGATCGGGACTGTAGCTTGAACGGGGCATGACGACTTGTTTATGCCTGGTTCCTGTAAGCAAGCTGTGGTCTAGTTTTAGAGGCGAGGCGAGACGTATGCGGATGAGAATTGTGACCCATGGGTCGAAGCGTGGCTGCCTTGTAGGGCCAGGTCTCAACGAAGCCATTGTGACTTGGTGCATGTGCTTATCTATGTCCGGCCTTCTGTGTCCGCTTTTGGACTGCGAACGGTTTATGACGGCGCTGTTCTCATTGCTTTGCATCATTATATTGCATGTTCTTTATATGCATAGGGCTTTTGCTGTATACGTTGTCATGGGGTTAGGAACAGATACGACTGCGACCAACATGGCAAATCATTTCATGTCTATGGCCCGACACGGTTCGTAGTGTTTCCCTTTGTCCTCCTTTCCATGGTAGGTGCGATTGGCGTCGGCGTCTGCACACCCTTGCTGGGGCAGGGTGGGATGCCGGGTAGGAGACCTGACTTCGGCAGCTTGTTAGCTGCCACGCCTTATTCCGTCGGTCCACGGTTCTCCAACCCAGCGTTGGTAGGCCGGTTACCACCTGTGATCGAATAACTGCTGTGTTAGCAAAGGAGCCTGGAGCGACACCACAGCACTTGATTTGTAGATACGTCCTGGCTCCACGCGTGGTTGGCAGGGGGTTTCCGTACTTCCCCTGCGTATCCGGCTGCCGTCATGCCGCCTGTCCGCACATCTCAGCACCCTGAAATCCCGCAGCACTGTTGGCAGCCCATGGAGGGAAGCGGCTCAGGCAGGACATGGGCGCTGGACTGCGCAACAAGCTCTGGGTTATGCTCGGCTGTGGCCAAGCAAAGGCAAGCCCACAGCGGTCCACCTTTCCCTACATCACATTAGTTGGTTCTGCGCGAGATAACATATTTAACACATCCATGAAGCATGCCTGGATATGTGAATCGTGTTATGCAGCACAGAACCAACAAATGTGCATTCCATGCGCGCGAACCCTTTCTCAAATGTATGCTAGGATGGCGTGAAGTACAACAAATATGTGCTGCGGCTATTCCTCAACACCTTGTCGCGCATCGCTGGGCCAGGCCACGCTTGTCGGTGGTCCATGCGCGCAGCACGACAGCACGAAGTACGGCAAAGTGAATAGCACGTTTCCGTCGATATTCCCGATATCAAAGGATGTTTGTATTAGTTTATGATGCACCTTTTTGTCGTATGCCCCTTTTATGGAAAGGGGGCAACAGGTGGCGGGGGATGTTACGCCTACTGTTAGCAAGATGTAATAGATTAATCCAATTAACACTGCTATAATACTATACTTATTACGGGTATGTTATAAAATGGCTTCTCAAGAGGAGCTTGCGCTGGTGGAGGATTGGAATGCAGTGCAGGCGTCTGGCGATATCAAAAGGCGGCAGGTTGGGCATCGTCATCACCTCAGTTGTCCTTATCTCATCGTATCGTCGATAATATGATCAAGATATTCCAGAATACCCATATATAACAACGGTCATGTGGTCCGTACAGGCATGGTTCGCAAAAGCGTTCACTTTCCTCAACCGTCCGGAACACAAGAACCACTGGTGGTGCTCCCATAAGCAGAGTAAGCCGCGCAGCGGTGCGCTCCAGACACTGCACACCTAGACATGTCCAGCTGTCGCACCCCTTCCATGTCCACTACATTTGCCTTTCCTGCTTTTTCTTTCTTGTCACCGCCTCAGGACGGTCCCCCCCTTTCCTTCTTGCCGCCTCCCTTTACCTTTCCGCCTACCAGTCATCCAGGCTCTCTCCGAGGTGCTTTTGTACGAGCAGCAGCCGGTGGTTCGGGCGCTGTGGGGTGAGACCAGCCGCCAGCTGGCGGAGTGCTCCGAATGCATCCGGCACTACCGAGCAGCGCAGCCGAGCTACACAACCTCCCTGGAGCACAAAAAGGTGACTCCAGAGAAACTCGGTGACTTGGGAAGGATCTACGGTATGATGGGGACTTAGGGTTGAATTTCGGTGTACGGCTGATATGGGTACGACTGGCGCTTGCTGTACTCACCGTCCCTAGCTGCTCTCCTAGCCCTCTACCTATCCTCAACGCCACCTCCCTAACACCAGGCCCGCACGCTTCTAGACGTCCTAGCACGTCGCGACGCAGAGCGCGTCGCCAGCTGGCTTGCAGAAGCCGAAATAGCACAGCAACTGCACCAACAGCAACAGGACCCAGATGGCGTAGCAGCAGCCTGGGTACCGCCCCAAAAGGTGGTCTTGGGCCTCTTCGAGGCGCTTTCGCACCCGCAGCTGCTGGCGGATGCTGACGTGGCAAGGCGGCTGGTGGAGGCGCTGCGGGTGCTGGCGAGGGAAGTGACCCCTGGGTCGCTGTCGGCGGATCTGGCGGAGGGCGGGCGGTTCCCGGGGCTGTACCTGCTGGCGGGGCATCCGGAGGAGTGGGTGCGGTCGCTGGTGAGGAGGGCTGGGTGGCGTGAACGGGGATGGGGCGGAAAGGAAGAATATCCTATGTGTGGTGTGATAATGGTATACTAGCTGAGACGGCGCGGAAGGGGGAAAAACAATATAATAAATGCAAACAACTAGAGTCCCAGACCCATAACCCGACTCATGCAGTGAGTGCGCGGAAGGGGGAAGGATGGGCCTAGGAGAAGGACGGAGGCGCACGCGGGCGAACGATGGGATGGCATATTACATCTACCGTACCATGGCAAGCGGCGAGTTTCCCTGCTGCCCGCCCCCGCTCCCTCGGACATTGATGTATCTGTCGTTCCTTGACCCACATGCACCACCATGTCTGGCCTCAGGTAGTCCCGGCCATCCAGCGGCTGGGACCCATACCCACATGGGAGGAGGCCCAGGAGGCGCAGCTAGATGCCGTACTGACGCAGTGGACGAAACAGATGCGTCGGGAGCTGGCGCCACTGACCCATGGGTCACCGCCGCCGCCAGCGTCTACGACGGGTCCTGGCGGGCGGCCGCTGTTCGTACAGCCGCTGGATTCCCTGTGGCTGGGGCTGAAGGTGCTGCTGCAGGCGTTACAGCCGCCAGCCATGATGGGCGCTCTGGCGGCGGCGCCAGACCTGCCGTCGGCGCTGTTTGCGCACGTGCTGACGTGGCGACAGCGCGCCGCCGACGGCGCCGCTGCGAAGGCGGCAGGTACGACAGCGGAAGCCGCGGCGCCGCAACCGCCAAGTTCTTTTCGCCATTTGCTTGGGTGTCTGATGCCTTTGGCCCGGCGGATGAGCGGCGGCGAGCTGACGGCGGCGTGTACGGCAGCTTTGACGGCGGCGGCGGCAGTCGCTGGTAGCGGCAACGGCGCTGACGTCGAGCCCGGTGTGGTTGCTGTAACGGCCGCACTTGCTGACGCTGCATCCAGTACTACTGACGTCTCTTTCCACAAGGTAGGACTGTACAATACCACGATTATACGCCGGTTCGCTTGCATGTATGACATACGGTACGACGTGTTAGGAAGCCTTACCCCTTTCCTCTTTCCTTAACTTTCTTTAATGTGTTTCCTGCCTTCCCACTGTTTCATCGCAGCTCATCACGGACCTAGGCGGCCTGCTGCTGGGGGCCCTGTGCCGCGACCCAGCTATCCCGTCTCGACCCCTACGACACATCCTGCACCTTCTGCTACGGCAAATCCACGGCGCCTCCTTCGCATTGCCGTACAACGGCGGGGCATACGTGCCGTACAATGCGCTGTGCCGTGCAACCGCCGCCCTGGCGGCGTTTAGCGGCGTGGCGGCGGCGGTTGGCGGCGGCGGTGGCCGTTGTCCTGCGTTCGCATCGGACTTGTACGGGCAGGCTGCGGTACAGGCGGTGATGACGCTGCCGGCGCCTCCGGGGGGTGCAGCCGCGGCGGCGGCGGCAGCAGCGGCTGCCGCCGCGGCTGCAGCGGTGTCTCCTGCAGGGGTGTTGGAGAGACGCATGGTTGAGGGCGCGGCTGACGTGCTGTGTATTGTACTGCAGGTGAGCTCCTGTTGCCGTACATGCTTGTCTTGGTATGCCGTTACTCGGTTACTCCAATGTCAGGCCTCCACTCCACGCTTGAGGCGCGTTGCACTAGATGGCGATCTGCTACCGGACCTAACCGGACCTAACGGTTTGCCATGACCGTGTAAACACGCAGGCAGATGCGACCGCTCTAGCGGCGGTCCTGGACCCCTCACGAGCCGTCAACGCCGGGTTTCCCGCCACTCCCAACCCCACCGCCGCCAGCAGCCGCCGTCGCATCTGCCCCGCCGCCGCTGACGCCCTCGCTGACCCTTACGACGACATTCGTACGGCAACAACCACCCTAACCACCAACAACGCCGTGACCAGCATCGCAACACCCGCCTCTCTGGGAGGCCTTGCCGTCGGCGCCGCTGCCAGCGGCGCCACCACTGCCGTCGCCACCGCTGCTTGCGAGCGTGCCTTGGCCACCCTAGACAGCTACTGCTGTACCCCCGCTGCTTACCTGGCAGTGGCAGGGTGCCCCCATCCGACGGTGGCGCTAGCGCTTCTGCTGGCAGCGGGGCATTTGGCGGAGGTGGACGGCCCGACGGCGGCGGCGGCGGGAGCGATGGGTGAGGAAGCTGACGGTGCCGGTGGTCCGACTTCGTCGTCATCGTCCTTCCTGGCGGCGACTCAGTGGCCTGTACGGCCGAGGCTAGATGGGCCCAACGGTTGTGCGGTTGCCGTACGACAATGCCCGGGGTTGCTTTTGGAGCAGTTGCGACAGGCAGCGGGTGAGTGCTACGGCGCCTGTATTGCCCCCTGCTTGATAGGTAGGAAACAAGGAGAATGAACCCGTAAACGCGGTTGGTTGGATGGGACTACCGGCGCTACGCTAGCCTGCATACGGTACACGCGGGCATCATGTACCTTGCCATTACTGTCATACTTCTTACCATGCATCCTCACATCCCATGTGAGTAGGTGGAACCCTTTTTGCACGAGTATAGTATGTAACCCCGTACCATCCTATGCCCCCAGTCGTACACCTGCAGCGAGCAGCGGCTGAGGCGCACGTGCTAGGCATCGCAGCGGACCGGCTGCCCGGCGGCCCGCTGGCGCCGCTGCCGCCTCCGCGCGCCGACCTGCCGCCGCCTGCTGACGTGGCGCGCGACGTGGCGGCGCGGACGGAGGGAGCGGCGCTGTCGGCGTTGCTGCGGCTGGTGTGCGGAGCGCATGCGGGGCTGCGGTAGGGGCCAACAGGCAGCAGCCTAGTCACTCTCGCGTTCCTCCTTCCTCCTCCCTCTCCCGCCATGCCCACCGGTATCTCCCGTCTCTACAGGGCCTCCAGCACAAAATCCATTAACTGCGCCTGCCGTACACCCAGCCTTTCCCTCCTCTCTTCCGCGCCCCGCCCCTGCCGCCTCCTCCTCCTCAGGTCTGCAGCAGAGGCGGCGCTAGTATCCCACTTTCTGGACCCCGCCAGGGCTGAAGCAGCCGCGGCAGCGGCTGCTAAAGACGACTTCGCAGCTGCTACAGCCGGCGGGGGCGGCAGCAACGTAACCGCCACCGTCACCACCAACTGCATCAGTAGCAGTACCAGCCTGAGCGGCAGCGGCCCCCTCAAAGTGGCCCTGAGTGAGGGCTGGCTGGTGGCTTCGGAGCAGCATGCGCATGTCGTACTGAGCACCTGCGGGGGCATCATAGATGAGCTGTCAGGCGTAGGGCCGGTGGAGAAGGTGGGGGTGCCAAGGGGGGGGAGGGTCTGAAGGAGGGATTGCACAGGGGACAGGCTCAGGCGTGGGGTTAGGGCAGGGGGGCGCAGGCGTAGGCTCCTCCTTGCTTCACCCCTTCTCCTCTCCCTCCCTCCCCCTCCCTCCCCCCCTCCCTCCCCTCCCTCCCCTCCCTCCCCCCCCTCCCTCCCTCCCCCCCTCACAGCTCATGAGCAGCCCCCGCCTGGCGCCCAGTCTGGCATGCATGCAGGTGGGTGGGTGGGCGGGTGATGAGGGGAGAGGTCAGCTTCAATCGGGGGGGGGGCGAATGGTTACCGGTACGATTGCGGGGTGGGTGGATGGGTGTTGGGACACTTCCACTACCGTACAATACGTCACTACCCCCACGAGGGGCGCACCCCTAACCCCTACCTCCTCCTCCTCCCTCTCTCCCTCCCTCCTCCTCCCCGGCCCCCCTACAGGCAGTGCTGCTGGCCTGCTCCGACCACGACCCCCTCCACGCGCCCGCCTTCGAGCTGGCCTGCCGCACCTGGGCGCTCATGGTGCGGGTGCTGGAAAAGGTGAGGGAGAGGGGTGGTTGGGTGGGAGGGGGGGGGAGATATACCAGAAACACAGGTTGGGGGGGGGTGGGGGGCGGAAAGGGAGCGGGAGAAAGGAGCGGGGAGGCAATGCAAGTGAGAGCCCCCGAGCTGTGAGGGAGCTCTTTGGGCCCTGGCGGTCCGACACAGCCACAGCCGGACCGGAGTAGGAGATGGCGTCAACCTGGAGCAGTGGGCTGGGGGGGGGGAGGAAACAGCTAACTGACCGGGCTGGAGGGACGCTGTTTGCCCACAGGGGAACCTTTCGCACCACTCACCCGCCAAGCCACATGCCCTTCCCTTGGCTCACCGCCCCTCCCACAAACCCCTCCCTCAACCTCCACCCTCCACCCACCTCCCACCCCACCCCCACCCCCATGCCGCCTGCAGGGCCTGCCCGCCTACCTGTCCCGCCCCGCCTGCCGCCCCGCCGTACCGCCCCTGCTGGCGCTGCTGCGGCTCTGCTGGTACTTCCTGCTGCAGGTGGGTAAAAAATATATATGATGAGACACTGACGAAGCAACTGACGAGCTGTATGACAAGGCTTCACCATTCACCTGCTGCAGGTGGGGGGGAGGGGGGTTGAGGTGGAGGGAAGGAAGCAAGGGAACAAAGGATTACCAAGCGTCGCACGCCCCCTGTCACGCCTCTGCTTCCTACCTGTTCTACCTGGTCTCCTCCCACCAACCGCACCCGCCCAACTTCTCCAGCCTCCTCCTCCCTCACCGCACCCGCTTCCTCCTTACCCTCCCTCCCTCCCTCCAGGCGCCCCCAGGTCGCGCCCCCGCCCCCCGCCTGCTCCGCGCCTGGCTGCCCGCCCTGATGCGCTGGCTACCCGCCCTCGCCTCCCTCCACCAGCCTCCCCCTCCTCCTCCTGCTCCTGTTCCTCCTCCCTGCCTGGAGGTGTCCCTGCTGGTGGGTTCCCTGGAGCTGATGATGGGCACGGTGCGGGACATGGGGCCGCTGGGGCAGGAGGCGCTGGCGGCGGCTAGGGAGGTGCTGAGGGGGGCGGTGGGAGGAGGAGGAGGAGGTGGGGGGCAGCAGCAGCAGCTGGGGGCGGGTGTGAGGGCCCGACTGGCGGCGTTGTTCCCAGAGGTTGCAGGCAGGCAGGCGGAGGGACAGGAGGTGGGGGAGAGGGATAGGCAGCCGGTAGGTAGGGCTGTAGCAGCGGTGGCGGCAGCGGCAAGGCCGGGTGTGGCGGGTCTGACCGCGGGTCCCGTACAGCCAGCACCGGGCAGACCCATGGGTCGGTCGGAAGCAGGAGGCGGAGGTGGAGGTGAGGTGGTGGACCTCACCGTGGATGAGGAGGAGCAGGAGCAGGAGGCGGCTGTGGTGGTGGGGGCGGGTGGAGAGGGAGGGGCAGGGGAGGGGGAAGAGGAGGTGGGGACGGATGTCGTGGAGGAGACGGAGGACCTGGAGGAGGAGCAAGAGGAGGAGGTGGTGATGCTTGGGGAGGAGGAGGTGGCGATACTGCAGCAGCGGCAGCAGCAGCAGCAGCGGCAACGGCAGGGTGCGACGGCGGCAGCGGCAGGTGGCGCAGCGGACGTGTATGCCTTTAATGAAGAAGAGGAGGGTGGTGGTGACGGGGACGAAGGCGGGACCGGGGATGCCGGGGAGGAGGTGGTGGGTGAGGAATTCGAGACGGAGGCGGAGCTGCTGCTGGGGCGACTGCAGCTGCAGCAGCAGCAGCAGCGGCGGGGAAGAGCACCCATGGTGGGAGCAGGAGGAGCAGCAGCGGCAGGAGGAGCACCTTCCAGCGATCCGCAGCACCAGCACCAGCAGGAGTCATGGCAGGAAAGGCAGCCGCCGACACAGCAGCAGCACCAGCACCCGCGGCAGGCTGCTTCGGGGGTGGAGGTGGTGGCTGCTCCTGGAGGAAGCGCAGCAGCGGACGGCAACATCGGCAGCAGCGGAGCCGGCGGCAACGCGAACAACCCCTTCGCCGTACCGCCGCGGCCGACCCGAGCAGATGCGGCGGCGGCGGCGGCAGCAAGTGCGGGAACGGTGCCCAAGGCGCCGACGGCTGCGAAATCGTTCTCGACGGCCGCAACTAGCAGTGACGGGCCGGCTGTTTCTGTAGCTGCTGCTACAGCTGCTGCGGATAGGGCCAGTGTGTTCGACACCATGCGAGCCATCGAGTGAGTGAACAAGTCTGGCTCGTTTCTTCCTTTTACGGTAGTTCTTTGTCAGGTCTGGATGCCAAGGGCGCCAAGGCCGCACTATTAGGACAGCGACAGCCATTGGCCCTGACATCCTAGCCTTAGCCGGTGGCCCCTCAAGGAGAGGTCCAATTACAGGGAATGCTCCCTCCTTCCTCTCCTCCTCTTGTCCCCTCTGCCCGCTCCCTCCTACCTCGTCTGCTCCTGTCCCCTCGCCCCCTCCCTTCTTGCAAACCATGATGACACCTTATCGCACGGTCAGTTACTTGTTTCCTCCCTTCCCTCCCTGACCTTACTTTCCACACCCGCAGATCCGCGCTAGTCCGCACCGCCCGCTCCGCCCGAGCCGCCCCCGCACCCCACCACCCCCACCAACCGGGCGGCAACAGCGGAGCAGCAGGAGCAGGAGCAGGAGCAGCAGCAGGAGCAGGAGGTGCAGCCGCAGACGCAACACGTGTAGGAGAGGTGGACCTGGTCAAATCATGGCAGACCCTCAACAAGCTAAAGCAGGCGGTGGCAGCGGCAGCCGCAGCAGCAGGAGGCAGCGGCGCCGCTACCCGTTCCCGCAATAGCAGGAAAGCGCCCCGCGCTGCCGCCGCCGCCGGTGTCCCCGGCATGACAGCGAATGCGGAACAGCAGCAGCAGCCGCAGCCTCGGTCGGAGTGGTGGCCGGAGCAGTGGCAGAAGGGAGGTGCAGGCGCGGGCGGTGGGGGTCAGGCACGGACAGCGGGAACAGCAGCAACGGGTGCTGGTGCTGCGGCTCGGTCTGGGAAGGCTGAGAAGTGGCGGCGGGAGCTGCTTGGCCGGATAGAGCGCAGCATGTCACCGGAGCATGAGGAGGGAGGAGGAGGACGGGGGCGCGGAGGGGGAGGAGGCGGGTTGGAGGGGGCAAGGAGGGTTAGGGGGTGGGGCGTGGGAGGAGGTGGGAGAGGTAGCGGAAGTGAGGGCGGTGCTGCTGGTGGTGCTGGTGGCAGCACAGCAGTGGGTGCAGCAGCAGCAGCAGTTGTATCCCTACCCGTTGCGGATCCGCTGTTGCAGCAGCCCCTGCCGAGCTTGAGGTACGTGCGGGGAAGGGGGAAAGATTACGCGAGCCCCTAGACGGAGGATAAAGACAGAAACCGATATAGTAGACAATCATACTGACTACCGTAGGCTGCCGTAGGCAAACCAACTCGCCGTACACACACGGTGGGGGTCTTGACACGATGGCGCCCTCCTTCCCTCCACCAGGGCCCTCCACCAGCAACAACGAGCCGCCGAGGCAGCCGCCGCTCAATCCACCGCAGCAGCAGGCGCCGGCACCCGGTCCGTCTCCCCTCCTGCAGCACCCGCTGCCGCTGCCACCACCGCCGTTTTGGTCATTGACGACGAAGACTCCCTCTTTGGCGACGCAGCAGCCGCCGCCAACGCCGCCCCAGCAGCAGGGGGAGGCGCAGGAGCAGGCGGGGGGCTGCTGCAGGGGGTCAGGGGGCGGCTGGGGCTGGGGTTGGGGCTCATGGCGGCGGCAGGGGCGGCGGCGGCGCCCCGGGCGAGAGGAGTGGTGCACTTGGAGACTGCGGGGCTGAGGGGCGGGGCGGCAGCGAAAGGTAGGAGGAGCGGAGGGAAGAGGGCTGCTGCGGCTGCCGTCCCTGTCTTCACTGTGGCAGCGTGCGTGGACCCATCAGCATGCGTGTATCGCTCTGGTCCCCCTTGAGAGATCGTCATTCCCCCTCCCTTGCTTCCTCCTCTTCCCGCCCGCCCTCCTCATCCTCGCGTGCTTTTACACTTCCTTTTCTTTACTCCCCCCCTCTCTTCCCTCCCGCATCCCTCCCTCCTCTCCTGCCCTCGCCCGCAGCCCCGCCGCTGCCGCCCCTCGTGCCCGTGCTGCACATGCGGCAGGTGGTACGGCAGGTCGTACAACTGGGCATGGAGGTACTGCTGCCCGGGTACGGCAGCGGCGGCGGCGGTTCGTCTTCCTCCTCCGCTAGTGCTGCTGGCGGCGGCGGGTTCAGCGCTGCGTTGACCGCCTCCCACTCGGCGCTGCGGCGGCTGTCGGTGCCCGTCAGCTTCATCAACCTCCAGCACTACACGGATGTGTTCAGGTGCGAAGGCTGGAACTTCAATAACGGTGGCGAACCCGTACTACCTTACCTTACCCTTCCAACTGCCCATTCACATGCCAACACATTCGCCACTCACCAGCTCCCGCCGCGCACACATGCCCTATACGTCCCACCCGTGACCCATGGGTCATCTCCCCCCCCCCGCACACACACCTATCTTCACACCCGCTCCCCACCCCGCGCGCCCCACAGGGCCCTGCTGATTGAGGAGCTCGCAGCCGCAGTTCGCAGCAGTGTGGAGGACCTGGCAGCAGGAGGCGGCAACAGCAGCAGCGGTGGTGGTGGTGCTGGTGGTGGTGGCGGTGGGCCCCCCGCCATTCGCGCTCTGGTGAGCTCGCTCCAGCGCACGGACGACGTGCACAGCGTGACCCTGACGGTGGAGGGCGGGCCGGCGCAGCGGGACATGTGCAGGCCGGTGAGGAGGAGGGGTGGGTGGGTGGGACGTAGGGAGGGAGAGTGGCATGACTGCATGAGAAAGGGGCATGAGTACACGCTACCGACACCGTCTTCCGACAATTCAGTACGGACCTGCTTGCGGCCAGCTTGCTTTCCACACCACCCTCCTCTCCCCTCCCCTCGCCGTTAGTTGCCTCGTCAGTTTCCCTTTTTTACCCCCCTCCCCTTCCCCTCCCATCCTTTATTCCCCTGCCCAGGAGGACCTGGTGTTGCTCACCCGGCGTCCGCTGCCCGGTGCTGCCTCGCTGGCCCGCCCGTCCGCCCCCTGCGTGCTGGGGGTGGTGACGGAGGTGGCGCAGGAGGGGGCGGGCGGGCCGGGGGGGCTGCTGGGGGGCTGCTGTGTCACGGTGCAGGTAGGAAAGGGGGGGGCGGGAGGGTGGCGGGGGCGGGGGCGGGGGGAAGAGCTTGATGGTTGGGGTGGCAGCAAACCAAGCAAGCCGTCGCAGCCCTCACTTCTCTGCCCCTCTTTCCCCGCATCTTTAGCCCTCGCGGGCATCGACTTCCGCTCCTCCCCCTGCCCCCTACTGGACGTCACACCCTGCCCGCCTGCCTGCCTGCCTGCCTGCCTGCCTGCCCTCCCGCTCGCAGGTGTGTCTCAATCCCCCCTCCACCGCACCCGGCCCCCTGCTCCTCGATGCCACTGCTCCTGCTGGCAGTGGTGGCGGGGTGCGTCTCGAGGGCTGCCTGCTGCCGCGCACCGAGTGGCACCTCACCTCGCTGCACTCGCTGGTGCCGCACTTCAGGGAGTTCGCGGTGAGGGGCGGGGGGTAGCGCGGGAGGGGTTAGGGAGAGGGGAAGAGCAGGAGGGCAGAAGCACGGGAGGGGGGTTAGGGAGGAGCAGGAGGGCGGGAGTGCTTTCTTTTTCTTACCATCACCAACACTCCCCCTTCATCTCTTCCTTCCTTCCCTCCTTCCTTTCCCCCGCAGGCCCTCTGCAACCTGCCCCGCCTGCACGAGCCCACCGTGCGCTTCCTGCTCAACCCCCAAGGACACCAACAGCAGCAGCAGCAGCAGGCCCCCCAGCACCGCCCCTCCTCCTCCACCTCTGAGGCCTCCGCCCCCCCCTGCTGGGAGGCCGCCGCGCTGCCGCCGCCCCTCAAGGCCGCCCTGCATGCCGCCTTCAACGAGGGGCAGCGCGGGGCCATTCTGGCGGCACTGGACACCGCACGGCAGTTCACACTGGTGCAGGTGTGTGTGTAGAGTATGTGTGTGTAGTGTATGTGTGTGTAGTGTATGTGTGTGTAGTGTGTGTGTGTGTAGTGTGTGTGTGTAGAGTATGTGTGTGTAGTGTATGTGTGTGTAGAGTATGTGTGTGTAGCGTATGTGTGTGTAGTGTATGTGTGTGTAGTGTATGTGTGTGTAGTGTATGTGTGTGTGTAGTGTATGTGTGTGTGTAGTGTATGTGTGTGTAGTGTATGTGTGTGTAGTGTGTGTGTGTGTAGTGTATGTGTGTGTAGTGTATGTGTGTGTAGTGTATGTGTGTGTAGTGTATGTGTGTGTGTAGTGTATGTGTGTGTAGTGTATGTGTGTGTAGAGTATGTGTGTGTAGAGTATGTGTGTGTAGTGTGGGGGGGAGGGTTAGCTCTTAGCTGCTCCTGCTCCCCGGGCCAACCCACGCTCCCGCTCCGCAACCTACCTACCCTCCCCACCTGCTCCCCCCTTTCACTTTTCATTCTTCCCCCCTTCCTCTCCCCTGCAGGGCCCCCCGGGGACGGGTAAGACCTCAGCCATCATGGGTATGGTTTCGGTGCTGCTGGCGCGGCCCGACATAGCGCAGTACAAGGCGGCGCTGGAGGCGGGGGAGCCCACAAAGTACGACAGAGGCGCTGGCGGCGGTGCAGATGCCGGCGGCGGCGGCGGCAGGGTTGGCGGCCGGGCTGCGGCGGCGGCGGGTCGGGGAAGCAGGCTGGCGGCTTCTGGTGGTGGTAATGTTGGTGGCGGAGGTGGAATGACGAAGGGAGGGCCGCTGAAGAAGTCCTCTGCAGCCAAGCGTTACGAGGCGGCTAAAGCGGCGGCAGCGGCAGCAACGGCGGGGACGAAGGCGGCGAAGGCAGGAGGCAAGGGTACTACGGCGGCGGAGGCAGCAGGAAGTGGTGAGGAGGGGACAGCAGCAGCGGCGGCAAAGGAGGCAGGCAACGGTGGCGGTGGCGGCGGTAGCGATGGAGGCGGGGGTCGCGATCCCTATGCGCCACCGCCGGCCAAGCAACCGCGATGGGGCCCGTCGCCGGCAACGACTGCCACCGCCAAGGCGACTGCCACCGGTAGCGGCGGCGGCGGCGCCTCCTCGTCTTCCCTAACGACGACGAAGGCAGCGTCCTCATCCCCAACGCCTCCTCCGTCGTCCGCAACGACGGCCCCCCAGGCTGCTCTAGATGCCTTTGACTTTGCCGTGCAGCCGCGCTGCCGGGTGCTGGTGTGTGCACAGGTGAGTCCATCCGTACGTACATGGTGGCCGTACTGCCGTATTGCCCGACAGGCGGGGATGTACGACGTACTGTTCGGGACGTGCGTGTTGCTGCTGTGTTGGGACACACGCTCCTCGCTGTTGGTGTTGTCGTGTCGCCTCGTCTCGTTCGGTTGATCACCCTAGTGGCAAAGCGGCAACCCGCTAATCATGCGTGCATGCATGCATGCTGTTGTGTCTGTGTTAAGAAAACTGGCCATGTGTTAAGAAAACTGGCCATGTGTTAAGAAAACTGGCCATGTGTTAAGAAAACTGGCCGTGTGTTAAGAAAACTGGCCGTGTGTTAAGAAAACTGGCCGTGTGTTAAGAAAACTGGCCGTGTGTTAAGAAAACTGGCCATGTGTTAAGAAAACTGGCCGTGTGTTAAGAAAACTGGCCGTGTGTTAAGAAAACTGGCCGTGTGTTAAGAAAACTGGCCGTGTGTTAAGAAAACTGGCCGTGTGTTAAGAAAACTGGCCGTGTGTTAAGAAAACTGGCCGTGTGTTAAGAAAACTGGCCGTGTGTTAAGAAAACTGGCCGTGTGTTAAGAAAACTGGCCGTGTGTTAAGAAAACTGGCCGTGTGTTAAGAAAACTGGCCGTGTGTTAAGAAAACTGGCCGTGTGTTAAGAAAACTGGCCGTGTGTTAAGAAAACTGGCCGTGTGTTAAGAAAACTGGCCGTGTGTTAAGAAAACTGGCCGTGTGTTAAGAAAACTGGCCGTGTGTTAAGAAAACTGGCCGTGTGTTAAGAAAACTGGCCGTGTGTTAAGAAAACTGGCCGTGTGTTAAGAAAACTGGCCGTGTGTTAAGAAAACTGGCCGTGTGTTAAGAAAACTGGCCGTGTGTTAAGAAAACTGGCCGTGTGTTAAGAAAACTGGCCGTGTGTTAAGAAAACTGGCCGTGTGTTAAGAAAACTGGCCGTGTGTTAAGAAAACTGGCCGTGTGTTAAGAAAACTGGCCGTGTGTTAAGAAAACTGGCCGTGTGTTAAGAAAACTGGCCGTGTGTTAAGAAAACTGGCCGTGTGTTAAGAAAACTGGCCGTGTGTTAAGAAAACTGGCCGTGTGTTAAGAAAACTGGCCGTGTGTTAAGAAAACTGGCCGTGTGTTAAGAAAACTGGCCGTGTGTTAAGAAAACTGGCCGTGTGTTAAGAAAACTGGCCGTGTGTTAAGAAAACTGGCCGTGTGTTAAGAAAACTGGCCGTGTGTTAAGAAAACTGGCCGTGTGTTAAGAAAACTGGCCGTGTGTTAAGAAAACTGGCCGTGTGTTAAGAAAACTGGCCGTGTGTTAAGAAAACTGGCCGTGTGTTAAGAAAACTGGCCGTGTGTTAAGAAAACTGGCCGTGTGTTAAGAAAACTGGCCGTGTGTTAAGAAAACTGGCCGTGTGTTAAGAAAACTGGCCGTGTGTTAAGAAAACTGGCCGTGTGTTAAGAAAACTGGCCATGTGTTAAGAAAACTGGCCGTGTGTTAAGAAAACTGGCCGTGTGTTAAGAAAACTGGCCGTGTGTTAAGAAAACTGGCCGTGTGTTAAGAAAACTGGCCGTGTGTTAAGAAAACTGGCCATGTGTTAAGAAAACTGGCCGCGAGTGTGTGTGTTCAACTGTTCATGCCTTTGTCTGCCTGCCTGCCTGCCTGTCTGCCTGTCTGCCGCCATGCAGTCCAACGCCGCTATCGACGAGCTGCTCACGCGGCTGGCGGAGGAGGGCGTGTGGCGGGCGGACGGCAGCAGGCGCCCGCCGGCAGTGGTGCGGCTGGGGCGAGTGGAGGTGAGGGGGCTGGGGATGGGTGGGGGCTGGGTACATGAGGGCTGGGACTGGTCGGGGCTAAGGACTGTGGGGACGTGAGGAGGGCGCAACATGCGTGGCTGCGCAACATCTGCTGCCGTACACCTCCTCAAGGCGACTCTCCTTACGTCATCCGTACAACCAGCTGCTGGTCATGCTTGCGCCATCTCCGTTGGCTTGCGCCGGCGTTGTATAGCTCCCTCCACCGTTGAATGAAGCTTGTGTTGCCCCGCGTGTGGCCCCTCTCCTCCCCTGTCCCCTGTCCCCCCCCCCCAGGTGGCCCATGGGTCGGTGATGGCGCTCCACGTGGACTCCTTAGCGGAGCAGCTGGCGGGCCGCCACACGGGCAGTACGGCAGCCGGCGTGGCGCTGGAGGAGGCGAGGAAGTGGGTGATGGGGGTACCTGGCGTGGGGCTTGGGGGAGCGGGGTGCTTTGGGTTGGGCATGGGGCTTGGGAGGGGGAGAGGTAAACAGGAGGAAAGGCTGCGTGTGTCATCGCCTCCATACCCTGCCGTACACCATCCTGCTCCGCAGGGAGGTGACGGACGCGCGGAAGAGGTTTGAGGAGGTGAGCGGCTGCTGTGGGATTGTAGGTGGTACCGCTTGGGGTTCTACCCGCTTGTGTGCCTTGGCGCGACCCCGCAGTTTTGCTTCAGCCTCTTCCCCTTCTTAGCCTGCGCTTTAGGGGCCGTCGTCCGTTGTGGCTTGTGGCATACCTTGTGAAGGGCTGATGCGATCCATGTGCTGTCCTCTCCGCCTCTCCGCCCTGTTTCCGCTTCAGGTGTCGTACGACCTGGAGCAGTTGGAAAGGAAATTGGCAACACGGCAGCAGAAGCACAAACCCAAGCAGCAGCAGCAGGGTGACAGCTCTTCCGTCTACAAGAAGGAGGGCCAGGAGGAGCAGCAGCAGGAGGAGGGAGGTCGGGCCCCCAGCCGTCGATGCAGTGACAACGGCAGTACCGGCAGCGGTGCTGCTGCTGCCGCTGCCGCTGCTGCTAAGAAGGATCAGCGGCCAGCTAAGGCTAGGGCCAGGTCTAAGCCCAGGGAGGGGGCAGATGGGGGTGATGACATGGACTTGTGCAGTGGTGGTTCTGACGGGTCCGGGTCGGACGGGAGCGGCTCGGACGGCTCAGACGCCTCACTCGAAGAGGGCGAGGAGGAGGAGGGCGGCGGCAGGCGACGCAAGCAGCAGAGGCGGCGGCGGCAGTCTCGGGCAGCAGGGAGAGACAAGGCGGGCGCAATATCCGTTGACAACGACGGCGGCGGTGGTGGTGGTAGAGTGAAGGAGGCGGCGAACGGCAAGGCCCAAGCTGGTGATGCTAGTGGTGGCGATGTCGATGGTGATGGTGATGGTGAGGATGAGGAGGACGAGGTGGTGTTGGCGGCCCGAGTGGCAGCACTGCAGCGGCAGAAGCAGCAGCTGTGGGAGCGGTTCAAGGTGGGAGGTGGTGGGAGGTGGGGAGATGTGTATGTGGGGGGGTCGACGGGATTCATGTGAACCACATACACTGACCGGTTAGGACTTAACGCGGGCGGGCGGAGCGGAGCGGACTCCTGGACCTGCTCCTTGCGTTGCCTGTGTTTGTATGCCCTGCCCAGCTACCCCTTGTGTCGTGCTGTCTAACTAGCCTGCTTTCTGCTCTCAACGCATCCTACCTCAGTACCTCCTCCTCACCTCCTCATCCCTCACCCCCCCCAACCTGTGGTCTCCTATGGTTTGACATGGTCTTTGCCCCCCCCCCACCTTCCCCTCACCTCCCCCCAGTACACGGAGCGCACTCAGCGGCGGGGCACTCGGGAGGTGGAGCGGCAGCGCAGGGAGCGGCGGCAGGTGGGGCGGGGGGCGGGGGGCGGGGTGGGAAAGAAAGAAAATTCACAGAAAGAAATTCCAATGTGGGGTGGGGTGGGGCGGGGGGCAGCTGGGGTAAGTATGAAGAAACGGACGAGCTGTATGACAACAAGGCCTCACCAGGGGGGGCAGACCTGGCCAGCCCTACCCGAGTCAGGCAGCGGGGCAGCGGGACGGAGAGGGGGAGGGAGAGCGAGGGAGGGACCTTCTCCCTCCTCGTCGGTCCTCGACCGCTGACACCCACTTCCTGTCACGCCCCGCCTCCCGCTTGCCGCTCTTACCGCTGCTGTTGCAGGCTGTTGTGTTGGCGGCCGAGGTGGTGGTGACCACTCTGTCCAGCTCGGGAGGCGACCTGGCGCAGCTCTGGAGCGCTGCCACCCACACCGCTGCAGCAGCTGCAGCAGCAGCTGCAGCGGCAGGGGGGAGCAACAGCAACACCGCCGCTACCGGCAGTGCTGCCACTGCTGCTTCTGCTTCTGGTAGCGGTACCTCCGGTGCAGGTGGTGGCGGGTTGCTGCTGCCCGCGGGCGCACCGCGTTTCGACGCGCTGATCATCGACGAGGCGGCTCAGGCGCTGGAGCCGGCCGCACTCATACCGCTGCAGCTGCTGCAGCCGGGGGGCAAGGTGGGGGGTCGCAAGGGGGGGCTAGCTGGGCTGCATATTGGCATGGTGTTGAGGGGCCTAAGAATGCTGGCTCGTTGGTTCTTCCCGCCGCCATACCCGGTTCCCTTGCCTTCCCCTCCCTCTCCCCCACCCTCCCTCTTCCCCCTCCCCTCCCCCTCAGGTGATCCTGGTGGGCGACCCCCGCCAGCTGCCCCCCACCGTGCTCTCCCGCGCCGCCGAGGCCGCCCGCCTGTCGCAGTCGCTGTTCGAGCGGCTGCAGGCGGCGGGCTGCCGCGTGTGCCTGCTGGCGCGGCAGTACCGCATGCACCCGCACATCAGCAGGTGGGCGGGACGGGGGGCAAAGGGAGCGTGGAGAGGGAAGGAGCGCAGAGGGGAAAAAGGGATACCGGTACCCAATGTGTTGAATGAGAAGCCCCTCTGCTCTGCTCAAAGCCCCTCTGCTCTGAGGAGGAGAGCAGAGGGGAAGAGAGGTTAACTACTTAGTTGTCGGATCCTATAACATGGAGGAGGACCTTAACGCCACACTTAGCGTCCTCTTCTCACCTTCCAACCTCACTCCCTCCCACCTGCCCCCCCACCTGCAGGTTCCCCTCCGCCTACTTCTACGACGACGAGTTGCGAGACGGGGAAACCATCACGCCCGCCTCCCGCGCCGCGCCCTGCCACTCCCACCCGCTCTTCGGGCCCCTAGTGCTCCTGGACTGCAGGGAGGGCAGGGAACGCGCCGGTGGCGGCGGCGGAAGCGGTCGCGGCTCTTCGTCTTCCGGCGGGGGCGGCGGCGGCGGCGGCTCCCTCCGAAACCTCGCCGAGGCTGACCTCGTGGCAGAGCTCTACGCCGGCCTGACCTCTCGCTTCCCAACCTACCGCCCCCGCATCGCCATCCTCACCCCCTACCGAGCACAACTAGCCACCCTACGTGCCGCGCTGCGCTCCAGGGGGGGCGTGCGAGATGAGGATCTCGCCTCGAGGATCGACATTGCAACCGTGGATGGATACCAGGGCCGTGAGGCGGATGTGGTGATTTTTTCGGCGGTTAGGGCGAAGCCGCCGGCGGCGGTTGGTGGAGGTGGAGGCGGAGGAGGAGGTGTGGGTTTTCTGGCGGATGTACGGCGGATGAATGTGGCGCTCACGCGCGCTCGGTGTTGCTTATGGGTGGTATGCCACGTGGACACCCTGGCGGGCAGTCCGCCGTGGTTGGCGTTACTGAAGCACGCCGCGACCCATGGGTCACTTCTGGCTGCGCCCACGCCGCTGCGTCGGCTGATGGACACGCCGGCGGATCGTGTGGCGGCGGCGTACGGCATTTCGGAAGGGCAGCTTGAGGAACGTTTGGCGATGACAATGCCGGCTGTCGCAGCAGCGACAGCGCGGCCATTGGGTGTCGCTGCTACTGCTGCTGCTACCTCTGTTGATGCCACGGGTGCTGCTGCCGCCGCCCGTGTCACGGGTGGTGCAGCAGCTGCGGAACGGAGCAGGGAGCGGAGCCGCCACCGTACGGCGACACTGCCAGAAGGGGCTTCAGGAGGAGGGTTAGGAGATAGAGCGGCCACAGCAGCTGCTGCAGCAGCAGCAGGGGGAGGTACAACATCAGCGGCAGCAGGAGGAGGGTCAGGGGCCCCGGCACGTGGTGCTCCCCCTCCTTCGAAGGGCGCCTCCATGCGACCGCCCTTGCCGCCCCCGCACAACGCATCAGTGGCTGCGGCTGCAGGGCCATCAGCAGGGGCGCAGCAGAAGCCCCGCTTTGGCGCCTCTCGTCTGGCGGCAGCAGCTGCGGCAGCAGCGGCCGCAGCTGCTGCTGCGGGTGCGGGTGCAGCGGAGGCGATGGCAGATGCTGCGCATGAGGCTAGAACAGGCCACCTGCAGGAGCGCCGTAGCATCAGCAGCAGTAGCGCAGGCGACGGTGGGGCTGGAGGGGGTAGTGATATCGGCGGGGATCCCAGCCGGGAGCGCAGCGGGAGGGCGGCTTCCCGGCAAGCCGAGGAACGAGATGCCCTCCGAAAACGGGGACGGGAACAGCAGCAGCAGCAACAGCAGCATCAAGAAAGCGGAGCCGCTGCGAGGGCTCGTCATCCGGAGGAGCGGCACCATCATCACCCCCGGCCCATTCCCCCTCCTCCTCTTCCTCCGCATGCGCAGCCGGCGGCGGCAGCAGCAGCCCTGGGGCCCAACAAGCGGCGCGCGGAGGGTCCCGCGGGGGGGGAGGGAGACGGCGTCGGTACGGCACCAGCTCGCAGCAGCAAGCTGTTTGCAACAGCGGATGCAACCGGAGCCCCGACTGCCGTACAACCGTCGCCAACTGTCTACCGGTCCGGTACTGCAAGCGCAGCAACCCTGGCGGCGGAGGGCGGGACCTCTTGCACCGTCGCACCTCCGCCTCCACCTCCGCCGCCTCCTCCTCCCCTTCCTCCAATGCCACCGCCACCCCTTCCCTCCCTTCCCTCCCTCCCATCCCTGCCACCACCCCTGCCACCAGATCCTCCTCCTCCCCTGCCCCCGCCTCCGCCATCCTCTGCTCCACCTCCCCCTGCAGCCCCGCTCCCTCGACAACCGCTGCTGCAGCCGCTGCCCGCCCATCTGCGCCCTATCCATGCACGCCCCAAGGGGCCCGGTGCTGCAGCTCCTGGAAGCTCCACCCAAGCTCAATCCGGCGCTGCCACCACTACCACTGCTTCTACTGCTGCTGCTGCTACTGCCAGGGGCGGCGGGGACGGAGGCGGCGGCGGCGGGCCGGCCATTGCGCCTCCTAGAGGTGCTTTAGCCGCGGCTGCTGCTGCCGGGACGGCTGGAGGCGGGGCTGGGGCGGCTGGGGCTGCACATGGCAGTGCGGGGGCGGGTGGGGACCCGGGGAACACCAGCCGGCATCCGGAGCGCCGGCAGCAACCCCAACCCCACCAGCACCCTGAGCGCGAGGAGCGGCAGCATCGGCATTACCACCACCACCACGGTCACCACCGCCACCACCGGAGCAGCAGCGGGGAGAGGGAGCGAGAGCGGGATAGGGATAGGGATCGAGATCGGCAGCGCGAACGGGAATGGGAGAGGCATCGGGAGAGGGAGAAGGAGCGAGAGCGGATGGATGAGCGTGGTTATGACAGGGGGCGTGACCAGGACGAGCGAGTAGAGCGGGAGGGGGAGAGGGACAGACGAGGCAGAGACGTGGGTCGGCGCGGGGTGGAGGAGGGGAGCAGCGTGCGCGATAGGAGTAGGGGCGGGGGGGAGACGGGGGACCGGGAGAGGGAGAGAGAGCGGGAGAGGAAGCGGCAGCGAGATCCTAGTCGTGAAGACGAGCGGACGCGGGGTTGAGAAGTTTGGGGCCATGCATGCATGCAGGTCTGGCAGCCGAGCTGGATGTAGGGGCGTGCTAGGGGGCATAGCGGTGGGATGTGCACACGCAGGATGTGAAGCGAGTGACAGCTGGCAGAGTGACACCGGTAACACAGGGTAACACTGTTGTGCAGGCGCAGGCAGGTGGGCAGGCGTGGCTGGCTGGCTGATGTTATCAGAGCGGGGTAGGGGGGCGTTAGTGCCGCTGCAGGAGCGGAACCGACCGGCGACAGGGGCCGCTGGAGTAGGGGGTGGACAGCTACCGGTAGCTAAGAAGGGGTTGGAAGCTAGGCTGCTAGCAGTGATGCGACCACCCGCAGGTGGTTGCAGGGGCGTCAGGTAGCGCGACCATTGCCGCGGAAGGTCACCCGCTGACACCGCATGTGCCGTACATGAATAACCTAGGGGGTCAGTCGCAACCAGGATAGGGTGGGAACCGGGTTACAAACGTGAGGAGCGCAAGGGATCTCTTGTACGGCAGCAAGCCACTGGGATAACGGCTGCCAGGCAAGCGGCACCTGGGTTCGGCTGCCTGGGGTGTTGCCGTACTCCGCGAGTAGGGCAGTTGCGCGGGTGTTGCATTGAAGGTACCGCACCATGTTCCCTTCCCACCCCAATGTAACGGCTTAATGGCGTTCCTGACGACAAGGCGGGAAGATCCGCTACAGGCAGGTTGGCCTGTCAGGAATAATATGGTGCATGGTGTGAAGGAGCTTAGGTAGGAAATTGCCTTCCGGGTACAATACGACATCTGTCGTAACCGCCGTCAGGGGCCCTGACGTGCTCGCAGGAGCGCTGTGCAACATGCCGTCGATACAAGCACAGAGGTTTGTGATTCGGCACCGGACAACACCTCCGTTCCGAAGTAACGCGCAACACCACAGGCAACGGAATGCTCATGCGCTTATGGTAGCCAAACCGTGAAACACAGGCTGGTAAATAGTACAGTACGCTAGGGTTTCGGCGGGATCGTGTGCTAGAATTAAGATTTTCTATTGGCCGACTGTCCACGGCTGCACAGTTCATTGGACAATTTCCTTTGCGCGTGCTGTACGGCAGGTGGCGATCCGTTGGTGTGCGTTTCGTCCTTGCAACTGTGCGTTATGTTTAGTTGTTGTTATTTGCGGTCCATGTGTTTGGCGGAGCCAGCCAAGCGTGCCGGTTTGGATACCTTTGGCAATACAGCCGTACCTGGACTGAAATCTCCTCGCATTTGGTCATACTGACAAACAAAGGGCAGTTTGCATATCGAGCCCTCAAGCGAGCCTCTAAATTGGACACAACAACAGCGGTGGTCATAGGGGCCAATAGTACCAAATGACCCCGTAGATTGGAATATCTTATAGCTATATATTTTGTAGTTCAGGTTCTGGTACCGAAACGCTATTTTTGTGCCCATTCGAAGTACACGGTTCCGGAGCGTGCGTTGGGGTCTTGGTGAACAGGTGACCTTCCTGTGGTATAGTCTCTGTCCTGTGTTGTACCTGACTTGTCTCTTTTAGGCACTCTAGCCTGTGTACAACGGTTTACGCCATCCGTTTGAGGTGCCTTTCGGACGGACGTGTTCTCCGCTATCGTGAAAAAATGCGTTCATGTGCAGGAATCTAGTTGTTACATTAGCGTAGTGGAAAACTGGCCTGAAGTTTCTTCTTGAACGTAACAGAACTTGGGAGAGGGCAGCGGCCCAGTGCTACACGGAGCTGTGGGCCAGGTAATCCCTTTGGACTTCTTGAGGAGAAGCTTTACACAGCAAGGCATTTAGCGGGCTGCGTACGCCAGCCAAGCAGTTCACAGCCCCAAGTTCATCAGCGGGCTACGAACGCGAGCAGAACCAGCTGCAGAGCCTGGGCGTTTTTTCCTAGTTACAGAGGCGTCAACTTCTACTGCTGCAGGCGCGCCCAGCGGTCCGTCCTCGTGGAGCGGCGAGGAGGGCGTGGAGGGGCTTTCACGGGGCTTCAGCCGCAGGCGGCAGCATGGCGCCTTGAGCGCCGGCAATATTTGCGGCAGCTAGGAGACGCCCTTACGGGGTCCTGACCCGCTTAGCAGTCCCGCGCGGCGTCGGGTTGGGACAACAAAATGGGGACCGAACCCCAGTGCGGCGAGGTAACCGCTTTAGCCTCGTCTGGGCTGCACCCATGCTCTATAGGAACAAAAGCAAGCCTCTTGATGGTTGCTCCTCTGGCACAGGTCCTGGACCTGGGCGTTCACGCGCAAGTCTTTGAGGTCTGCGCCGCGCCCATCTGGATATATGACAGCACATTTAGCGTCAACATCTGGGGCAACAAGTAAGCTGGGATATCTATCGGTCCTCTTCTCAGTTGCGCGGCCATGTGCGGTTCTTCTTCTGACCATAGCCGGCGTGTTTGCAGGGCGGCCTTGGAGTTGTTTGGTGTGGACGAAGCGGCCTTCACAGCTGCGCAACTAGACCAGCTCGGGCAGTTTACACCGGAACAATTACGGCTATGGAAAAGGCTAAACGCGCAAGTTCATCAAGACGTTGAGGTGGGTTGCCGGGGGGTCGGCTGCCATGTTTCTTGCCATTATTCGACACTTCACGCGTTTTCGCCCTGCACAGATTGAGAAGAAGGAGATTAACGTTACAGTCACATGCGGCGAGCCTGTTCCCGGCTTTATGAAGCTGGATAAGCCAAAACTCGTCATGAGAGCATCTTATAAGCCCATCCGCCTCAGGGACAGCGCGGAACGAGAGCGGGACCTCACGTTGATACAGGTATGCCACCTACTATTACATTTTTGTGTTTTTGGAATCACTGAACCCAATTCTGTGCGGCGGCGGCCGCAGGTCACGGCGCAGGTTTCCCCCACAGTTGAGGACAACCAGCTGCGGCTCGTTGAGATGTGCAACAACCATCCCATGTTCCAGTTCCTGTTTGACGAAAGCGGCAAGCTGCTGGCCGCGAACAAGCGGGCTTTGTGCAACATGCGAGGTGCGGAATGACATGCGAGCGTGCATGTCATTGGAAAGCGAGTAGGGGAGACATCATCGGGGCATGGGTTCGTAACATAGCATGCCTATACTGCAAAATAACACTTGAAATCAGTTACCAACCAACAACACAGTGCAAAATAGCACACCAACCGTTTTTGCCTAATTCTTGCCAATCCCCAGAACACCTTGGCTCCTGCGAGAACTACAACCTGCAGAACTACCTGGCGATTGGGGAGTGCGACGGGAGCCTGGGACCGGACGAAATGTACAAGGAGGCCATGGAGGCTATCTTTGTGCTGGAGCAACCCTGCCACCGCTTTCCCCAGCTCAGATGGAGCAAGCGGCACCCGGGGAAATATCGCTGGGTACTGTACGAGATGTGGCCCTCGATTGACCCCGTTAGCCAGCAGAAGGCGGTCCTAGTGTGCGAGCAGAACATCTCCCAGGTTAAGGCGCTGGAGGAGCAGATCAAGAAGCAAAACCAACGGTGAGCATAAGGCGCTTGCCGTCAAGCAATGGGGTATGGCAAAGAAGAATAACAAGGATACAAACTTCATTTCCGGTCTCTGGAGACCACCCGTCGGACATTTCCCAACGCTTGCGGCATGCATGGATTGCACTCCTTAAATACTCTTTTTAGCCACGCACGCCGGTCTCACCCATCGCGACCCCGCTCATACCCCCCTCATAACTCAATCAACCCCGCCTCCAGGCTGGAGGCGCAGTTGGAGGAGGCGCTGGCGCAGCGCGACCCCGTGCACAAGCCAGCCATCGACATTGACACGCCCGCAGACAAGACCCTCAAGCTCCTCGACAAAATCATGCGGGGGCACGAGGTGTCGGCGCGGGAAGCCATTGAGCTGCGTGACGCCATCATCCAGGCGGGCGACCTGCGGCAGCCCGTCAACTTCAACGAGCAGCTCATGAAGAACAGCCAGACGGTGCTGGACAGCGAAGTCAGCCAGAGCCTCATCCAGCTGCTCAGCTCGCGGCGGCCAGCCAAGGTGAGTGGAAAAGGAGGGAAATGGGTGGCAGCGGGTTTGTATGCGCGCTTACGGAAAAGACTTGGGAGAGGGGGTAGAGAATTGGGAGGACAGGGTCGAACGCGTTAGTGCCGGTTCCGCTGCTTGCACGGCCGGTTTCCGTACACCTGGTTGACGGTACCCGACATTGGGCACCCGGTGGGTCCACAGATCAAGGAAGAGGAGGAGGAGGGCGAGGAGCACCCGGGGCCGGGGCTGGGGCACCCGGACCAGGACCTGCGGCACATCTACGCTCGCAGCAACGTCACGCAGGACAGCGTGAAGGCACTGATCGCCATGCACAAAAACCTGCCCGACGAGGTGAGCCGGGTCGGGGGCTTGGGACGATATGGGTCGGGTGCGTGTGTTCTGGGCCGGGTGCAGGGTTAACCTGATAGGGTCGTGGTAGGTGCTGAGTTACGGCGTATAGGTTAACGCCGTGTATATAACGCACCGGCACACCGGTTTAAGCCAAGGCGGGAATCTCCGAACGCGGTGCTCATGGTGAATTTGCCCCTTCGCCTTCCTACGACACATCCAGCACCCGTCCTGCCCCTCCACATCCACCTCCACCGCCATGCTGCCCCCTCCCTCCTTCCTGCACCCCTTTCTCCCACTTCCGCTCGCTCCAGGTGATGGACGTGCTGGCAAAGGTGGACGACTGGCAGTTTGATGCCTTCAAGCTGAACGAGGTCAGCGGCGGTCGGCCGCTCTCGCTGCTGTCGTACGCGCTGCTGAAGCGCTGCGAGGTGGCGGATAAGTTCCAGATGGACGACCACCGGCTGGTCAAGTTCCTCATGCGGATCGAGGACGGCTACCCCAACAACCCCTACCACAACCGCATCCACGCCGCCGACGTGCTGCAGAGCTTGCACGTGCTGGTGGTGCGCGGCGGCCTCATAGGCCACGGGTACTGCGACGAGGTCTCGCTCACGTCGTGCTACCTGTCGGCGGTGAGGGCGCGGGCGTGGGTGTGGAGCGGGAAGGGGTTGTGTGAGGGGGGCGGATGCATGCGATGGGTGTGAACGGCATGCGGATGGTGGGTTTCTGGGAGTTCAAGGGAGCGGGAGAGGGGCGTGAGATGCTTTGCGGTAGCGCATTCGTCGCTGCGATTCGCCGGAGAGCGTGTGTGGGCATTCTGCCGCTGGTTGTGAAGGGCATGCCATGTGAAAGCCGCTGCGTGCGTTGTGGGGATGACAGCTGCATGTGGACTGACGTCTTGACACTCCCATTCATCGTGCCATGAGGTGCATGCCAGCACGTTTTTTATACTTTTTTACTCACCCGCCGCCCGCCCTCCTGGCCTCCGCTCCTCACGCACCTCAGATCATCCACGACTTCGAGCACAAGGGAGTCAACAACGACTACCTCATCCGCGTGTCGGACGGCCTTGCCGTGCTGTACAACGACCGCTCGCCCATGGAGAACCACCACTTGGCGGCCTCCTTCCAACTCATGAACTCGGACGAATACAACTTCCTGCGGAAGATGCCCAACAAGCTGCGGGTGCGTGCGGGCGTGTTGGCATGCGTGCGGGCGTGTTGGCATGCGTGCGGGCGGGTGGGGCGAAAGGCTTGTGAGCGGGCATGCAACCTTACAGCACGGCACCAGTACGTACCAGCATAACAATGCCCTCCCGGTTTCTTTTCCAAGCAAACGCTGGTAATGGGCAACCAACCGATCTGCTCCCCTCCCTCGCACCCCCCCCTCCTACAGGAGACGCTTCGCAAGCAGATCATTGAGATGGTTCTGGCCACGGACATGAAGCAGCACTTTGCCATCCACAGCATGTTCCAGGCGAAGATGCAGCTCAACGGCTCGGTGCCCAGCGGCGGGAACGGCTCGGGCGGCAAGACGATGCGCACGTCGCCGCACACCACCAACCAGGACGGGCACAAAGTGTTTGATGAGGACCAGCGGAGCCTGGTGCTGCAGGTACGAAGGGACAGGAGGGGAGGAAGAAGAAGATACGTGCAGCAACGGAGTCGAGGAGGGTGGGAGGGGGAAGCTCTGTCGGAAAGGAAGGGGGGCCAACAAGGTTTGGATGGTGTACCCGCTTAATGGCCTAGTGGGGCAGGCCTCACTTGGGTAGCGGCTGCTACTCGAAGTCCGCGGCTGGCCTTGTTAACGCTTGCTAAGGTCAAACGAGGCTGTCCTGGCGGTGGCGCGCGCCTTTCTGAGCCGCATGACTCTCACATTCCTTATCGTACCGGACCTACTGCTCCTGCTGACCGCCATCGCTGTCTCCCTCGCTGACTCCCGTCCTCCCTCTTGCACCCCAGGTGGCCCTGAAGTGCGCGGATCTGGGGCACTTGGCTAGTCCGCGCATCGTGCACAAGAAGTGGGTGCAGTACCTGGAGGAGGAGTTCTTCCGGCAGGGCGACCGGGAGAAGCAGAACGGCCTCACGGTGTCGCCGCTCATGGACAGGGAGAAGAACGGCATCTCCAAGTCGCAGGTGGGCCCGGGCTGTGTTAAGCCAACCGAGTTGCCTAGCAAAACTGGCCATGGCTGCCGGTCGAGGAGAGACTGGTGCTGTTGGGCCGTGTGTTGCGCGTGCGTTTGCTTCTTGCCTGGCCCTGGCATGGCTTTAAGCCGCAAAGCCCCCCCTGTCCCTCAACCCCTGTCCCTGACCCCCCCTTTGCCCCCCCTTCCTGCCCCTTCCACAGGTGGGCTTCTTCGACATTGTGGCGCTGCCGCTGTTCCAGAGCTTCGCGCAGGCCTTCCAGGACGCCACGCCCATGCTGGACGCGGTGAAGGACAACTACGCCATGTGGCGCGACGAGGCCGCCTTGTTCGCGAATGCAAACAGCGCACGCAGCAGCAAGTAAGGGGAGAGCGGAGGTGGAGGTGGACGCAGGGGCGGCGGCTCGCTTCTGGAAGGCCGCTCGCGCGTTCTTGCTGGTGTGGCTGGCGCAATAACCAGTCGAAGTAACGCATGTCATGTGGGTGTTTCGGGCTTTTTGCAAAAAAGTTGTTGTCCGGCAGTGTAGGACAAGCTCGGCGATCGCAGTGTAGGGTGTGTTCGCGGTGTTGTAGCACACGCAACTCACAAGCGCAAACACACACACACCCGTGTTGGGAAGCAGCAGGTTGCCGGCTTCTGCGCCGCTCTTTGGGTTTTGCCCACTAAGCACAAACAACACCTTTTGAGGCGAGCGGCGCTTTTGCTGAAGAGGTGGGTGAACACAAGGGCTGCGTGAGCAGGGTGTGGTTGCGCAGGTGCCTCGGGGTGCATGGGGGCGGTGCTGTAGCAGACGTTTGGGTCACGGGGATAGGGGGTGATTGATTGTGGAGGCATTCGGCTGGATTGTTTAGGCTTACTGTAGCAGCAACACTAGATGCGATGGCTGTGTCCTCTAAACGCGAGTGTGGGTGGTTCTGTGTTCTTGCTGGCATGTCTAGTTGATGACAACTGACAGGGCTTTGGGCGCATACGGCACGGTGTTTTGTTGCTCGGTAGTGGTCTGGTCGGTGGTGGTAACATGATGATGGTCGGTATGTGTAGGGTGTAAGCGTGCGTGCGTTGTCGTCTCTTGATGGACAAGGGGCATTGGAGCCAACAGGCGTACGCGAAAGTTTGGCAGTGATTGACCAATTGCCTGAGGCACGTCGTCGTCCTCGTCGGCGTGAAGCTTCTTGTACTCTGCGAGACCGTAAATGCGAGGTGCTGTTGTTTGTCATGGACGTTGCCGCCGTTCAAAGATGCATGGTGTCCCTCACATGGGCAGACCTTGTACGGCAGGGGCGCTGCTGCCCGTCTCTCTCTCAGCCGCGAAGCTGTGGGCATGGAGAAGAAAACCCGCTGTGGCTACTGCGGCGTTGTTGTATTGCGGCTGTACTTTGGCTGCTGGCTGCGGCGGTTTGTAGGCTACGTTGGTTCGCAGCTTACACGTGCATGTGTGGTGGTGGTGGCTGGGAGATGATTTTGAAAGGAAAGCACGGTAGGAGGCGCAGGCGCGGGCTAGCTCCTAGCTGCTGCGCGCCAGCTAATGGACGAGCCCCTCCATGTCCTGATGCGACGGACGGTGTTATGTGCGTCGCCATGCTTTTGTACCTTCGGTGTTGGAGTGGACACAGACGGACTCTGAGCGCATGTGGGGTGTGGTGTTTGCTTCCGTGAACTGCACATAAGCGGGCCACTTTTTTCGTGCGGAGCCCTCCCGCGCTCCCCCAACTGTGGTGTGGGCCTGTAGTAGGGACCCGGTTGGGATTGCTGCTTTAAGGCTGTGTGCACTTTGAACGCATCTGGCCATTCTGGTGTCTCCTTTTGACAGCTGCTGTGAGACGGTTGGAATGGTGTTATCGGTTATGTGGAATGAATAGTGGGGCCCGGAAGTATGAGTAATGGACGAGGTCAGCTTGTGTGCCGGGCTGGGGATCGGAGAGATAGGCATGATGGTGTGTTGCATATCTTGTATCGCTGAGGTTGTGGTGGCCAGCTGATGGAAATGTTCAATCGTCTGGTAACGTTCTGGGTCAACGCTCCCTCTCTCCATCAAGACAACACACTTGCAAATCCGCTTAACTGCCCTCGAGTCACGTCAATACACAACATAGCTTTTCCCTCGTGCTATGGCGTCAACTGCCTATTGGACCCACGCACCGATACACGTCTCTGAACGGACACGCTCAGCTGCATAACCACCACGGACCCGAACTTCATTGGGCGTTCCCCAGAAACCAACTCAAGACCTACGCCAGTCAATACCCCGAAGAAGCCGCTCCCCCGCTATTCTGCCTCCGAAGCCACGGCTACGCCAGCTGCCGCACGACGGCTGTGTACTCACGCCGCCGTCAGCCGGCGAATAGTTGCCTTGTTCATCGCCGGACGACGTGTCCGGCGCCGCACAATTGTTACCGCGCCTCAAACTGCACGACCTTGTTAGTCCTCTTCTTGTAAAGGATACGATAGCCGCATTCTCGGCATTGAATGACGTCTCCGGGCTTCAGGCTAATTTCTGATCCGCATTGTCCGCAGATGTAAGGCACTCCCGTCGCCACGGTAGCCGGCATAGCGCCATAGCCGCTCATCGTGGCCGCCGGCAGGGCCGAAGCCCGCAAAACTAGGATAACTAAGAACGAGCCGACAGGGGCAAACTTCAAAAGCTTTTACGGTAAACGTGAAACTGCTTTGCTATAGATAACCACAGAAGCAGAAGCAAGGCAGTGGTAAAGCCGCGTGCGGCACTAGCGATGGTATGAAACGGAAGCTTTGCAGAGTTCCTGCCTCCAAGAAACGACTTAAGCAAACGAAGCAAAGTAAGAATTGTATCATCCAGCAGAGCTAAGCAGTGCAAACAGCGACCTCCCGCGCACATGCCGTACGGTCTCGGACAGCATATTGATTGCAGTCAGCCGCTCTGATCAAGTGCTGCAGCATTGTAATTGGTCAGTACACTTGGAAACCCCTACAAGCGATAAAGCAAGGCTAACGTGACTTTCCCTGGCCGCCTTCAACTGAAGCTGCATCGGCTTACGTGTTTAGGCACCTATATTGGCTTGGTGAAATTATACATTTGGTTCCTTTTCTTGGATCGTTCTGGCAACAATGAGCGTCCCGCCACGCAGCGAGCAGGAGCTTTTGGCGGAATACCAAACAAAGCGAGAGCGCATCCAAGCTACATTTAGCAAGATCACAGAGCTAGCAGCAGAGGCGACAGAGGTGCGAAGGGAACCGCTTGCGACAGCGTGTGCACTTGCCCACACTCATTGCCCAGATGCCCACATGCCGCGCTCCGGCCTTACCCCTGGACTCCCATACGCTTCCCCTCCACAGCACAAGCTTGTAATTGAGGCACTGGAGAAGATGGACAAGCAGCGCAAGTGCTTTAGACTAGTCGGCGACGTGTTGGTGGAGCGGACTGTGGCCGAGACGATACCGGCTGTCGCCAAGAACAAAGAGCAGCTGGAGCTAACCATTGCGACAATGCAGAAACAGTTCGAAGCACAAAAGAAGGATCTGAACGAGTTCCAGACAAAGTATAAGATCCGGGTGCGTTGGCTAGGGCAGGGCGGGAATGGGCGGCTGCGTCATGGGTCGCGTGGGTTATACGGTTCTGTGTCCTGAGGTAGAACGCAGTCATGCATGTGTGCATAACCCGGCGCGGTGATAACTGGTACGTTATATCACCTGCTGTGGCATGCAGCAGCCGCATGCCTTATCACTGCATCCCTAACATTCCTGCCACTTAGGCTACGTAGTGGTACCTGACGTCCCTACCCCTTCCCTCGGGTTATGCTTACTCTCCTAACGCCGATGTGTGTCAGCATCTTACAGTATATCCTCTTAATCCTCAACCCCCACCCTACAGAGAGTCACGGAGAGCGAGATGGCTGCCGAGGAGGCTGCCAAGGCGCGGGAGGCCGCCAAGCCGGCAGCGGCAGCGCAGGGCGTGCTGGTTTCCAAGTCATGAGCCGTCAAGACTACCTGTATTAGTCATAAGCAGCGGTCAGGCAGTCGGCGCTGGAGCGGTATGGGCTGTACGGCAGTGCATGTACAGCCCGGCACGGCATCGTAATAGAAGCTGCAGGGTGGTCTGTTTGGGATGCTGCATGCATGGGCTTGATGTGGGTTGGGGGTCATGCTGGGGTGCCTGTTGTTGGGGCTTTTCGTGGCGGTGTTTGTTGAGGATCGCGCGAGAGGTACTAGGTTGCTGGTGCTGTGGATGTGGCCTGGTTGCGCACGTTTTTCGCACAGTAAAGCGACAAGCTGCTGGACGAGTGGGCGGGGTGCTAGGGCTTTTGGGAACATCTCCCCTCAACGTGCAAGGGTCGCGGAACGGGCTGTAATGAGTTGTTGTTAAGGGAAGTGTCTATCGACTCTGCGCGTACCTTTTGAAGGTAGCAAGCGCTATGGAGACAACAATGTCCCCGTTGTGATGCCCGCTGCTTGAAGGCATGCCGTGCATTACGCCGCGGTTGTGGAGAAGGAGGAGGAGAAGGCAACATGCACGTGTGGTGGTGGCGGTCGTTGATGCTGCTGCAGACGTTTAGAAGTCGTCGCTCTGTGAGCAACGGAGTGCTGGTCTAATAACATGTAACCCCGGGAAGACCCGTGCAAGGGGTTCTTGTGAGAGCAGTGAGACCGTTAAGGTGAGGTTTCATTGCCGTACGTTTGACTACCGTACAACTTCCCCAGTTATGGATTTTTCCTAGCACATGCCTTCGTGACAAGGAAAGCGGAGTTCACGATACTAATTAGTTGCCATCCCTTACCTGTCGTTACTGTTTCAGTTGGACATTAAGAGCAACGCGGACGCGTACTTTTGGCTAAAGCTCAAAATCCTTGAATAGGCCCTTTGCGGCCGTCCCTTTGTTGCTGCAATGGCTTACTTTCAGCAGCCGCAGCGGCCCATCGCGGACGGCCAGTATACTCAGACCATTTATACGCTTATAAAGGACCAGAAGTTTTCAGAAGCAATTGCACACTTACAGTACCAGCTTCAGGCAAGAGAATCTGCTATCATTATCAGTTTTTGCTGTCACCGAAGTTTGAAGGCGCGGTCGTCCTGACATGCTCCTCAACTTCACCCTTCCCAGAACATCCCGGAGAGCCGTGCAGCACTATCCTTGTTGGGATACTGCTACTACTACACAGGGCAATATGATCTGGCCTCGCAAATGTAAGTCGCGGAGGGTCACTTTGCTTAGCAGCAGATGAGGGCATGTCTCAATATCCGACGGCCGTTCCACAGGTACGAGCAGCTGGTCACCTTGTATCCTAACAACGAGGACTACAAGCTGTACTACTCGCAAAGCTTGTACAAGGTAAGCGTTGTTCCTTAACTTGGCCGACGTTCCAATTTCCCTGGCAAGGGCATTGCAAGGGCAGGTGTCCTCCGGGCAAACGTGACAAGGGAGAGGGAAGTCTGGTATCATCGGTTTGCACAGGCTGCTTGTGTTGGGGGTTCCGGAGCCCTTCCGCTTCCACCTACTGTGTTCGCCCTCTGCTTGGCTTTCCCACCTGTGGTACCATTCCCCCATCCTTGCTTCCCTCGTTGGCAAATCCCCCAAACCCCAGTCACTCATATCGATCATAACTGCGAAACCCCTGGTGTTCCGCGGTCCGGCATCCTTAAGTGGGTCCTTGTGCGGGCAGCGGAAAGCACAGGAGGATGGACACAGCTAGCTGCTAATATGAGACCCAACCGGTTATCATGTTGAGGGAGGAACGGAGTTCCGTTGGCTGGGGCCCAGCCATACAACCCAGTAGCAGGGCACCCGTCCGTGCGGGGAGGAGCTTGGCGGCCCTGCATCCCGCTTCTGCAGGGGGCACCCCCGCCCACCGCGCGCCGCTCCCCCACCCACTACTTGCCACCCCTCAACCCACGTCCAATCCCCTCTGCGCTCTGCCAACACCTTGCTGCCTCTCCTTCACCCGACCTTCACAGATCGCGCCTCGCCTCTACCACACTACTCGGTCCAACCTGATCCCTCTACCCCCGTCCTCCCGATTGGGATTGCGTTGTTGCATTTATTTATAATTTTACCCCCGTCCTCCCTAAGCCTGCCTCCCCCTACCTCCCTGCCCCTGCCCCCCCCCTCCTCCCCCTCAGGGCGGCATGTATCCCGAGGCCAGCAAGGCGGTCATGAAGGTGGAGGGACACCAGAAGGCGGTCACCACTCTGCTGGTGGCATGCTCATATGAGCAGGTGGGCGGGAGGAAGGGAGCAGGGGAAGAGAGAGGAGACGGGGAACGAACGCAGAAGCCAACCAGGACGCGCGAGGATGCGGCGGAGGGAGGGTGGGGTAAAAAGAGAAGAGCGGGGGGCCCCTGCAGGCTGTGGAAGGAGGGAAGGATCACTGGGGAGGTGGCTGCGGATGTGGGTTGGTGTGGAAGAAGGTTCCCGTGAAAGCTATGGTGTGATCATTGCCGCTGCTGCTGCTGCTGCGGCTGCTGGGCCCTTACTCTCTCTCTCCCCCGCGCCCACTCTCATCCTCTTAACCCTCTCACCCTCTGTCCCCTTCCTTCAGGACGACCTGACGGGTTGCCGGCGGCAGCTGGACAAGTGCGTGCCTGAGGACCCGGACACCATGGTCAACACCGGCTGCATCCTGTTCAAGGAGGGCAAGTACGAGGTGGCGCGGCAGAAGTTCAATGACGCGGTGCAGGTGGGGGATGGGGCGGGGGGTGAGGTGGGGGATGGGGTGACCGGGTAGGGATGCCGGTTGGGGTAGGACATCAGGAGTGAGGCACTGGATTGCCGGTTCGGGCGGGAACCCAAAAAATGCCGGAGGAGAAAAGGCTATTGGCTGTTGGAGGTCGCTTGGCGGGCAGCCTGTGAGGGCCTGATTGCTGTGCGGTGTTTGAGAAGGGGCGCCCGACAGGGACCTGGGGGCCTCCGCTCACCTCTTCACATGACCACCAATAGCTAACCCCTCCCGCTGCCTCCCCCTCCCTCCCGCAGGCGCTGGGCTACCAGCCCGAGCTGCTGTACAACATTGCGCTGTGCCACTACAAGACCAAGCAGTTCGGCCCCGCGCTCAAGAACCTGGCGGAGATCATTGAGAAGGCGGTACGGGAGCACCCGGAGCTCAGTGTGGGGAGGTGAGGAGGCGGGGTGAGGAGAAGGGAGGGAATGGAGAGTGGGTGGGAAGGGGAGGAGGCGGGCATGGTGTGTGAAAACAAGCCGCGCGTTCCTTCACTCACTTCTCCCCCCCCCCACACCCATGTCCGCCTCCGCTCCCACTCCCTTGGCACTCCCGCCCCCGCCATATCGCACGCTTCAACTCTTTCTCTTTCCCCCCGCAACCCCCGCCCTTTCCCTCCCCCCACCACCACAGCAACACGGACGGCATGGAGGTGCGCAGCGTGGGCAACAGCCAGACGCTCAAGGAGACCGCCCTCATCGAGGCCTTCAACCTCAAGGCCGCAATCGAGTACACCATGAAGAACGTGGACGCCGCAAAGGAGGCGCTCACCGACATGCCGCCGCGTGCGGAGGAGGAGCTGGACCCCGTCACGCTGCACAACAGCGCGCTCATCAACATGGACAGCGACCCAACGGGTGGCTTCAAGAAGCTCAATTTCCTGCTGCAGAGCCCGCCCTTCCCGCCCGAGACGTTTGCGAACTTGCTGTTGTTGTACTGCAAACCCACGCATGGGTTCTACGACCTGGCTGCGGATGTGCTGGCGGAGAACCCGCAGTACGCGTCCAAGCTGTTGTCGCAGGTGGGGGAGAGGAGGGGGGGTGCGGGGAGAGTGGAGAAAGAGGGGAGACCGGGATTTTGGTGGGGCTCACATCAAGTCATAGGGGCGGGGCTGGAAGGTGTATGCTCCTGCCATGCCATGCTTTGAAAGCTGCCTCCACCAACCCTTTGTAACCCAGCTTTTTCTCTCGTTTTTATCCCTTTCCCATTGCCGTACACACTTTGTACCCTCCTGCTTCCCTCCACCCCCTCCCCTCCCCCACACATTGGGTATTCTCCTCTTCCTATTCCCCCTTCCCAGGACCTGTACGACTACCTGCAAGCCGCCATCGGTCGCTACAAGTCGCCCGAGGAGGCGTTCCGGCGCTTCGACGAGCTGGCGCACCGCCACGTGGAGCAGCTGAGGAGGCTCACAAAGCAAATACAGGTGGGGGGACAAAGGATTGATAAGAATGTGGGGGGGGGGGGGATAAAGAAAGGATTGAGCAGTGAATGCAGGTGGGGGTCATGGGAAGGGGAGCATGGGAGGACACGGGTGGTGAGGGGGTGAGACGGCCTCTCTTTCTCCTAACCCCCCCCCCCCTCCTATGGTTCGCTATGGTCTTGTTAGGGGCTCATGTCCATAAAATCGGCATGGCATCAACCGAGGCGACACGGGGCCCCTTGCCAAGACGAGCTTTTACCCCCTCTTCCCCCCCTCCCAGGACGCCCGCATCGCGCGCGACAACGACGCCATCAAGCGCGCCATCAACGAGTACGATGAGGCGCTGGAGGCGTACATCCCCGGCCTCATGGCCATGGCCTCCATCTACTGGGACATGGAGCTGTACAGCAACGTGGAGAAGATCTTCAGGCAGTCCGCCGAGTTCTGCTCGGAGCACGAGGTGTGGAAGCTCAATGTGGCGCATACCTTCTTCATGCAGGTGAGGGGAAGGCAGACGGGAAGGGGGGCCGGGAGGGGAGGGGAGGGGAGGGTTGAGACGGGGAGGGGGATGCCTTGGGGGCAGGGGGCTTGGGGCTGTGGGTTTCAGGAATGCTATGTTGCCCTTTGGTTGTGGGTGTGGAGTTTCAGACCTTGAGGTCGGGAGCATGCATATCAGCTCTGTCTGACCCATGGGTCTTTCCCCTCTCCCCTCTTCCCCTCCTCCCCCCCCTGCAGGACAACCACTACAAGGAGGCGATCCGCTACTACGAGCCGGTGGTGAAGAAGAACGCGGACAACCTGCTGGGGGTGACCGCCATCGTGCTCGCCAACCTGTGCGTGTCGTACATCATGACGAGCCAGGTGCGTCCGGGAGGGGGGGAAACGAGGAAGCGGAAGGATAAGGAAGGAAAGGGAGTTCTAGGTAGCTGATGAGGGGTGTGATTGGCACTTTGCGACCTGTACACCTGAACCCCCTTCCGACGCCGTTGCCCCACTTTTCATTTGTTTTCCCCCCCTCCCACAGAACGAGGAGGCTGAGGAGCTGATGCGCAAGGTGGAGAAGGAGGAGGAGCGGTCCGCCCTGCAGGTGGGGAGAGGGGGCGGCAGGGGGCCGGGTTACTGCTGCTGCTGCTGGATGGCGGACTGGATTGGTGTTTCCTACAGCTTCTTGGCTGCTTCCATGGCGTTTCCTACAGCTTCCCTTGGTCTCCAACCCCGTCCTCCTGCGCTTTGTCACCCTGTCATCTTCCTGGCTGGCCACCTGCGGAAATCCCCTTCCCCCCTTTTACCGTTACCCGTTGGTCTCTATCTCCTCCCTCCCTGCAGGACCCCGACAAGGCGTGCTTCCACCTGTGCATCATCAACCTGGTGATCGGCACCCTCTACTGCGCCAAGGGCAACTACGAGTTCGGCGTGTCGCGCATCATCAAGTCGCTGGAGCCGTACGACAAGAAACTGGAAACCGACACATGGTGGGGTGGTGGTGGGGGGTGGTGGTGGGGGGAGGAGGGTGAATGGGGTTGCCGCCCCGCCTGCCGTGCAGCTGCTAGGGTAGTGGCCTAGTTGTAATGGCGGTTGCAGCAGCAGCAGCAGTAGACCCGTCCTCATCTCATCTGCACGTTTGCATTCCACCTCGGTGCTTAGCCATCCCCCGCCCTTCCCCGCGGCGACACCACAACCTGACCACCCCCTCTCCTCCCTCCCTCTCCATGCATGGCATGTTTCCTTCTCCCCCCCCCCAGGTACTACGCCAAGCGCTGCTTCCTGTCGCTCATCGAGAACCTGGCCAAGCACATGATTGTGCTCAAGGACAGCAGCTTCACGGAGATCATGGCCTTCCTGCACGAGGCGGAGAAGTACGGCAAGGACATCCGCGTGGTGTTCAATGAGGGCAAGCACCAGAGCCGCACAATCGCCTCGGAGGCGCGCATGCTCAAGAAGATGTTCCTCAAGCTGCGGGATTGAGCGTGGGGGTGAGCGTGGGGGTGAGAGGGGTTGAGGAGGAGAAGGAAGGGGCGGGATGGGGTGGGGTAATGTGGGGTGGTGGATGGCGTGCGTGGGTGCGTGCGTGCACATGCTGTGTGGGGTGGTAGGAGGGTTTAAAGAGGGGCATGTGAACTTGGCGGGGAGCAAGCGTGCAAGCGTCCTGAGAGGTGTGCGAGAGGAGTGAGGGCTGGGGCTGCTGCTGGCAGCAGCATGACGGCCGGCCGCATGTTGTGACTACGAGATACGGACTCGGCTCTCCTTGACATGCATGACAGTGCAAGGGACGTAGTGCGGCCGTTGCCTGGGACTGTGCTTAGGGCTGCGGGCGAGATCCGGCGTTTACAGTTCTTGATGGCGTGAGGGTACCTTCTGCTATAGGTACCATCCATTTAAGGAAAAGCGGTGGGTGGTGTTGTGTGCCATGGGAGGTTTGGCCTGCTGAAAGATGCAGCAGTGGTGGCGGACGGATCCTGCCGGCGATGGCCTGCGGTGTGACAACCAGGAGGAAATGAACGAGGCCCAATATTAGATAGATGGCATGGGGTCCCCCTGTGATTCAAGCAATGAACTCTTTCTCTGGAGTACCACAATGGCGACCTTGTATTGGCGCGTGCGCTCGTGGGATTTGGTGACTCGACTGGACACACGGGGGTTGCGACACAGGGACACGGATAGGCGCTACAACGCAGGTGTACATAGCAGCGTGTATAATGAGACTTTTGAAGGCAAGGAGGCGGCGGCAGGGAATGCTGTGAGCCAGTGTTAATGACGGCACGGCACTTATGCCATACGCCGTGAGGAGGCCCGTAAGGGGCTGTAATCCTTGCTTACGTGCGAGGAACATGCTGGCAACGACAGAAGAGGACTGAGTGGCTTGGCTGTTAGGCTGGGCACGCTTTGTAAGTCGAGATGTAAGGGAGATGCAAGCGATTGTCCGGAAAGGCCCCGTCAGTGCTCCTGCGTGCACGTACACACCAGCAGCACGGCGTGCAAGGTAGACACTACCCAAGACGTCCCAGATCGGTGCTGTTTTCCCCGCCAGATGTAAAGCTGAGAGGAAGCAAAGGTCATCGCAACTTGTTGTGTCGTGGGCAAATGATCGCGATAAGGTGAAAGCCCTTGCAAGCATAGACCCCCGGGCCAATACTCCGACCGTAGTCGCTATGTTTTTGCATCTATGTCGTTTTACAACTAGTAAGTTATAATTTGAAAGGTCTGGATGCGTGCGGTGCTTTAGGGGGACGACGTGCGGTCGCCATGCTTGCGTGGCTTGAAACGCGGCCGGCGCTAGTGCAGATGCGCTAATATCACTAGGATCAACTCGATTTGAAACGACCTGCAATCCATATGGCTTGGGCTTCGCGGTGCAGTACTCAGAGATCGCTGTACGGACCTTGATGTGGGGATTCTGCCGACTGGCTTGCCTCAGATGCTTGCTGTTTTGCTATTGCACGCACGCGCAGCCGTTTTTAGACTATAGTTAGGCGCAATGCAGACCATGCAGCGTTGCCATGGCCGCTGTGCTACTGGCCGCGTAGTGCCTGTGGTCGGTCCGGTCCCGGCCCTGCGCGGCGTGCAGCAGCGCAGCCTGCCAGCTGCAGCAACCGCTAGCGCAGTGACCAGTCCCAACACTAAGTTGCCAGCGTCCCACCTGGAGAGCAGCAAGAAGGCGCTTGAGCAGCTGAAGCAGCAGGCCGTCAATCGTAAGTGGCTTTCGCGAGACATGGTTGCAAGGGAAACAGGAGTATAGAAAGCAGGCAGTTTACTCCTTGATAATGACTTTACTTATGCAGGCTATGCTGGTGAGAAGAAGAGCAGCATTATCTCTATTGGCCTTACCATCCATAATGCTCCGGTCGAGCTTCGTGAGAAGCTTGCCGTTCCCGAGGCCGAGTGGCCCCGTGCTATTGAGGAGCTTTGCCAGTATCCACACATCGAGGAAGCGGCCGTGCTTTCAACCTGCAACCGCATGGAGCTTTATGTTGTGGGTCTCTCTTGGCACCGCGGCGTTCGCGAGGTCGAGGAGTGGCTTTCGCGCACCAGTGGAGTACCTCTTGAGGAGTTGCGCCCATACCTGTTTCTGCTTCGCGATCGCGACGCCACGCACCATCTGATGCGCGTCGCTGGCGGTCTCGATTCGCTGGTCATGGGCGAGGGCCAAATTCTGGCGCAGGTCCGCCAGGTCTACAAGGTTGGCCAAAACAGCCCTGGCTTTGGCCGTCACCTGAACGGCCTCTTCAAGCAGGCTATCACAGCCGGCAAGCGTGTGCGTGCGGAGACATCCATCAGCACCGGCAGCGTGTCCGTCAGCAGCGCCGCAGTGGAGCTCGCTCAGCTCAAGCTGCCCACCCACAACTGGTCCGATGCCAAGGTCTGCATCATCGGCGCCGGCAAGATGTCCACGTTGCTTGTCAAGCACCTGCAGTCCAAGGGCTGCAAGGAGGTCACCGTCCTCAACCGCAGCCTGCCGCGCGCCCAAGCCCTGGCTGAGGAGTTCCCTGAAGTCAAGTTCAACATCCACCTCATGCCCGACCTCATGGCCTGCGTGGAGGCTTCCGACGTCATCTTCGCAGCCTCCGGCAGCGAGGAGCTCCTCATTTACAAGGAGGACGTTGTCAAGATGTGCGCGCCTAGCGAGATTGTGGGCTCCAAGCGCCGCTTTGTTGACATCTCCGTCCCCCGCAACATCGCGCCAGCCATCAACGAGCTCGAGCACGCCATCGTCTACAACGTGGATGACCTTAAGGAGGTGGTTGCGGCCAACAAGGAAGGCCGCGCGCAAGCCGCCGCGGAGGCTGAGGTTCTCATCCGGGAGGAGCAGCGCGCTTTTGAGGCCTGGCGCGACTCCCTGGAGACCGTACCCACCATCAAGGCACTTCGCAGCAAGGCGGAGGCCATTCGCGCCGCGGAATTTGAAAAGGCGGTTAGCCGGCTTGGCGAGGGGCTTAGCAAGAAGCAGCTCAAGGCGGTGGAGGAGCTGAGCAAGGGCATTGTGAACAAGCTGCTTCACGGGCCCATGACGGCGCTGCGCTGCGATGGTACGGATCCGGAGGCGGTGGGGCAGACGCTAGCCAACATGGAGGCGCTGGAGCGGATGTTCCAGCTGTCGGAGGTGGATGTGTCGGCCATGATGGCCAGCGGCGGGAAGCAGTGAGCAGGCGGGGAGAAGGGCGGATGGGTGGGAAGGAGGCATGGCAGGCGGGAGTCGTGGCGCGGAGCTGAAGCAGCATTGGCTGGCGGTGCTGACGACCGCGCCGTTGGTGCTGATGGCGGCTTGGTGTGGGTTGCGGAAGGGTGGTTTAGAGGTGGGGCAAAGTTACTGGGTTTAGTGTGGGTAAGGGCGAGGGAACTGTTGCTTGGGAGCAAAGCGTATGGGCATCAGGGGTGCTTGGGGTTGTTGTTGCGGTGGTGTTGGTGTGGGCGGCAGACAGGTTTTGGACGGCGCTTGGAGGGGCATGTGCTCCCGGGTGCCCATGCATGCTGTCTGCCGGCGCTTCTTGCCGTCTGCATGCGCACGCATTCGCTAGCACGACTGCACCACACAACTCGGTCCCCCTCGCCATCATGCCTACTCGGCCTTGCACTTTGCTGCTGCTGTCGTTGCTGCTACTGCTACTGCGGATATAGGAGATGTGGCCTAGGCTTGTTTGCTGGCCCAGATAAGGTCACCAGCTACCGCTCTTGGCTGGCTGTGAACGTGTGCTGTTTGTGTGGCTCTACCTGAATGCAATGTTTGATTTTCACATCCTGCTCTGCCCCGCCCTGCCATTCCCCACCGCTTGGGTGATACAAGCAGAGCGTGTGGCAATTGTACTATAGAACTGGCATGCACGCGTGTGCGCGGTTGTGTGCGGTGTTGCGTGTCTCTTTTTCAGTTTCGAGAAGACGACTGGCTGCGCGATGTGTCTTTGTCTGTGCTCCTGTGGTTGCTAGGCTGTGGGGTGGTTGGTGAGCCTTGTCGTCAATCCGACTGCTGCTGTGCTGCTGCTGGTCGAGGGGGAGTTCTCCGTAGGCCCTCTTGGGGATGGCACAGGCGATTTTGGGTTCCGCGACAAAGGGGCATTCGTCTCGGGCTCCTCTGCTTGGAGGTGGGTATCTCGGCGCGTGCGTCGGACCCTTACGGTATAAAGAGGGCGACGTCCCGGTTGCCTTCGTGACGAGGTGTGGAGTCCTCCTCCTCGTCTCCAGCCTTGAGCTCGTTTTGCTTGGTGTGCTTGTCCGGTGCTGGAGTGTGTGTGTGTGTATATAACGAGCCGTGGAATAAAGCATGACGGCATGTCACCCGCGCATGGGCGGGCAGGGGAGGTGTAGGAGGGGCAAAGGGGACGGGGTTTCTGCAGGGGTGGCGTGTGGCTTGTTGTCGCCATGTGCAAGTGCTAGCCGGGCGAGGGAGCGTACGCACGTCACAGGCTGGTCGAAAGAGAAAGGGGGCGAATACCCGTTGAGAGGGGCTGTTGGGGCAGCAGGGGTGCAGGCGTTTGTGATGCAGCTGTTTCTGTTTCGCTTAGTGTGCTATGTCTGCCTGATGAACTGAGTCAGTTCCTAGGTGTGTGTCGGCGATGAAGTTAGGAAGAAGGGTTTCTTCCTCGGCACTGCTTGAAGGAGGCTGCTAGACGGCTAGGAGTGTGCGCATTAGGAGGGAGGGAGAGCACAAAGGGACGGCCCCTGGAAGAGAGTGAGAAATGAATGGGGTGCATGATGTTGGGTTGATGGATTGGGTTGGGTTGGATTGCAGACTTCGCAGTGCAGTCGCAATATATGTACCAGTTATAGCTTTACGTGAACTGACGATCTGCTCATTGCGGATAGGGGTTGGTCGCTAGAGTGCGCCGGCGTGTGCTTTTGGCTGTCGTCGTTTTGGGTGCCTCTTCGACCGTCCAGGAGAGGCCTGTTAGGCCCGTTTTGGCCCCATGGCATGATGCCTGCAGCTTGCTGCCAGTGCTTGTGGGTAATAGGACAAAACACTGCTGGCAACCAAATTTTGCTTTGGCGGGGTCAATAGAGATGCATGTCAAACCCCGTTTTTGCTGCTTTGCGGTGTGTTTGCGAGTCTGCGGGCGCGATTTGATTATCAAGATGGATTTAACATCGGTCATGTCATGTAAGGCAAGAACGATGGAGAGGTGTGCCGACCGAGAGGTATGTTCTAAGCATGCCACCATTCTTCCAGGCTCCACTCTAGCCCTGCTCCCACCCGACGTCAGCTGTGTGCAGCTGAATGTGTGTGGGCTGGTATCACGACAGCTACGCTACGTTCGTCTCTAGCCGTACTAGCAGCGAGCCGTACATGCAGCTGAGCCACAAGCCGCCGAGTCAGCATCACATCACAACGCGCACCCCAGCCGCCCCAAACAGCCACAGCAGCAACCCAGCAGCCCACACCTCGTTGTCCCCCTACCCACGCCCACGCCAACCATATCCACGCGTCTCGGTATGTTCACTTCATACTCGTACGAGCACCCCGGCGATATGCGGTGCCAGCAGTGACAACCCCTCCACCTCAAACTCCCGCACCGCGCCCTCCCAGCCCGCCGCCCCCACTGCCGCCCCAGTGTCGCGGTCCAAGCGGCACCCGTCGGCCAGCAGCTGCTGCAGCGGCGTCAGCAGCGACTGCGCCAGCCGCATCACCGGCCGCCCCTGCCGAGCCCGCACGTGCTCAATGAGCAGCAAGTGACCCGTGGGTCGCACCACTCGCCTCAACTCTGCTAGGACGGCAGCGGGCGTGGTGACGGAGCAGAGTACCTGCACCGGTGCAAGGGGCAATCAAGCGGAATAGTTTGAATGTTTGATACACAGGGGCGGGAAGCCGACCGGGCAAGGTATACAACACTACCACTAGACAGCAAACAAAGCGCAGCCCAGCTTTTGTGACGTCTACCCACAACCCACCCACCCACCGTACGTTTCCGCATCACCCATCCTGCCACCCACCAACGTCACCACCGCCGCATCGAACTCCGCATCCCGGAAGGGCAGCGACTCCGCCCTCCCCCGCAGCAGGGATACCACCACGTTGCCCCCAGCACCCGCATCTCCGCCTGCCCCTGGAGGAGGAGCTCCATCTGCCACCGGCTGCTGGGGCGACCAGGAGCATTCAGCTGCTGTCACTGAAGCTGCTGCTGCTTCTCCTGCCGCTGCCTCCGCCACAGGAGCGCTACTACTGCTGTCACCGCCGCCCCTAACAGTACTGGTACTCCTGCCACTGCTGCTGCTGCTGCTGTTGTTTTCACCGTGGTGCAGTACCCGGCATCCAGCAGCGCGTGCTGAGTCCGCTGCGAGCGGCAGCATCACCTCGTTTGGGTCCAACCCCACAACATGCAGCCGCGCGGTTGAGGGCGCCGGCGCAGGTGCCCGTGCCTGAGCCAGAGCGGCGATGTAGAAGGGAAAGTTGGGGCCCGTACCGACTCCCACTTCTAGAATGCGCAAGCAGGGCGCAGCAGCGGTGCTGCAAGCACCCATTGCGGCGCCGTCGCAGCTTCCAGCGATAGGATAGCTGGCAAAGGAGGGCCTCCTTGCGCCGGCAGCGGCGGTGATCCTGCTGCAGTCAACAGTGCTACTACCCTCCCAGTCATGGCCGCAACTGCCAATGCCCTGCCCCGGCATCACCAGCCTCCGCATCAGCTCTTCGAACAGCTGCTGCTTGATGGGCCTTATCGCGGCCTCGTAATCCCCCATGCCGTACTTCATGGCGGCGGCGAAGTAGCTGTCGTACAGCGGGTTGCGTACGGCAGCTGCTGCCATGGATGATGGGTTGCTGTTGCCGCCGCACAGAGCGCAGCAGCAGAGGGGCGTTAGGGCGCCTGAGGAGTGGAATGGGATGTAGTATAGCGCATGGGCTCCCAATTCAGGCAGAATATTAAGGGGTTTGAAGAGGTCGCCGGAGGGCACTGCTTCGGCGTCTGAGTCGAGTGTTTTAAGGAAACTGGTCGAGAGCCGAGTGTGCGCGTGTGGCCAGCCGCGAGGAAGGATGGTTCGCTTGTACGGTGAGTGGGTGCGGTTCCGGTAGTCATGAGCCAAACAATACCAAGCATCATCTACCGCATTCTCATGCTTCAGGAATGCACGTTGGAGAGATCTACGTACCAAGCAGTGCCACGCGTCGAGGGATTGGAGTGGAGTTTGCAAGACCAGGGTTATTTCCTTGGCTCGCACGACTCCTTGCCTCGCCGTCGCTCACCGTTACAGCAGGCGCTTTGTGGCAGCGATGTCTTATTGGTTGAGGAATGCCGCGCGCTGTGCTGCTGCCTCGGATGTTTTGGTCAACGCCAACGTGTCTAGGGTTCGACTGGCAGCTGAGCGTTTGGGGCCTCGTCAGCATCATTGATATCCTTGACATTAAGTATTGAGAACTATAAACAAGATGTACTTACACGCAACTCCCGCCCCGGAGGCACGATGTTGGGCCACCAGCCAAGACTGACTTTCGGTTATGGTAGTTATGTTGGGCACGCACCACCCAGGTGCATTTACTAATATGTACAAATCTTTGCCCTGATAGCCAGACCCCACCAAGCCCTGCTATGCCTTTAGCCTCCATCTGGAGTGCATATACGGGCATCCAAGGGTCGAGGGGTGCAGCTGGTGCAGGCAATAATCATGCCTCGTAATAAACAACTCATTCCCAGCGTGCGAGCAGCAACCACGGGTCAACAACAGAAGCGACGAACGGTGTAGTCAGCAGAACATAAGCCCAAGCAGGCAACACTCATCCCATGGCAGTCCGTAACCCGGTTAAGCTGATATCCTTTCGATGCTTGTTCCCAACAGCAGGGGCAGGTTTGTGCTTCCGGTATCCTGTAGACACACGCCCCATTTCGGCGTGCGCATTTCTTTATTTATTATATGCGCATTTAGGTCTGTTGTTCTTAGCGAAACTCGGCCTGCTCCGAACAAAAGCATTACATGTGTCACGGCATTGCGCATCACACCGCACACGCACATGCGGCACCGGTACTGCAACTCCCCGTGTTTCGTCTCGGCATGCAGCAAAGCTATCCAAACAAGGTCAAGCAAGCCATACAACCATCCCATTCAAGCATATACGGTTTTATTCTGCATAGCTGCTACCAGCAGGCAATCCATCTGAGGTTCTCACGTCACAAGGCTTGAATGTTGCTGACCCATGGGTCAGCTAGCCAACCAGCAGCCACCTAGACCGAAATTACGAAGCCTTAGCGCCTGGCTACACGCTGCGCAATGTTTTCCCGGCAACTAGGAATCCGGGCATAAATACACGCAAATACACATGGGCATGCATTCATGATCGTGCCTCCGCCGGGGGCTGCGGCCGACACATTTCGCATGCTCACATATTATTCGAAAAGCAAACATGCATTAGTCGGGAAATTTTCCCCCAGACAAAAAAATAAACTTATTCTAGGTGGGGGCATTGAAACCCTTAACCAAGGCGATTTACTCATCCGTGCAAAAGACATTCTCCAGCCTCACTCCGTGCGCCACTTCATTGCGTTTATTCCAGGGGCAGGGAAGCCTCATCGTGCAACCGCTGCATGCAGTTCCATTGCGATCCTCTAAAAAGAAGGGAAAGAAAAACCCATATGCATCGGGTTCTGCTTCACACAGAAAAAACTTCCATCATGTTGTCCAAACATGATCCTTAAAGAAGAAGCAAGAAAAAAGAAAGATGTCTATTGTCTAAGAAAATTACCTCGATCAAAAAATTCTAAAAGCAAAAGTGAGAAGTTCACATGTGTGTTCCTCGTTGTTCAATCCGTACGGCAGCGGCGCTCCTGTCCATGACAACACCTGCTGCTCGTGCGCTTCGCCCTTCGTCCGGTGCACGCCACACTCCAACACAAAACACGCCTGTACGCCTGCAAACGACTCTGAACGAACGCCAGCACGCCTGCAACCAGATCCTAAACAAATGCCAGCACGCCTGCAAACGACTCTGAACGAACGCCAGCACGCCTGCAAACAGATCCTAAACAAATGCCAGCACGCCTGCAAACGACTCTGAACGAACGCCAGCACGCCTGCAACCAGATCCTAAACAAATGCCAGCACGCCTGCAAACGACTCTGAACGAACGCCAGCACGCCTGCAAACAGATCCTAAACAAACGCCTGCACGCTATTGCTTGAGCAATCAGATGTTTTTCGCGTCAAGGCAACCCAGATTGCCTCGCTAGACTGTCGTCCGTTCCTCCTGTATTCCATGCACACCTCCTTCCTCGCCAAGCCCCCTTCAATGCTAATGCTCGCCCGCAGCAACGGTGCTTGGGGTTATTCGACGGCAGCCATCATACATGGCCACCAGCTAACACCTACTTCCGTCATACAGTCCACAACTTAGCTCTCTTGTGCCATCCTGCATTAGGGTCCACCGCTGCGTCGCACTGTGCAGCAGCGGCCCCAACACTGATAATTGACGCAAGCTTAGCGAATTCCGTTCAATTTGAGTAGTTCTCCAAGTTAAGCAGTACACGCCCGTGATTGTACAGTAGACGCCTGCAAAGTTGGCGCCCTCCTGCTACTCGGCATCCCTTTCGTTCAAGAGGATATGAGTCACCACTGCGCTTTAGTGCCTGTCAAACACAAGAGCATGCGGCAGCAGCGGCGACCCCTCCTGGTCCTCATCCTCCTCACACTGCTTTGCCATGGCTGCCGTCTGCCACTGAGAGTGTGCGCCCAGCCAGCCGTTGCTGCTGCCGCCCGTGATGTCAAACACGTACGACGGGAAGACCAGCGAGGTACGGCAGCCGCGGGGGGGCGTACGGGCGAGCGGTGAAACACCATAAGGCAACTCGCGAGCGGCGGCGTTGTCGGCAGCCATGGACGCTGTTCCTGCGGCAGCGGAAATGGGGATGGCGGACGATGCTGACCAAGCGCCCGAAGTGATGGTTGGCGAGGAGAAGGAAGACGGGGAGCAGCCGCCGCCGCCGCTACGGGCGCTGCGACCACTACGGCCGAAAGACGTGGCAGTAGACGGCGACACTGCATGACCGGGGGTCCTATCATCGCCGCCACAGCAGTTGTTGTTGCTGCTGCTAACGTTGCTGCTGGAGCCGCACTTGACGCTGTGGCCACCGCCGCTGCAGCGGATGCTTCCGCCATCGCTGGCGCAGGAAGCGCCACGGAAGGTGATGTGGGATGCCGCAGCCTCGCCACTGCTGGTGGTGTTGGGGCTGGTTATATGGCTGTTGCCGCCCCGGCTGCTGCTGTGCCCAGCGCTACTGGAACTGCGGCTAAAACCGCTGCCGTACCCGCCGCAACTGACAGTCTTCCGACCGCTGCTGTAGCTGCCGCCAAAGCTGCCGTAGTCGTAGTTGCCGACCCGACCCATATCCATGCGCTGGCAAGGGACGTGCGTACTCAGCGGCACGTCAACGAAGCCAGGCCCATGCCCACCGCTACTGAAGCCAAGACGACGGTTGCTGGCGTGCATGTGGGCATCGCGTGCCGGATCCTCCTCGCTGTAACCGCCATAACTGAAGCCGTACTCGTTGTCTTCGTAAGCGGTTAGAGCTGGCGGCTTGCTGCCGTACGGCGTTGCTTCATCGGAACCTGGCCATGAGGTGGGTAACTCCAGGGTTGTGTCGCCGTACAAGCTGAAGCAAGTCCAGTCCGAGCATACGGAGTCCACATCGCCTGGGGCGTAACATCCCGTGGTGTCAGCGCTTGCGGTGGCTGGGGCGTGCGGCTGCTGAGCTGAAGTGATGCTCGCTGGCAGGCATGCCATGAGAGAGCTGTAGAGGCAGGACTGGAGGCCGAAAAGGGTGTTACGGCCCGCGGCTCGTAACATGCCGTACATGCAGCCGCCGCAGCCCTCCTCACTTCGCCTGTTGGGTGGTGCGTTGCGAGAAGAGAGGTGGGGCGGGTGCCGTTGCGTTGTGATTAAAAGGGTGTTGTAGAAGGCTGTTGGGTACGGGGCCAGCGAACAAATGCTGATAGCGATTTGGGTCGTAAGATTTGTGCTGCCGGCGATTTGACGTGACTAGTACTGCCGCCCCTGTGACTCAGGCGTGACCATGGTCAGGACCTCGTCGGTTCTGTCCGTGTGTGCTTTCAATCACCAAATAGCTAATTGCCAGCAAGTGACATGCCAATACTGTCTTGACGCAGGCGCTTGGCAGTCCATAATGTAAACCGCTACGCATTGCCACAGAGGCATGCGATGAGAGCTCTGGCTACATGCATACGCTGCCTCGTAAGGAAGCCGAACTTACCGTGTTTTTGGTTCTTCATCGCCCCAGTAGCTAAGCGTGCTCCTGCGGTTCGGTTGGGCATACTCGCTGCTTGAGAAAGCATGTTGTGACACATGCTTGTTATGGCACAAGCTCTGGGCGAAATGCCCAAGTAAGTATGTGTGCCGATCCCTTGAACGCATGTTTCCTTGCGTAAATTGTGTACGTGTTGCGCCCCTTGTGCGTGGGGAGACATTTACGCTGAAAGCTTCTGCTTTCAACTCGGGATAATAACGGGAGTGCGCAATTCCAAACGTAGGTATGCACAGACCGTAATTCAGGTACCTACCCCTAGAGCTTGCGAGTAAGCGAACATGAAAGAGTCCCGAACGGGTCGTTTCACTGCAGTCCCCGATCGTGATTACCTCACCTCGTATCAATAATTTGAGTGGATGACGGTACTGGCTTTAGCGTGACTCCAAATGGATGTGGGTCATTCCACGCCCTGCCGGACTCGACCTCGAACCGAGTCATTGTTTGAATGCAGGGTGACCTGACAGATGTAGGACGCTAATTGCCTTTGTGAAGGTAAGAATATATAGCTCTAAGTGTGAGAAAAGATGTTTGCTCTGTTTCACGATAGAACGACAACCACGTAAATAATTGCCAAGTCAGTTGGCGTCCGTACGTGCTGTCGGTTGTCAAATCATGATATGACAATTATCATTGTTACCCGTAGATGCGACCCAGGAGAGTGCGAATTCCTACTGTGCTGCAGCACCAGCAGAGACGGCGGTCCAACCATCAATAGCAATGGCTTGCAAGCAATCTTAGCCGTCACGTCGCAGTTGGCCACCTCATAATTGTATCGTATGCCGGGAAAATTCACTAGCGATACGTACGGGTGATAACACAGCTGGTTTACTCTATGCGGATAGATCGACACGCTTGTCGGCCACCGAACGATGCAAGACATGCCATGCTTCTGCTGCGCGGACCTAACTTCAACCCCGAAGCCAATTCACAGGGTACCCGACGAACTTCGCTCTGTGCAACTAAGACACCTTACAATTGATTCATGGGATTCCTTCCCCAATTCCTAAGCCATCCACCTAAAGCTGCTAACACCATTTCCCTTCACTGTAGAAAGCGGTTTTCTCATCACTTCCCTATCCTCGTGCGCCCGCCGCAAGGGTGGTGGACTCGAAGATGCGGTCCGCGTTGCCCACCTCAAAGCCGTCTCGCAGATGCTCCTCACGCACCTCCTCAGCCTGTGGCGCGCACGCGGGAGGAGCAAGAACATTGGGTCGGTCACAACTCACGAGGCAGGTGGCACGCAGCAGTAACACATGTTTGCTGGAGTTGCAGGGCAGCAGGGCAGCAAGACATTGCCAGACGGCATCCAACCGCACTTCCGTTGTGCATCTCCGCCCTCATCTTTTGCAAACCCTTCCGTCCTCCCACTCAACCCGCCCTCACCGGCAGGCCAGCGTACTCTGGCAGCCGTAGCCGCTGCACAAACTCTGCGAAGGGGGGATGGTTTTGGTCAGATGCGTTCAAGACCACCGTGACACGCAGATGCCGTGTGAAGGCGTGTAAGGGCAGCTAAGGACGCGTGTGACAAAGCATGACACCGAAAGACAAGAATGACAAGGCAGGGTCGCATTTGGGTCGCTGCTGCAGACGCGGGCTGCTGCAGGTGTGCATTCGGCAGAAGTACTTTGGGATGGTAGCACGTAGGCGCTGGGTTTTGATCTGGGTCGATCTGGGTCAGCCCGCGCCGGCCACCTACCTACCCCCGCCACCCACCTACGTACGCTGCCGCGATGTCCCGCTGCGCCCCGCATGCGAAGGTGAAGGGCACTCGGTCCGCCAGTACGGCACACTGCAGCAGCAAGCCGTCAGGACTGACCTGTACGGCAGGTGGGGAGTACCGGTAAGGAACAGCAGGATCCGCTTTACACGCAACCCACATGCACCCCTTCATCTGTACTTCACTGCTCCGCCTGCTCTCCTCAACACCTGGCGCCCCTCCTTTGCCACCCCACTACGCAAAACCCTTGCAGCTCCCACTCGCCTTCACCAGCCCCCCTTCCGGGTTCAGCTCCAGCCCCTCCGCCCCCAGCCGCTCCACCAGCGCCGCGATGTCGGCTCCCTGGCCCGCGGGCGGCAGGCGGTGCAGCGCCAGGGCCGTGTGGTTCAGGCTGTAGCCGTGAGCCAGGACCCTGCATCCGCGGGTGCATGCGTTTGAGTGCAGTGGATGCGTCAGCGACATCAGTGCAGTAGCAAGACTGTAACAGCATCGCCGCGATTAGGCGATACCTGTATTCCATTACAAGTCGTTAGTTGGACAAGCGAAACATGGGGAAGTCTGGCTGCAGCGCATACATCAGCTATGACAACCGTTTTCAGGTAAGGTACGGCATCGACTCGCATCTGCATACGGTACGTCTAACAAGTAACGACGCCCCCGACCCAGATCCAGCTGGATCCGACCCACCATGCTGCGTACTCCGACTCCCGCAGCAGCGTGTCGTACTGCTCCAGGGTGGGGCGGGGCCAGGGTGCCGTACCGGTGAGCAGAGCCGCCACGACCTGTGGAGCGGTGGGGAGGCGGGCCAGGAGGGCGCTGGTTCGGGTGGGTGTCACTGGATGTCAGCACGACGGCACAGGGCTAGCGCCCTGTGGGGGGTTGGGGTTGGCGGGCTGGTTTGAGGTTGCTGCCGTATCGGTAACACCAGTGGATTGTCGAGATACGAGCATCAAGTGCAGAGCAATTTCGCCTACCCTTCGTTGGCACGCCCAAGCTACCGGTTTGGCCAACTGCAAGATCCAAGATATCAGTTCCTTCACAAGCCCCTTCCTGCACCCTGATACCCCGTATGGCCGCACAGCTCCTTTCCCCCCACCTGCACCGTGGTCTGCTCTGGCTCCGCCTCCACCGCCCAGCCGGTACAACCCCGGATGACCTCTTGCGCGCTCTCAGACAGCCGCTCCACCTGACAACATGGGATAAGGAGAGGAGGAAGCAAGACGCCGTTAGCAAATGGTTATCATGCGCATGGGCGACCGTGTCATGCAACCTCATGTACCAATGTTGTGGCTACTGCAAGGTGCCAAGGCAAAGAGGTTGCCCCTCGCACCTGTATTTCGCTGACGAAGACGCGCGGCAGCACTGCGCTGACCCGTGGGTCGGTCGCTCGGAACCACGCCGCCACGAGTTTCTTGCCCGGGAAGGTCAGAGGCGGCTGCTGGGGCACGCGGGTGTAGCCCAGAGGGAGGAGGACTCGCTCCAGGGAGGCAATTCCCAGGCCGGGAACCTGTGGCGGTGTAGGGAGGCAATCCATTCTCAAAGCCGGCGCCTTTAATACCACACATGCATACCAACGCAACCCCACCGGTAAGCCATATACAACTACGTCGGTACTACGTACGTCATTATTTGGTGTCCCAATAGCCTCCACGCAAGTTTGGCTTCCACCCAACGCAAGGCACAAACGGCAAGACGCAAGCATGCGCGGCAGAAGGGATGCTGGGCAGCCACTGACCCCGACTGACCCCGAACGTCCTGAAGGCGAAGTGGTCGTGGCCCAGCTGAGCCACCTGAGGCCACCCGGGGCGCATCACCAGCTCCAGCACAGACAGCAGACGGGGCGTGCGGGCTGCGTACGAAGCAGGGCAGGGAAAAGGAGGCCGAGAAGGAGGAGGAGGTCACCGGGAGTGATGGTCCCGGTGACCTGGTAAGGTAAGGGAGGAGCCCGTATCGTTCTGAGCTCCTGGCATGCATTTTGGCTCCATGAGACCCCACCTGCGTAGTGCTCCAGCATCTGGTGCAGTGCAGGCAGCGTGCAGGCGGGGACCTGTGAGGCCGCGCCGGGGCAGCGCAAGAGCACACACGGGCGCGTGTAAGGCAGTATGGGGCGGCCTTCCACCTCCAATTATGCGTAACCCTAACCCCGTACCTTCCCCGCGTCGCACATTCCCACACGCTTTGACTGCTGTTCACCCGACCGCTCCTAACATTGCAGTTGAAAGTGCGGCGCCGTTCCTACCCCTTCAGTTTTTGTTCGTACCTGGCACTGCGGGGGTAGTTGGCCTAGTTGCATGACCAGCTCCCTTGGCAGAGCTGCTGGAGTGGGTTTGGCCCTAACCTCGGCTTGAACCGCAGCCGCTGCAGACGTTGTAAGTGGCCTGGCCCCATCTGAGGCTGAGGCGTTTAACGCAGGGATCCGTGTGGAGGAAGGCTGAAGCCGTGTGGCTCCGAGGTGCAGGGGTGTACCGCATATGGAAGGTGCTGAGCGCGTCGGTGCTTGACGACACGTAAGGGCTGGGAATCCTTGGAAGCCGTGTTGGTGGGCGGAGATTAGCGCTAGACGCTTTGTACCCTGCAGGGTCTCCGACTGCATTTCCTAACAGAGTCGGTATAGCTAAGGTCCTATCGGTGAAAGAGTAAAGGCCAAACTAATTGCCCGGCGCTTTTGTGCCGCGTTGGCTGTGACGATGTATGGCCCTACGCGGACAGCGGCCTGTTGTGTCCTCGACTTGATGTGAGTGGTATTATCAATATAGTACAACAAACCTTTGCAGATGTTCTAATAGGGTTATCCGCGCACAAGGCAACTGATGAGTGCTGACGTTAACTGCCGAGGATCTTTGCTTGCGTGGACTTAGGATACGAAGAGTGACGCAAATAGTGTATTGTCAAAATATCGTATACCCTGTGTCGCTTTCGTTTTTATGTACGGGGCAGCTTTTACGGAGCAGAAGACGATTAGTCGCGACCCCCTAGCGAAACCACCACTGAAAGCCTGAAACTGTCAGCTTTCCTCGAAACACTAAATATGTGAGAGATATAAGCCCTAACATAGCGCCTAGGCAACAGACATGCCCGAAAGGGGGTTTACAGCGGCTTGGTCGAGTCTGCAGTTTGGCAGGTAGGCTGGCAGGAAAATGCGTTTGAAGGCTATTGCGTCTTAGGGATAAAGAGGGCTACGTAGTGGGGCTCGAGGGGGAACGAAAATTGCTAACAAGTCTTGGGTACACCACAGCAAGCACGCTGCCGTACGGTTGTTTGTAAGGTGGATTGGCAGAAAGATTTTGTCTACCGATACGGAGTAGCTTTAAGACTTATAAACGCAAACTAAGTTACATTACTCGCCGTTGATGGCTTTGGTGCTTACTCTAAGCTGAATGGACACAGGTACAACTACAGCCTACTCTCAAACAATCTTATAGAATATGACGACAACAGTCCATAATTAACTCTCTGACAATGACAAAGACCATTGTGGGTCGAGCAGAAGACTAGCCGCGGTGCACGAACGGAGTTCAGTGGGCCGCGCAGCATGGCGTCGAGCACAGCACCCTTGGTTCACGAGCTCCAAGCTCGAATACGCGAGCTTGAGGCAACGCGCAAAAGTCGAACAGAGGAGGCGTCGCGTATCATCGCATCTCAACGTACCACCATCGACCGACTACGCTCGGAGAACCAGCGCCTCGCAGCAGACCTTGCAGCAGTTGGCAGCGCAGATGCCGCAGCCATTGCTGCTCTGGTGGCCACAGGGGCAGCTGCGCCCTCGGTGATGGTCAAGGTGCGTCCATCCCAGTCCATGGGGCTATCATAGACAAACCCTGGTTCCCCTCCCCATCACATTCGAGGGTGGAAGGGGGTTCCGCATGCCCTAACGGTGTCATTGTCACGCCACCAAGCCGGATCCAGCGTGCTGCCCCTTGCTGTCTTGTGGCATCCCACCTACCATGGACGCTGCACGCAACCCGCCGGCTAACCCAAGTCCCGCTACCTCCCGCACCTGCACCACCCTGCTCAGCCCACGGGGCTGACCCCAGCCCAAACAGAGCGCGCTGACAGATTGATGGAGGTGGCGGACACGTACAACAGAAAGGTAACGGTAACGGTTATAGCCCTCGGGTGGCTTGAGAAGATAACCGGGTGTGCTGGGGTGTGGCTGCGGGTGCTGCATGGACGTTACCTGCAGCGCCGTAGGTTCGTTGCCCGGTGCAATACGCGTGAGGCCGCTTAGAAAAGCAGTGCCATGCGGCAGCATTGGTAGCGTTGATCAAAGATCAACCCTCGTTGAGGTGGCGCGGGACCCTTTCCTCCCCTTCCTCACCCTCCCAACCCACACTCCCCCAGATCGAGGTGGAGCAGCGGCAGTTGGAGAGTCTGGAGCGGGAGGTGGAGCTGGCGCAGGCGCAGGTGGGGGCGGGGGCTAGCATGGGGGTGGGCGGGAGCTTTGAGGGAGGAGGCGCCGTGCAAGTCGGGGAGGGTCGCCCCTCGCCCGGTGTGCGGAAGCAGGTGGCAGGACTGGAGACAGTGAATCCCACTCCCCCTCATCCCACCTCCCTACCTCCTCATCCCACCTCCTCATCCCACCTTCCCTCCCACCTCCCCTCCCCCAGCTGCTAGCTGCCCGGCGGGACATGGGCGGCTACAGCGGTGCGAAGGCGCTCACGGTGGCGCCCGTGAAGGCCATCAAGGCGCTGGAGGTGGGCGGGGGGCGGGTCAGGGAGGCTGGGGGCGAGCTGGACTAGGCCGCGGAGTAGGGCCAAGGATGGGGCTCATGTCCCTCTTGTCGCTCATGTCCCCCACATGTGTTGTCGGCGGTGACTTACCAGGGAGCGCGTGACACCCTCTCTCGGATCATCCTCCCCTCCTTCTGCCCCTTCCTCCCCCCCAGACCCGCCTTGACGGCGCCCAGCGGCGCTTCAACGAGCACATCGCCGCCAACCGCGACCTCAAGCAGCAGATCGATGCGGCCACGCGGCGCCAGGCGGGGCTGGAGCAGGTGCGGGGGGCGGAGGGGAGGAAAGGGGCGGGACGAGACGGGAAGGGCTGGGCTGGAGCAGGTGCGGACGTTTGGAGGCTGTTAGGGGGCGTGGGCCCCGCCCCAACCCTGGAAGGCGGCCTTCTTCCCCTCTCTCCCCCTTGCAGTCCCTCCCACTCCCCATGCGGCCCCTTCACTTCTCCCTATCAACCCCTCCCTTCCTCTCATGCACACCTAACGTTGCATGCAGCCATACCCCTTCCCCACCCTCGTCTGCCACCAGGAGCTCGTCAGCTTATTTGCTATCATCATCAAACACCTTGGTATTCTTCTTTCCCCCCTCTTCCCCCCCTGCCCCCCCCCAGGTTCGCTCCCAGCTGGACCGCGAGGTGGCCTCCCTGGCTGGCGAGGTGGCGGCGCTGCAGGAGGGGGTGCGGGTGGCGCAGGAGGCACGGCAGGAGGCAATGGCGCAGGTACGGGGGGGAAGGGGGACTGGGTGGGGAGGAGACTGGGAGCATGAAGGGGTTTAGACAGCAGGAGGGAACAAAGCACAGAGGGGCGGGAGCAGGGATAGGAGTTGGTGACCCGCGCGCAGAGAACCCCGGCGCGGGAGGCGCTGCTCCTTAATTGCCCCGGCTGGGTCTCAACTTAACACAGTCCGACGCCGCCCCTACATCCCCCTCACGCCCTCTCTCTCTTCTCCCCCTCCCCCAGATCGCCGCCCTGCGTGTTGCGGAGGACGCGGAGGCGGCTGCCTTCGAGGTGGAGGTGCGGGAGCTGGCAGCGTGCCAGGCGGCGGATGAGCGGCTGCTGCAGGTGTGTGTGTGGGGGGCGGGGGGGCTGGTGGAGACAATGGAGGGAGGGAGGAAGTAGGAGGAGGTGGGGGTGGGGGTAAGATACACAGCAAACTAGGTGGAGGGTGGTGGTAGCTTGGAGGCTGGTGGCTGGAATCCTTTAGGGACAGCTGCCTGGGAGCGGCTCAACGCAACGACACCCACGGTACCCTGCCTGTCCTGCAAGGGCCGCTAGGGCTGCAACCTGCCCCTCTTCTCGCGTTCCTGTTGCACTCTCCTGCGAAGGGTTGCTCACCTGCAGCCTTCTCGTAACCCCCCCTCACCTGCCTCCTTCAGGCTCAAGCGGTGCGGTTGACAAAGGCGGTTGAGGCGGCGGAGGCGGCAGGGGAGGCGGCAGGTAGCCCCAAGGCAGCAGCAGCTGGGGCGGCTGGGGCGGAGGGCCTCGGTAGCGGCGGCGGCGGCGCGGCAGCTGCTGGTGGGCTAGGAACCGTGTCCTCCTCCTCCGTCATCGCCACCCCCGCTGAGCCGCTGGATCTGGACCTGTTGGAGCAGGGGGTGGGGGTGGAGGCGGCGGCCCTGCAGCTGCAGCGGGCAGCGGGTGAGGCCGGGGGGGGGGGTAGGGGGGGAAAAAAGAAATTCCAAAGTGTGGTGTGAGAATGAGGGGGGGAGGAGGGCCGCGGAAGGAAGGGTAGCGGGTTGGGGTGTCGGCTGTGGGTAGCCCTTCATCCGCCCTGCCGGGGGCGGTACTGCGCTATTGCTGAGGGTGGGGGCGGCCCCTGCATTCCCCCTTCCATCGCCTGGAAGCGCCTCCACTAGGGTACCGATACACCTCCCGCAACGCCTCCGTCGTCCCTCTATGGGCACCCACCCTCCTAGACACTACCGTAAGCCATCCCTCCTCACCTCACCTCAGCATTACTCTGAACCTTACACCGGTAGGCACTCCTCGCGCCTCACTACCCACCCCTTCTACCTCTCCCACCCTCCCTGCCTCTCCCCTCCCCTGCCCTCCCCCCAGGCCTGTCCTCCCTGCCCGAGACGCTGTCCCACTACTCCTCCCTGGAGCAACTCTCCTTCGACCTCTTCAGCGCCTGCAACGAGGCCAACGAGCGCATCGCGGCGCTGGGGCGGGAGGTGCGACAGATGGAGGCGGAGCTGAGGCAGATGGAGGTGAGGGGGAGGGAGGTGAAAATATGAGGAAACTGACGAACTGGAGGGGGGGAGGAATGTGGTTTGGGTTACGGTACTCGAAGCCGGCTGGTGTAAGTAGACGTGGGGGGTTATGGGCTGATGGGAGGGAGGGACGAGGGGAGCATGGGAACAGGCCGCAGCTTGGGAACAGGATGGGCAGGATTGCCGCTGTCTGCTGCGGTGTAGCCTTCGCCGTAGTTATCATGATGTATGATTCATCCCTGCCCCATCCCAAATACACACCTCCTCACCTCCCTCGTATACCCCCCTCTGTCTCAGTTTACCTAACCCCCCTATGCATACACGCCGCAACCCCTCCCCCCCCCTGCCTCCCCCCAGTCGGACGCGGTGGCCGGGCGGCAGCACGAGGCCATCCGCCAGGTGCTGGCGCGGCGGGACGCGGCGGTGCGGCGCGGGGAGGCGCTCACGGAGCGGCGCAGCGCGCTGGACCGGCGGATAGCCATGCTGAGGACAGGTGGGGTGAAAAGAAGGAAACGGACGACCGGTATGACGATTCTTCACCGTGGGTTGGACAGACGTGTGTGTGGGGGGGAGACAAAACCAAGTGACAGGAGAAGAATTATCATGCTTGTGTTGGGGGGGGGTGTCAAAGGGAATCCCAACCCGTGTGTGGGAGGAGGGGGCAAAGGCAGGGGTATGCTGTACCACAAGCAGCCAGACACTCACCGTGTCACCGACTCCCACCACCGCCGCCACCGTCGACCCGTCCGCTCCCCCCCCCCATCCCAGGCATCTACACCTGTCTTCGGAAGCTGGGCGCAGCAGCGGCTGCCCAGGCCTGGGAAGCCTCCGCGCCGTCAGCCACCTCCTCCTCCTCCGGCGCCTCCGCCGCCGCCGCCGCTGCCGTACCGTCACCGCCGCCGCACCCCTCCGTGGCCGCCTGCGCGCACGTGATGGCGGGTCTGGCGGTGCTGGAGCAGCGAGCAGCCGCCGTCATTGCCGTACAGGGCACCATGGTGGGCCGCTCCTCCAGCCTCTCACGACAGGGGGCAGGCGGGGGGCCGGGCAGCAGACCGCCCTCGGGGCCGCCGTCGTCGTCGGCGGCGGCGGCGCAGCAGCGGCGGCCGTCGGCGTCAGCTGCCGGTACGGCGGCGGCGGCGGCGGCGGCGGCAGGACAGGCCGCCACCGCTGCAATTAATGCCCCTGCAACTAGCAATGGCGGTGGTGGGAGTAGCGGCGGCGGTGCTGGTGGTGGCGGGCGGGAGTATGAGTTGATTAACGAGAGTGACGAGGAGGATGAGGTACCGCTGACCAGGGAACAGATCCAGGCGCGGTCGGCAAGCATACACAGAACTGAGTAGCATAGGGGGGGGGAAGAGCCTGTGTGTGGCCAGTCTGCCCATCGGTGAAGTGCTTGGGTTGGGTTGGGTTGGTTGGGGCAAGCGTGCACGTGTGCGTGAAAGGTTGCGAAGGATATGGGGGAGCGAGAAAGGTTGGATAGGCGCGGACGCCTTCGAGCACCGCGTGAGCTTAAAAGGGTTGAAACTTGAAAGAGTGTGGGATGCGGTGTTGGACCAGTACGTCAGATAGGCCGCTAGCCGCTAGCCTGCTAAGTAGTGCGCTCCCAATGTTTTATCGGGCAGGATGATGGGGAAATGAGGTGGGGGGGGCATGAGGTGAGGTTGGGGCAGTACAGGGGCCCCGCTGGGTCGGCTGTGCGTGCCGCTGTTGTGGTTCAGGGCCGATGGTCCGCTTTGCCAACTCGTCATATGGAGAACTCTGGGTTTGGAAGGTATGCCCACAATCCCCACATCCAATGCTGGATCACAAGCCAAAAGGGGCGTACATGTCGGTTACAGTTACTGCAAGAAGTCACTTTCAGGAAAATGCACCCGCTGGCGATGACTGAATGCGTGCGGGGAGGTGTCTGTTGGCCGGCAAAGGCCTCGCCATGCCCAAGCAAGGTAGAAATCCCTCAAGCCACACAAGGCACATAACAATACTCCCTCATTCGCTTGCCTCCAGCTCCGCCGCCCATCTCAGCACATCCCCCACCAGCCCACGAATCCCACTCCCAGCCCCACTCTCTCCACCACCCACACTACAAGCACCTCCTTCCCCGCCACCCCCTCTCCCACCACCACACCCACCCAGCTCCTCCCAGCCCCGCGCCGCCCTCCCCCCAGGTGCCAGCAGCGCCGCTGCCAGCCGCAACGCCAGCCGCTGGCCCCGCAGCCGCCCCCGCGGGCAGGTCACAGCGGCGAGGGCGGGGTAGTGGTGCATGCCGAACAGCAGGCGGGCCACCACACAGCCAGCGTAGCCGAGACTGCAGGAAGGAAAGCGCGACAAAAATTTAGTGCGACCGGTACTCGGTTTGGGCGCGGGCGTTCATTCATGCCGGAAGAGCGGGAAGGTGTGTAACCGCTGTGGAAGGTGTTTATGCGCATGGAGTCAGATGGGGTACCGCATTCTTCACTCTTCGCCCGCTCAGCTACATACACACCTATTAACAAAGTGTTACCATACTGGGTTGTTCCTACCCAGCCCTACCTGTCCCGTAGCAATTGCTGTATGGTAGCCTCATCCAATCTCCTGCACCCCAACGCATCGGCAGCTTCTGCCCCACTGCCGCCGCTGCTGGATTCCCCGCCAGCGCTACCGCCGACACATCCCGCCATTGCCTCCCCCTCCTCCGCCTCCTTCCCTGCAGCGGAAGCAGCAGCAGTGGCAGCTCCATGCGCCCTCAGCCGCGCCTCCAGTCCCTCCCACACCTCCGCCGCGCACCGCAGTATGCGGCTTGCAGCTGATGTCCCCCAGGGAGGCAGACCGGCTGTGGCCGCATCTGCTGTGGCCGCATCTGCTGCTGTTGCGGCACACGCCGCCAGCAGCAGGTTGCCCAGCAGGCTGCCTATGTCGTACGACAGCGGGCCGTACGTCGCAAACTCCCAATCAATCAGGTGCGTGTCGCTGAGTGGAATTGCTTGGTTGGGAGGGCCGCTTGGAGAGCTGCTGCTGCTGCTGCTGCTGCTGCTGCTGCCACTGTCGGCACCAGCAAGGGTGCTGCGGCCACTGCTTAGGCTCCTGAACCCGGAGATATCGCTCCAGGCATTGCCGGCATTGCCCGGATTGCTGGCAATGCTGCTGGTCTTGGCGTTCGGGGGCTTGAGGGCTTGAGGGCTGCCAGGGCTGTTGCCTGTTTCTTGGGCTGCCTCTTCGATGTCACCGCTGCTGCGGCTGCTGCTGCAGGGCACCAGGATGTTGCCGGTGGTTAGGTCGTTGTGGATGAGGGCCTCCCGGCAGGTGAGGTAGTGCTGCAGCAGGCGGCGGATCTCGGATTGTACGGCAGGCCGAGATCTGCGGGTCGTACAGGGTTGGGAACTTGTGGTTTCGGAGCTGGATTGAGGATTTGAGGTTGAAGATCCTGGACCATCCCTTGGAGATTGTGCACAGCGGTGTTGCGATTGGGGGGATGGAACTTTGGAATCAAGGTCTAAGCAAGACGAATGATAGTGAGCCGGACGGCATTGAAGATTGAACCGGTTGAGAGCCTCTGAAACCCCTCAAGGGCCCTTACCGTAGCTCCTCAACCCCTTCCTCCAAGCCCGCGGGAACTCGGTTACGGTCGCAACCCGCGTCCCATGGGTCGGTGAACACCACCCTCGCATTCGCCGCCACCACTTCCGAATTCGCCGCCTCCAGCCTCTCCGCCACCACTCGATGTTCCTCGTACGAAGACATGCTGTACACCGAGTTACGAATGCCGTACCCTGCCAACAACTCCGCAAGATCAGCTGCAAGTTGCGGCGTAGCTGCTGCTGCTGGCCTCATTCTCGACCCTGCAGCCAGCCCCGGCCCCTGCGTGTTTCCCGCCAGAGCGTCCACTAGCTTCACCCTTGGCGGCGGCCCCGCTAGAAGTTGCTGTACGAGAACGTGGGCGGAGCTGTCGTACAGAAGCAGCGCCGGCACGTGACGTGGACAGGCGGCGTGGGCTGCGGCCATGGCCTCGGCCTCCACTTGGAGCCGGGACTGCGGGCCCCCCGGAGGGTTAGGGAAGAAGTGGAGGAGGGTTTAGCTTTTGAGGGTTTGGATGACAGGTCGCGTCAGTGGTACCAGGCCGGTATGTTTCCAGAGTAGTTGGCCTCTATTGCCTCTACATGCTTGTATTATGAATGGGGCAGGACTACTGCAAAGGCGGTTGGGTATTCCCCGCTGGCCTAGTCCTTCCCACCTGAGACAACTGGAAGTCGGGCCCTATGGAACGCACGTACGGCGCCGCGTATTTGAGTACGACACCTGCTCCTGTTGGGCCCTCGACACGCCAGACGTAGTTAATGCGACCACCTGAAAGCTCCGAGACCTTGACTTGCATTGTCGGATTGCTCTGGCTGCTGTGGTTGCTGTTACTGCTGTTGCTGCTGCTACCCTGGCTTTCACATCCGTCGTTGTTGTGGCCTGCTGTCAAGCCAAGGAGCTCGCGAAGGGCTGGGTGCTTCTGCACGTAGCTTGAGACAGCCTGGGCGGAGTCCAAGGGTGCTGCTGCTGGGGTCGCGGTATGGGCATTGGCGAGCACATCGCCCGCCGAGCCTTGACTTGCAAACGGGACATGTGCAGACAGATGCTGACAGTACCTGTGGTTTAATTCTGTAAACCTATTGGAGTGCACTAAAGGCGAGCAGAAGGAGTGTAGCTGACGAGCTCGCGGAGATGCATTGATGTGCGACAATGCGGCCGGTGCTGTTCGCGGGCTTGTTGCATGCATATTAGGAGATCCATAATTTGGTAATTGCATTTGGTACATTGCGCTTCACAAGGACGATGATGGCTTCTCGCCCTGGAAGTTGCTAATCGGTCATGCTAATACGGTGCACAGTCGGTCCACCAGTGCAATACTATCTATTGCTGCACATGTTTGGTAATTATGCGCGGCTGCGCGCAAATCGTCGCGATCCAATTGGAAAAGCATACCCTTCCAACCGTCTCGTCAACGGAAAACCAACTCCGTACACATCCCAACACATACCCGCTCGCCCAACGCCCAATCACCCCAGTCACCGCGCCCGGCACACCAAATCACCTCAGCCGCTGCTACAACCACCACCACTAACTCTGACAGGCCCAGCATCCACATCACCAGGCCCCCACTCCACCACATTTCTCCGCCTACTCCGCCCAACTCTCCTACCCTACAGGATGGGATACTCATACTCCACCCGCAGTTCAGGTCGCCCGATGCTCCTCCCCAGTGAAAGCAGCGCCGCCTCACTGCCCGGCGTGGCCCAGCCCGACACCACCGCCTGCCGCAGCCCCGGCCCCAACGCCGCCAGAAGCTCCCCCAGTCGCCCCACCCGCAGCAACGGCGGGTCATAGCAGGCGTCCAAGCGGGCCCAAGCCAGGCAGCCGGGGGGACCCGGCTGCAGCACTCCCCGCAGCAACAGCTCCAGGACCTCATCAAAGAACTCGGGCGAGGTCGCCTTGAGCTCTAGTTGTTGTAGGCAACGGAAGGCCAAAGCAGGCGTGGCTGCAGCTGCAGGTGCTTCTGTTGTGGTTGATGATGATAATGATGTGGTTGTCGACTGTACGGCAGATGACGTATACGGATGCTGGTTGCTACTGCCACTGTACGATAACGACGGCGGTGGCAGCAGCTCCCCGAGTGATAGGTACTCGTCCGCCTCCTCGTGATCCCAAAACGCCAGTCGCTTCAGCCGCGGCAGTGCCGCCGCCGCACGCAGCAGACCAGCAGTCGACACGTTATCCGCGTGCGTGAACGCCAGCGCCGTCAACGTAGTCAACTCCGCCAGCGCCGCCGGCGCCTCCGCCGCCACGACGGCGCCCAGCGTCAGTGACGTCAGCGACGTCGCGCCCGACAACATCAATGCACAATGGAACACGTTGTACACGCCCACCTTGCGTGTTCCCGGCTCCGAAACCAGCTCCGCCAGGCCGGTGAACACCGCCGCCAGCGGCAGCGCGGGATGCGATTCGCTGCCCAACGTCAGCTGCCGTACCTGCGGCAGCGGAACTAGCTCCTCCGCAGCAACAGCGCCGGCGGTGGCGGCGGGCAGTCCCAGGCCTGCACCGGGAGCGCTAACTAAACCAGCTCGACCTAGGTACTGGAGGTAGACTGCCGCCGCCGGAGGCGGCGGCAGTAGCGGCGGCGGCGCAGCCGCCGCCGTCGCTGCTAGCGCAGCGGGCCTTGCCAGCAGGAGGTCTATTGTGAGGCAGGTGAGGGCGGAGCAAGCTGCCAGCGGTGCCAGCTCCTGGAGGCTGATCTCGCAGTCCAGGGTGAGACAGCGCAGGCTGCGCAGCAGCGGCAGACCGCCCAGCAGCGTCCGTACGGGCGGCCTGTCCTCCGCCTCGTAGTGCGTCAGGGACAGGGATTGCAGGGATGTCGCCAGCGGCGCTGCTGCTGCTGTCCCACCCACACCTGCTGCTGGCGCTGCTGCTGCTGTTCGTGCATCAGCATGATCAGCGCCTGCTCCTGTAAGCTGTGCGAAGAACTGCTCGTTCTGGTACTCCCTGCCGCGAAGACCCATGCTGAAACCCAGTGAACGTACGAAGCCCGCGCTCGCCAGGAAGCGCAGCGTGGGGGCTTCCGTGCTCCGAAACCCGAAAAAGGAGTGCCCCGTGTTAAACTCCACCACCAGCCCCGGCCGGCTGGCCGCTAGGGCCTGCAGGGCCGCAAACACCGCATCCAGCTCCATGCGTCGCAGCAGGCTCTCATTGATGTTCAGGCGGAGACGCAGTACGGGAGCCGGACTGGATTCGATGAGGAGGGACCAGAGGGCGGGAGAGAAGGAGGCGTAGTAGGCCCAGAAGTCCAGACAGTCTAGGGAACGGCGGAGGGCGGGGAGGTGGGCTTGGAGCAGGGTGGCAACGTCGCGTGGTTCGTTGGCGCCGAAGGCGAGGCGGCGGAGGGAGGGGTAGCGGCGGGCGAGGGATCCCGGGGAGCCGGAGAGGAGCTTGGAGACGTTGTACCTGATTGGGGGAGGCAAGAGGAAGGGGCATGGGTGCAGGGCGGGCGGGAAACGACACGGGCCTGATGGGTCAGGACTCGGGACGCCCGGAGAGGGGTTCATGCGTGGGATGGCGGAGAAGGAAGGCGCCAAGGGGGGGAAAAAGAAGCCGTGGCCAAAAGTGGTGGGATTAGGAACGAGCGTCAGCAGCCGCACGCCCGCACCTGTTGACCAGGAGGCTGGTCACGCAGGCATCCACCTCAGCCCGAAGCCGCTTGCAGCATACCCGAAGGAGCTTCCGGGTGTTTAAGTCCAAATGGCAGAGCACCGCTGTTGGCAGCAGCACGCTGTCGAAGAGGCTGAGCAGGTCGAATGCTGGGATGACAACGACGGCGCTTTGCTCCGCGACACCCACGTCTGAATTGTTAATATGAGTGAAGGCAACGTCGGCTCTGTCCAATCCATCGGTTAAAGATTGAGCCATGCGTCCAGCTGTGTCCGGTCGTTGCTGTAATAAAAGGTGTTGCGCTGCTTTTGGGTTGTGCTGTTACTTCTGCATCGAATTAATAGACTATTTTTGCTCGGAGTATTTATATTTCTGTCGTTCTTTTACGTTGTTGTTCAGATCATTCCAGCCTGCACCACGTGGTATCGTCAATGGCTATCGAGTAAATCGAGACTTTGATGCCTCAACATTAGCCTCTAAAACGACAAGTGTTTGTGATAATGGCGAGTGCGGCGAATGTGGCTGTTGGGCCGGCAAAGTATTTCGCCGTTGATGTGGAATGCGTGGCGACGGGAACAGACCACAACTCGCGTTCAGTCGCTCAGGTGGCGGTAGTCGACGAGCATATGAATGTGCTGCTGGTACGTTCTCTGCAGCTACGTTAGAACCAAGTGGAGTTCCATCCTAGCAAATGCCATGGGTCTTGCTTTATTTACCTCAGCAATGACTTCCCGCAATTTTTCATGCCCGAGCACGACTTTGCAATGCTTACTGCGTGCGACGGTCGAATTAGCTTAGACCGAATTCTCTTATAGCCCGTCCCTGTCCTCTCCATGCCCCATGGGCGGTCCCTTTCCGTGCCCTCGTCTTGCCCAGCCTCTTAGCATCATACCACGCTAAGCCCTTACTGCCTCATTTTACCATTCTCCCCTCCCTTTTGCAACAATCCCCGGCCATAACAGAATGTGTACGTGAAGCAGGAGGTACCTGTTGCGTCGTACATGACACCACTGACGGGCCTTACAGAGGAAGTCCTACGGACGCGAGGCGTATCGCTGCAGGAGGCATTAGCTGCCGTACGCACCGCACTGCCACGTCATGCCGTACTGATCGGCCAGAACATTCGGCAGGACGTGCAGTGGCTAGGCCTCAAGGAGGGCACGGACTTTGAGGGCATGATGGACTTGCAGGGTCTGTTTCGCGTGTGGAATGACAAGGTAATAAGGAGGTACAACTGAGGTTATAACACACTGCCCGCAGCTATCCTTTATGCATGGGGCCCGAGAAGTTGAAACCGACGCTAAACGCATGGCAAAGCGTGTACGCGGTCGCGCGTATGTGATGGGTCTGGACAAGGCCGGTGTGCAGGCGGTGCCTTCACCCTTCCTTTCTCCGCCCCTGCCCCGCCCCTGCCGCTTCCTCCCCCAGTTCCGCAGCTGGTCGGTGTTCGCTCAGTCGCACCTGGCCCGAGTGCTGCTGGACTGGCGGGACGCGGAAGGGCCCAGCGAGCATGACGCAGTGGAGGTGCGTGGTGGGCTAGTGCGAAAGTGTGTGCTGCTGCCCCGTTGACACGTACGTCGCCTCAGTACACCGTGTTCCCTTGGTGGCCCCATCCTTCTGCAGTTCACCTTTCAGGTTCTCATTTATAGGGGCAGTACAGCTTCCGTACGTCTTGCATCTCTCCATGCCATCCCTGGTCTTCATCCTCCTCCAACCTCCCTCCAACTGCCCCCCACCACCCAGGACGCGCGCAAATCCATGGCGCTGTTCAACCATCACCGCCACGTGCTGCAGACCGACCCACGGGCCATGCAGGCGGCGCAGCAGGCGCTGCTGGCGGCGCCCGTGGAGCCCTCCTTTGCGCGGCGCAACGCTGTGTTTGAGGGCGTGTGCATGGGCAACCGCAAGACCTGTGTATGCGGGGCGCCCTTCTTCGGGTGACGAGAGGGTGTACGGCACTAACGTTGGGTGCAGAAGACACGGGGAGTTCGGGTCGGGTCGAATCGGAGTGCAGGAAACGCCACCGCACCGGAAGCGGGCTCTGCATGGAACTCTGGACATGCATGGGTTAAAAGTGGTAAGGACGGGTGACCAGGGAGGACTGTGTGGAAGGAGGGCTTCGAAAAGCACCGCATCGGGGAGTGTGTTTTAGCAGCTGTCACGGCGGTGCATTGCCTAAGCGCGCCTGCGGGCGTGTGCATGCGTGCGGGGGCGTGAGTTGTGCCGGCTTACGGAGTAACAACACAGTACTAGGAAGATGCGTGCCGTGTTAGCTGCAGGCTGGGTATGGGTCTGTCGGTGGCAGACAGGCAAGGGCATGGAAGGTCCTAGTAGTGTGGGCACCTCCAACCGGCTGTCCGCAATTGGAATTTGAGCAGACTATCGGTACCCAAAGCTTCGCCAACGGCTCGGCGCATTGTTGTTTATGGATGTACGGACTTTGGTATGTAGACATAGGTGCTGCTTTCCCTTCTTTGTTATTCACTGCTCATTGGCTAGGTAGGCTGGTGGTGGCTGTGCATGTAGCGCGTGCCTAAGCCCTCGCGCTCGCGCTACATGGCTCTATTTCACGCATGGCGTGTTATTGCAGGCTGTCCGTATCGCTAGCTGTTGTCATTGTCACCAGGTTGGTTCCCACATGCGCAGAGAACCCTTCTGCACTCGGTTGGCATTGGCAACTGCTGGGTTAAATTTTGGCAATGGCGTAGGAACACTTCTTTGGAGGGTGTATTTACCAACTACGCTCTGCGGGTAGCTTCTAGGTCAAAAAAAAACAGAGGATTACAAAGCATTGACTTGTGAATTAGTACGTATGTGCCGTAAAAGAGGACTTGCGTGTAGTTCTTTGCATTGCAGCTGAGCCAAGCGCAGTGATAGGGGGGGTACAAATATCGTAAATCACAGCTGGGCCAAGACGCCGGTGATATTGGTTGAAACTGGTAATGGGTTGCGGCAGAATCAACTTCGCAAAACTGCCAACAACACGCTGGTACGGCTCGATAGCTGCCTCAAAGGGGGGCCCGGCTGTCGTTTACCCGGCCGGCAGCGGGCCACCCGTTAAACAGCTGTTGCTGCAGGTGTCCTGCACGCAAACAGGTCCAGAAGCAAGGGATAGCAACCGAGCCGACATGATTTGCGGAACGCGCCCAAGCGGGTACTGCATATTACAAGCACATTTATCATGGGCCACATATGACAAATAGTTGGCATAGGGAGAAGCCAAGATTACCCGCCGTCAGCTGTGAGGCTTGCCGTGTCGCCATTCCCTGTCTAGGCCATACTGCAAGCAACAAGTGGCAACCTCCCGTGACGAGTCATTGGTCTATCCGGAGAATTTAGACCTAGAACCAGGGCTTGTAGTGTAAGTTAGTAATGGCTCATGGCCTTCAACAATCGACGTACACCGCAGGGGCTAGTAAAACCAACTGGAAACGAGTACTGCAAACGTGGCCAGCCTGCAAAACAGCCCAGTTTCCTTCGAAGAGAATACCATACGACAGCAATATGATTGCAAGAAAAGGAAGCGCATCAGTGACTCGAGCTGCATAAGCAGTTAAGGTGATAACCAGAAGTGCTCAGTCTCAGCAGCAAACACATTGTCGTACTACGACATGCTGCAGAACGAACTAACCACAGTGCCGGACGCAAAATTAGGCAATAATGGTTGCCTGCTGCTAGCCTACCGTAACTACAAAGCGCCGCATGTTGCTGCGCAAGTAGTGACCCTGCGACGGTTTAACCTCCTCAGCAAAAACGCAAAACAGACGAAGCCAGTGCTGTTTTCTATTACTACACGAAATCAGGAGCTCACGTACGGAAAACCAGCTTTTCAGTGTATAGATCTAACCAAAGGCGTAAGCTACCGGTATTGGCACTTAATACACAAGTGCAGATGGGGCCTACCAGAACAGCACCACCAAAACCAAATCTATACTCTTCAGACAGGCATTATAAAGGCATTGCTCCAAATTCCCATTGTCCAATAGCTCCACTGTCTCCACATGCATGAATCCCCATGAAGCAGGTGGGTACGTCAACATGAATCGAGGATGAAGCCCAAGGTCCCCACTAGCAAAGGGTTTCCTGTCATATCCTGAGCCTGGGGCTATCTAGACACACAAGGTCACCATAGCCAGCGGATAAATGCATTTGTAGACTCAACTACGACGCCCATCAAATCCTGCGCAAGTGTTTCAATATCGTCCTGACCCTCTATTGAACCACACAACATACCGGTTCAAGCCATACCCAAGCCCAGCAGCCGAGGTACGCAGCCGCGACCACCGCCCCAAAGCAAGGTACTGCATGCATGGCTGCCTCTCCCGTACGTGGTGAAACGCAAGCCCAGCAGGAGCAGAACCTCACACTCAACAGCTACCGGTAAAGTATTTAGCAAGTTTTTAGCATGTAAACCAAAGCCCCCCAAGCTATCCTTTCCGTCATGTCGCCCACCGCAACAAACCGCAGCCCACCTCACACAAGCCTCACACAAGCCTGTACGCAGCCATGGGCGCTTTCCATGCCTTCTCCCGAAAGCACGTGACATGGCTCCTACACAGCGCCCCAAGCCAGCACCAACAGCTGACCCATACCAGAACCGTCCTAGCCTTTCCCAACCTAAAAAAACAAAAACCTTACACGCGCAGTCATGAGCTTCGGCCCTTACATGGCACCATTCTGGCTGGTGCTTCGTAGTCCAGCAGGCGATCGAGCCGAGGGCGACGCCACCCTGCCCTCCTCCGCATTCACGTCACTGCCGCCACCAAGACTGGTCGCGGCACCCCCAGCGGCCAGCACCATCGCGGCAACCTCACTGCGCAGAAGCGAGGGAGTGGCATCCATCTCTATCATCGCCCCAGGCAGCATCATGGTGGGACAGGGAGCCGCAGGTACGGAGCCTGCTGGCTTCGGCGGTGATCCGGGCGCCGGCGCACGCTCTGCACCTGCCTGGTCGGCACCAGCTGCGACTGTCTCGGCGCCAGCGGTGTGCACGGGGTTGCCGCTGCCAGGACGAGGCTTGCGGAACGTCCCGTCTGCTGCTGTTGCCGCCGGCTCTTCCGTCAGCGACGGCAGCTGCCGCGGGCGCCCTGCACTGTTACCCCGGGACTGCACAGCCGAGCCTGCTGGGCTCTTGCGCTCCTGCTGCAGAGCAACCTGCTCCAAATCGGCTCCTGCGGCGTTCCACTTCTCCTCGTTGGATGACGTCCTTGGCGCGTAGCTGATGCGGCTTTTGGCTGCTGACGAAGATGAGCTGCCACTGCCGCTGACCTTGGCACCAGCACTGGCGGTAGCTGCAGCACCAGCTGCAGCAGCAGCACCAACGACACGGCCACTTCCCGTGCCGCTGCTCGTCACTGACAGGTCCAGCTCGGACGGCCGAGCGACACCAAGCACGTTACCTGCAGCCGCTTCCGGCTCACCAGGACGGGAGCTCATGCGCATGAAGCCCTCATTAGACGGGCCCTCAGCTGCCCCGAAGCTGCCTCCCGGCTGGGTTGCGGACAGTATCAGCCGGCCGTTGTTGGGCTGCTGGCTGGCAGAAGCCAGGGGGCGGATGTGTTCTGGCGCAACGGGCAGAGTCGTGCCGGCAGCCAGAGAGGAGGAAGGCGCGCGAACCAGGTTCAGGCCGCTTGGGCTCCGGGCCTCAACTTCACCGCTACGGGGACGCTTGCGGTCCTGGACCGCAGTTGCAGCCGGTGTCACAGCCCCTGCGGGACTGGCGGCGGTAAACGCCTCGCGGACGCTGCCGGCTCGCCCGATGACATTGTTGGGTGACTGGAGGGGCACGGGACTCGCACGGCGGGCTTTCAGGCGGCTGCTGGCGACCACAGCGGCGGCCGCCACCCCACCAGCAACGACACAGCCCATTCCGACAGCCACCACAATAGCTACGATGGTCCTTGTGGACACTCCGCCGCCACCGCCATCCTTGCTAGAAGCATCCGTACCGTTAGCGGCCGGGGAAGGTGGTGGGGGTGTGGCAGCGGGGCTGACGTGGCTTCCGTTGTCGGTAAGCACCGTGCTTGGGTTGTCCGTCGAGGGTAAACCAGCTGCTGGAGTTTCGGAGCCAGCAGGTGCGGGTGTGTTGGATCCGGAACTGGGCGCATTGGAGGAGCTTGATGGAGAAGAGGAACCGACACCGGGTGAGTTGGAGTTGCCAGAGGGGTTGGAGGTGGTGGGATTGGAGGTGGTTGGGCTGGACGTGCTAGGATTTGAGGTGGTGGGATTGGTGGTGGTCGGGTTCGAAGTGCTAGGGTTGGAGGTGGTGGGAGTGCCCGAGGAGGGCGATGTCGTGGTGGGTGTTGGAGTGCTGCCAGCTGGTGTGGAGCTGCTGCTGGCGGGCGGAGGCGGTGGCGGGTTCTGCTGGGAACCCGTGCTTGCCGCTGCTGGCGGCGGCGGGGGGCTCTCGACCGGCTGTACAACCACCTGTGGCGGGGGCGGCGGCGGCGCTGAAGCGCTCTGGCTGCTGGGGTTGTTGGAAGCGGAGGGCGTAGACGGCGGCGGTGGCGGATTGCTGTTGCTGGGGTTGGAGGAAGCGGAGCCTGATGAGGAAGGCGGCGGTGGCGGTGTGCTGGAGTCCACTACAGTGACACCAGAGCTGGCCAGCGACTGCGTGACCGCCTGTGACAGGGTTGGGTCGACAGCTGACAGGCCGCTGAGGTCCGTGATGGGGGATCCCAGAGGAGTCACACCCAGTTTGGCCGCGGCTCCAGGGTCGGTCACCACCTTGTTGAATGCGATAACAGCAGCGACGAGGTCACTGGCGGAGCTCGCGGAATCAGGAGGTGATGGTGGCGGAGGGGCTGGTGAGGGTGGTGGCGGATAGGCGGTGGTCGTGTCGGTGGTCTGCGGGTCGGTGGGGTCGGGGACGGAGGACACGGTCGTCTCCGGCAGGGCTACAGCGCTTGAGGCGGGCGGGCCAATGCCGGTGGTGACAACTGAGGAGCCGGGCACGATCTTGGCGATGTAGATACGGTCCGCGGAAATGCCCATTGCGGAAGCCAGGTTGGTGAGGAATAGCGCGGCGGTAGAGTAGAACTGGTCGACCGTGAGGGCGAAGGATTGAGAGATCTGCGGAGAAGGGAGAGCGGCGAGGGAGAACTTAGTGGCTGATAGCATATTGAGTGTGCGTGTGAGGATGACTGGGTTAGCTAGTACTTGCAGCGCCCAGTTGCAAAGCGGCAAGCCAACCCAAAGTGACAAAGCGGTACCCAAAGCGGTAGAAGACAGTTAGCAGAATGACCTAATAAAGCCTTCCATACGGCAGCTGCACAACAGAGCCCCCCCTGAAGAACTTACCAGTACGGCGCTCTCGGTACGAATCTCCAGGTTACTTCCGCCCTTAATCTTGACATACATTAAGCTGTTGTCCTGATCCCAGTAGTAGGCGCCATGACCCAAACCATCGCCAATCTTAACCGGCTTCGTTTCAGGCGTCACACGACCCGACACGGGGCCGTTACCCGGCGCGAGGAAGACGAAGCGGCGGTTGAGCGTGTAGAGGTAGTTAATGACGAGGACTATCTCCCTATCTGGGTCAGCGTACGGTAGCCACAGCCGGAATATTTGCGCAGGAGTACCGGTGAAGTTCACGTAGACGGTCTGGTCGGTCGGAAGGTACGTCCAGAATGTGGACAGACGCTTCTGGCAGGTATACGCAAAGCACCACCCGTGGTCCATGGCAACGGTGACCAGGTCAATGGAGCCCGACACGTTGAAGAAGACCGGGCCGAAATTGCGGGTCTCGGTGTCGGCGTCACGGCTCTCAAGCACAAAATGCTGTGGGTCGCCCCAAATGCCCGTTGAAGGGATGGGGTTGGGCTTGAGGCGCGGATCAAGCAGGAAGTTGGACGAGCCGACGGAGCAGGTATAGGAGTGGTGGACGGATGAGTAGGTGCATGGGCC